CCCCCCATCCCCAAGCTCACTGACCACTCTACTTCTATCTTCTGGTTTCTAGATTCCTGAAGACCAATGCGATGACCAGCCATTTCCTGATCAAATCAGAAGGGATCTGACATCTTGTCTGGGCTGGATGGATGATAACATGGGGACTCCAGGTGGCCTAGTGCCTCTGGAAATGAATAAACCCTGGAGAGTTGATTTCCCCCTGGGTGCACGCTACAATTCTGGCTCTTTGCCCAAGAACTGGGGGATGTATGCGCCTATCAGTGAAGGGGCACTTTCATGTCTCTCCCAACCACAGCCTCATCCTTGCCTTCAATAGCCTAAGCTGCACCCCAATGGCTTCTAGACCCAGACCCCTAGAGGAACAAATACCTGTCCCCCAGTTTCACAGTCTTTCCTCCTCATGAGCCATTTAAGGGTTTGTGTAGGCATGAGCTGCCCATGACAGAAGCTCCTGGGTCTGACACTGATAACAGGAGAAGGGGCCACTCTGCTTAGAGAAAGCTGAGAGAAGAGATTTGGGAAGCAAATTAGAAAAAAGGAAGAAGATGGGATCTCAGGTAGACAGAGACCACACGTTTCATTACAATTATTGTTTTAATTGTCTGGTTTCCCCTGCACTAGAAATCCAGTGAGGGTTCTGACCAGTAGTTGGCACACAGAAGGTGTTCTCTACATATTTACTGACTGGAGAAGGACTTTATGCTTGAGTTTTATGGATGAGAAAACTGAAGCCTAGGGAAGGAATAGGACGTTTCAACCCCACACAGTGAGTCTGAGGGGGAAATGGAAGCAACTATTACAACTATCTCTGCCCCTCCCCTGGTCCAAGAGGGGCTTAGGACTTAGGACAACAAACGCTAGGGGCCTGCACCTCAGGCTCACTGATTGTGGTTACTGCCAGGTTATGCCCACCTTTGCTGCAGAGCAGCTCTAAAGGTGCAGGCAAAGACAAGGTAAGAGACAGCAGCAGCAGAGGCCAGAGAGCTCATGGACTTGGCCATCACCCTGAAGCACGGTGTGTGTGTCTGATGGGAGTGAAGCCTTCCAGGCAAGCACGGGTACTTTCCAGGGGAGCCCTGTTCTTTCCACTAAACTTTCAGGAGCTGCTGCCTCCTAGCCCCAGGAAGTAGAGTGAGTACACAAACAGAATATACACAGCAATGAGGCAGGCAGAACACTAGAAAGTACATCCCAGGCCAGCTGGGTCTCTACCACTAGCACTTCTGCCCCTTGAACAAGGATGTAAAGGTCAGGACCAAAGGCTTAGGCAATCACCCCAGAGGAGGAGTCCTAACCCCAACCAGGACCCAGTGAGAGGTAGACAGCATGAAAGCTGAAGGAGCACCAAGGGGCCAGGTAGGGGGAAGGGAATGACGAATCCTTGACATCCAAAACCATCTCATGCAGGAACAAGCTTCTACTTCCAAACCACCCCCCATACCCATCCATGCTCAGCTTTCCTACTGTCCCCAGGCCTCCCCTTTTCCCCTCTTCTCAACAGAGAGCTCAGGCAGGAGGACGTACTATTTGTCTGACATGTTGCTGCTAGTTCTCATGCCCCATGGAGACTACCCAAAGAGACAAACCCTCTGATGCTGCCATCCCTTCCTCTCAGAAGGCATTTCTGCCCACCCAATTCCCCAAGAAACACCCAGGCCATGGAAATACAGCGCATGAAGCTTCATGTGTTGGAGCCAGTCTGGAGCCCTCTGTCAGCATCAGTCGGGCAACAGCCGGCCCAGCTCCGCTTCATCCAGCCGGTTGGTGGTCATGATGTGTTCTAACTGTTGCCGGTAGCGCACCAGGTCCTGCATGAAGTGGGGCACACGGGTCTGGTCCAGCACCCCGTGAGGCCTCAGGGAGTCCACATCCTCATAGGATACCTACAGGGATGGAGCTGGGTTTCACGGGGAGGCAAGACTCAAGTGGCAGCTGGTCCCCGCCTGTGACTGAGACCCAGGGAGACCCACTGCCTCCGAGGCTCCTTCCTCTGCCCTCTTCCCTTTCCCATTCCTGTCCATCTCCAACGGAAGCACCTGTGGGCTCAGTCCTGGGTCTGTTTTCCCCTCATAACACCTTTTACTGTTTATGCCTGACAACCCTTCTCCTTAATTTAGCCTAACTCCTCCTCACTTCCAAACTGGGATCTCTAATTGCTTCCCAAACCTTCCCCTCAGGACCTCAGATTCCTCATGTCCTACATTATATTCCTGAAACTCCCCTATCTTCTGGGTGCTGGCTTGTGAAGCCCCACTCTCTTCATTACCCAAGTGTCACTCACTCAGGGTAGCCACAGAGTTAAAGGGATTCCACCTTCCCAAGAGCATGCCAGCTTACTCCTTCCTCTCCAACTGCATGCCCAGCTCAACACTGCTTCTACAGTAGTGACTGAAAGGACCGCTTCCTGCCCTGCCTTCCCTCCCTTAGGCTTCTCTCCAACCCACCTCACCCGGGACATCCAGAGGGAGCCTGGTAAAGCAAGTACTGGGCCACCCAGCTTAGCGCTCTCAGCTGACTCATTGTTCTGGATGAAGCCCTGCCCAGAAATATTCAGTCTGTCATAAATACCCAGAGCCACACACTTAGTCCTGGGTGACTTCTCCTGCTTCCTCTCCTTTCCTGACTATGGCCTTCACTTGATACTCTTGAGATGCAATATCTACATACCTGCCTGAACAAATACTTGTTTACACTATGTACCCAGAGGTGAACTCTTGTCACCACAAACTTGCATTTCCTGTGCTCATCCACCCATGCTCCCCCAATAGAGATTTTCCCCACTCATCTCTCAGTAAAGGATCCGAGAACACTGCAGTGAGGCGGTAGCTACATGGGCCTTCTGCAGGCCCACAGCCTCTCACCTTGCCCAGTGAGGTCAGTAGAGGGAAATCAATGGCATGACGGTACCGCAGAATGCGCACGATGCCGTCCAGGTACACCTGGTCTTTGCTGAAGCAACCTATGAGTGCAGGAGGACCATGACTTCCAGTGCCTGATGCCCCATCCCTCGCCTTTCTTCACCCCGCGGTCCAGCCCCAGGCCCGGCTCAGAGCACAGTCCCCAGCTGACCCCCACCTGGCTTCGAGGTGTCGGTCTGGCCACGTTTGGCGCGAACGCAGTACTCCCAGCGCACGTCTGCGTCCTGCACGTAGCGCGCCAGGTCCTGGAAGAGCTGACGGAAGGACATGCAGGCAGCACGGTGGATGGTGTAGTAGAGCAGGGCAGCGCGCCACAGGAAGGGCTGCTTCCGGAACAGCACGCTGTGCAGGCTGGCCAGGCCCTCCTCCGTGGGGTTGGCGGGCCGCAGCCCATACTGCACCCGACCCTCTGCGTTATGCCAAGGCTGGCGCGCGTTGTTCACGCCCCGCAGGTAGTGCGTGCCTGCCGGGAGGGCGTGGGGAGGAGGGGCGCTGAGAAGGGTAGCCCGGGGAACCTCCTTCTAGATCCCTTCCTTGGCCTACCTGAAGACCTCTAGCTGGTGGTGCATGCATCCCGGAGGCCTGGGAGTCCCCAGGCCTCCCCTCCACAGAAATGTATTCATTCCCCTAATCCCAGCATAAATTTGCATTCAAGGACCAAAAAGGTCTCAGAATGAATCTCCCTTCAAAAGCCCTCCTCAAAGTCACACTGCTCCTAGCCACCTGGAGGACAGTATGACCACCCATCACCACCCTGGCCCACAGCCAGCCAGCCCGGATCATTTAGACAATCATACTGGTCCCTCAGAAAACTACGTCTTGCCCAAAACAAGATACATGAAAAGAGACAGAAAGGAGATTAATGTTCTGAACCCATCTCCTCCCAGACTGGCCTGTCCCCTCCTGATAATCCTAGCCCTGTGTATCCGTAGATAATTCCACTCCCAGGATCAAACCTTCTGCCCACCCTAGAGGACCTGCATTCTGGCTGGGTTGGTGGAGCCCCAGGGCTGCCACCTCGGACCAATCTGGACCTTGGCAGCCATGCCCCACTGTCAAGGGAAATCAGAAAGAAAGAAGGATAAAAAGGTATCTAAAAAGAGCAAGATATGAAGGGAGCCCAAAGGGTGGGCCAAGTGACCTCGGAGTGAGGGAGGGCATGGGCATGGGCACAGGAAGGGGAAGAGCCTGACCTCTCCCATAGGGAAGCAGGAGAGAGAGATGTGGTGGGGTTACTGGGGCCCCTCACTACCGCTAACTTAACTCCCAACTCCCTCCCACCTGTATCCACCCACCCACCTGCCCACACTCTGACCTATTTCATGCCGCAGCATGCCCTCCAACCAATACTGGCGGGCTCCCGTCAAGTTGATGGCCAGCGTGGGCCGGCTGTTCTCCACCATCATCACCGCCTGGGACAGCAGGTCCTCAGTCAGCTGCACTACCACCTAGAGGCAACACTGCTCTGAGCTGTGGCCCATGTGCAGGCAGACCCACAGATGCCACAGGGCAGCCTACATACTCACTCCTCACCAGCTCTGCTCAGAGCAAAGCCCCAATTCATTGGGGCACCTACCTAACACCACAGCTCAGCAGCCTGATTTGGGGTCATGTCCAGAGGGTCTGGTAGGCAGGGCAAGCTTACCTCCCCGACGCAGCCCTCCTTCTGCATGTATTTGCGAACTATCGACCAAATCTGGCACTTGGTCAGCAACTGGCCCCCGGTGGCAGCCTCAAAGTGCTCATAGGTGCCAAACTTCTCCAGGACAGCCTCGATGATGCCAACTGCCTGCACACAGGGCAGCAGTGACTGGTCAGGCTGGGCCTCTTGGGTCGTCAGGGCTGGAATGAAGTGGGCAGGCGGGACTGACCTGGTGGATGAACTGCCCTGAGGCCTCGCAGTACTTCTGCAGCACTGCTGTGGGCATGGGCTCCTGATACTGGAACTGCGGGTTGTAGGTGAAATGGGACTGGAAGAACTTGTCCCGCTCGCTGTCCATGTTGGTTGGTCGCAGGGCCACTAGCATGCAGGGGCTCTTGTTGACACCACGGCCTGCATCCTTCCGGGTCTTAGCAATGTGAGGGAGGGAGGCTGCAGACCGCAGGGTGCCCCCTCCTGGGTCCCGTCCTCGTCCAGATGGGGTTCGGCCCTGGATACTGCGCCCTTGGCGGCCAGCATTGTTCACAGTGCACGTGCTCTCGCTACGACGCATGTGGCTGCGGTGGCCAAGACGCAGCTCTGAGAGGGTCAGTGCCTCAGGCTGGGGCTGCAGTGCTGACGGGACTGACAGAGCCAGGGGCAAGGGCAGGGGCCGAGACCAGGGGAACAGTGGTGGTCCATCTCTGTCTGAGGCCTTCAGCCTGGTACGCAGGGACAGGGGACTAGCAGGTGGGCTAGAGGGTGCTTGCTCATACACCTGGGCCCCTGAGTCCAGTACCATTCTGTCCTGGGGGTCACATCCAGCTGGGTCACTCCAACACCCTTCACTGTTGACCTCTGAGGACAAAGAAGGGCATATAATAGACGTGGCCTGAGGTTCGGCAGTTCCATGCTGGCCCTGTGAGCTGGGCCTGCTGCCAGAGATTGAGGTGGTTGCCCCCCAATACCCACTTTGGCCTCTCTTCACTTCCAGCAGGCTCACCCAAGCAGTTGGAGCTGGGAGAAAGCAAGAGGAAGTTTCTTATACCCCAACCCAGATGGTGGTTACTGGGATCCCCTCAGCCTAGGAGCTCCCAAGAGTAAGAAACATGCCCTACTTGTGATGTTAATGCCTGTGCCAGTGCCCACTCAGTCCAGGAGCTGGTACTGGGCAGCCGCAGCTGCTTGGACGGATGAAGGATAAAGAGTCCCAGGAGCTGTTCTCTTAGTTGTCCTCTTCTGGAACTTTCTCAATGCCACTCCCTCTTCCATCTGCCTCCTTTAACTCCTCTGGCCTTATGTCTTCACCTAGAATGCCCTCTCTTCTGGACCTCTTGCACATCTCCAAATTAAAACTGGCTTTTCTTGAGGGGGGAGGAATCAGGAAAAATCCCTGGTTTAGGGAGATGGGTGGGCAGAAGGAAATCTAGCAAGCCCAAGCCAATCCTTAGCCTGCCCCCTGCTGGTGGATGCTTTCTCCCCTCTGAAGTGTCTTCCTAGCTGTCATCTAAAACCAGTGTCAGGTCATTCACCCACCCCATGGCTTTGTCAGGGCTGAGCCTGATCCAGTCTCTTGAGATAATGCCTTCCATGCTAATGCCTTCCCTGCTCAAGGGCAGAGTGCCAGTATTTCTTCTCCTTCCCTCAGCATCATTTCTGCCTCTCTACTGGATTATTTCCATCAGCATAAACACATGCTGTTATTTTGCCTTTCAAAGAGGGTCACTTGACCCTCTATCTATATACTCCTCCACCTACTGCCCTATCGCTTCTCCATCCAGCTGCTCCCTAAGCTGTCTATACTTAGTCTCCCATTCTTTCTTTCCTGTTCTCTTTTTTGTTTCTTGTTTTGTTGTATTTCCCCGCCCTGTTCTTTCTTAAACTTAGCCCAGCTAGGTTTGTGGCATTATTTCCACCCCCACCCCCACCCCCACTTTCCATCAAAATTTATCTGATCAAGGACACCAGTGATCTCTGTATTGATCAGTAGCCCCTGACAGGGTTGATCACATTCTCCTGGAAACACCTTCTTCAGCTGCTTCTCGAGCTGGTTACCTCGCCTCCCTTCTCACTGCCTGTTCCAGCCTCCCTTTCAACCAATCTGGCTGTTCCTTCTTGGTTTCCTTTGCTGATTCATTCCTACTTCCAAACCTCTTAACACGGTACTGGCCTATGTAACCCTTTCTCTCTTCTCCATTTACACTCACCACCTACATAACAGAGAAGCCCTGGGTAAGTGTTAGAAAGGTTGGTGGTTTGAATTCATGATAGGCTCCAATAATAAAAAGATGTGGCAATCTGTTCCCATAAATATTATAGCCTAGGAAAGCCTTGGGGCCAGTTCTATTCTGTCCTAGAGTCATTATGAGTCAGAATCTACTTGATAACAAGAATAACACATCCTTGGGGATCCTATCCACCCTCATGGTTTTAATTATAACAGTCTATGCTTTGCCCCTAAACTTCAGTGATTCCACTTTTCAAGCATTTCAAATGGAGTGTGTCCCCTACCTGGGATGTTTCCTCACATATAACTTCAAGGGTCACTCTTTCACTTTCCTTTCAACCCCATAGTAAATTGTTATTGGAAAAGCTTTCCCTAACACATCTCTATAAAATAGTAAGCCTCCCGTTCTTTGTCATCCTATTCTCCATGGGAGTTATAACCTCTGAAGCAGAGAACATTCAACTGTTAGTTGTCTGTGTTCTCTTGAGTATCTTCAGAACTGAGAACAATGCCTGGCAGTTAATAAACAAATGAACCCAAGAACTCATTTCAAAAACTGGAAACCCTCCTTCCCTGCACTTTGTTCCCCATCGAGACTTGATCTTCCTCCTTGGACAGTACTCAGCTGCTCAAAATTCAGGTCTCAGGCTTCACTCTCAACTAACAGATACTTTTTCCAGACTCCTTACTGGATTCTGAGTCTCTATGCGGGCCAGCCCTCTCCAGCTTCCCTTTTATTCAACCTACCTCCTTGCAATTAATTACCAGAATACGTATTTCTTTCATGTTTCACGTTCTTCTTTGAGGAATACCCTCCCAGAGTCTGCTACCCATCCTTCAGGGCTCAATTCAGGCCTCACCTCTTCTGGGAAGTCATGCTAGCATGTAGAGGTTCCCCAATGCCTAGACGGATTTCTGTTGCCCTAGGCTGTCACTATCAGAACCTGAGTCTGTATCTCCCCATCATCCCTTGAACTCACCAAGGGCAGTGAGTAGTCTCATTTGGTCCCAAGTCTCAAAAGCACCCGGCACTAGTAGTAAATGAATGAACAAATGGATGGAAGGAGGAGCCCTTGACTACTGAAGGCGGGGTCTGATGACAAATAAGAGGGTGTGGTCTGCGCTAATAAGAGACCCAGGAGAGGATAACGTGGAAGAATGGCCAATGGGGATGAAGAGAGGGAGGAGGGGCGTGACCAACAGCCAATAAGCGGCGGGGGATGGGTTAAGGGAGTGCCCAATAGAGGGCGGGGCTGGAGGACAAAGGAGCCGGGGTTCTTTAGTAGATCGCGGGGAGCCTCACGAGTGCCCTTTTCCGCCTCCCAGGGGTCCCATCTGCGAACCGCGTCCCAAGTCCCAACCTGATCGCTCCTTTACTTGTCGCTGCCGTTCCCGCTCCGCAGCGCAAACCGTCCGCCGCCCGGCACACAGGAGCTGACACTGGTGACGCACCACCCGGATACGCGCACGCAGAGCAGATGGTGCACGGGTTCGCGGCCGTCACTGCGGTAGCGCGCCTGAGACTACACCAGAGGCGGAGCCAGGCAAGGCAGGGGGCGGTGCACTTCGCCTGGCCACGCCCATGGGCGGGAACTTGTAGAAGGCCCGACCCTCGGCTAGTGGGTGCCAGGTTTTCAAGGGACTACCCCAATGCGAGAATCTGGGCAGATATCTGAAGGTGGACAGGAACTAAGTACAGGGGGGCGAGTCCGGGTATGTGGGATAGTAGTCCACATACCAAGTGGGAACCAGGATCCTGTGCTTGAGCCCTAAACTCGGAGGTGACTTTTATTTCATCCACAAAACACAGGAGTCATGGTGCCATTAAGTGAGTTAAGTGTTGGGCAGTTACTTAAACATCAACAATTTGAATCCACCAGCCACTCGGAAGGAGGACAAGACAATCTCCTATAAAGAATTACAGCCTCGAAAACCCGATGGAGGGTCACCATGAGTAGGAATGGAGGCTAAGGCACTGGATTTGGTTTTTTGCTTGTTTCCCCAACACACACAGCTCTGAGGCTGTGGCATCAGTCTGAGGGTGCCAGGCGTCAGGCACAGGGCCCGGTTGGCAGGCACGAGGACCGCGCAGGCGTCGGTGCCGGCACCAGGCTGAAGAGTGCGCGGCGGCCAGCAGGGGGCGAGGGCGGCGGGCCAGCCTGCAGGGAGCTGAGTGCGGCCAGGCGCTGCTCTCTAGACACGTCGCCACGCAGGTCCAGGAGGGCAGAGACGTGATCCTCACTGCAGGACACCACCGAGGAGTGTCAGCCTCAGCCCGCTCCTCCCCTGCTCCTCCTCCCTCTGAGCTTGGCGCCCCGCACCTCACATCGGGGAATTGTTGCCGCAGGCTGGCCACCTCGAGGCTAAGCAGCGTGGGGTCACTGAGGTGCAGCAACTCCCGCAGGGCAAGCAGCACCGGTGCACACTGAGCACTCTCCTCCAGACCCTGCTTACCGAGATGGGGAGGGTCTTGAGCGGCCTTCAGCTCCCCACCCAACTAGTTAGGCCCTGCCCATCTGTCCCCTCGCTCTTCCCTTACCAAACCTAGGAAGAGCTCCTGCAGCCGGGTGGTATCGAGCCGCAAGCGCTCGGCGGCCTGAGTGCGCTCGTCAGCACCGCGGCATACTAAGCGGCCCTGCATCAGCGCGTGCAGGTACTGCAGCACCACCGTGCGCTCTGCCTCTGCCAGTAGCAGCTGCGAGAACGGCGATCAGAGGAGAGCAATCAGAGGAGGCCAATCACAGGGGGGCGATCGGCAGGTCCGAGTCGCTTTTCCCATCAGCGCCCTTCCTGCTCCTCCCTCCCAACGCACCTGGGCCCCAGGGCTCCGCACACGGCTGAAATCTCTGCATAAACTTGCCGTCCGTTCACATACACTGTCCAACAGCTCTGTGCTTGACAGCCATTGGCGCGAGGGCAGGGTTGCGAACAGGGGCTGGAGGGGGCGATGAGAGAGACGGCCCTGCATTTAGACCTGGCATTCCCGCCCCGCAAACACACGTTGTCTCACGCTTGCCCTGACGCTCACCTGGAGCTCCTCCAGCAGTGCCTCCAGCACCAAGCGGCAGATCCTCCTCTGCAACTCCTCCAGCGCAGCTTCCACCCTCGCCAAGGCCACTGAGGCCGCCCCCTCGACTTGCAGGAAGGACATGGACGACCTAAAACGAGGGAAGGGAAGGGGGGAAAGTGAGTCGACTTTGACATAGCAACCTTAAGGAATAAAATACAACTGCTCCATCTGGAAGTTACAAATCTTAACAGGTACTGACTGCCCCATGATTCCCCTGGAAACAGCAAGTGGATTCCAACCACCAACCTCATGAGTAGCATAATAATGCTTAATCCAGTGTGCCACCAGGGCCCTCGTCCGACTTAAAAACCTGCTGCTGTTCAGTGGATTCTAATTTATCACAACTGGACAGATCAGACAGAACTACCCCACTGCTTTCTGAGGCTGGAAATCTTCACAGCCTGGGTCATTTTTCTTTCTGGGGGGTTTGAAATGCTGATCTTTCTGTCAGCAACTCCACAGGTGCATGGAAGACCTACACCCCACACACTGGCCTCAAGTAGATTTTCTCTCATAGTGACACCCTTCTGTAGGCTTTGAGGTTATAAATCTTTGCTGTTTCATCTTTCTCTCTCAGAATGGCTTGTGGATTGGAAGTGCCCAATACTGAACCTACTACTTGTAGTTATGTGACGTGGAGCCGCCTGTGACTCATAGCGACCTAAACCCTACTCTATTCCTTGCCAATCTTATTGTCTCCAGCATACCTATCCCCATTACCCCAGTCACTGAATCAGTCCATCTCATTGAGGGTCTTCCTCTCCTGAGCTGTCCCTCCACCCTCCCAAGCATGATGTCCCTCTCCAAGGACTGATCCCGCCTTGCAACAAGTCCAATATATGTCAGACAGAGCTTCAGAATCCTTGCCTCCAGGGAGAAAGCCTGGCTTCACCCTCTCCAGAATAAATTTGTTCTCCTAGCAGTCCATGGAATATTCAATACTCTTCCCAAGCACCACAGCTCAAAGACACCAACTCTCCTTCTATCCTTTCTAGTCACTGTACAGCTCTCTGATGCATAACAAGTAGTTGCAAAGACCATGGCCTATATCAGGCACAACTTAGTCTTCAGACTGACATTGTTGTTCTTCAGTACTTTGGAGAGGTCTCTGACAGTAGACTTGCCCAGTGCAATTAATCTTGTAATTTCCTGGCTGCTAGTACCAAGAGTGTTGATTGTAGAGCCAAGCAAACTGAAGCTGTCAACAATCTCAATCTCTTCACCATCTATCATGATGCTGTCAATCGGCCCAGTGGCAACAAGAGAATCTTTGTTTTCTTGATGTTGAACTTCAGCTTCAAGCTTTAGCTTCAAGCACTTCAGGTCCTCCTCAGTTTCAGCAAGCAGGGTTGTAATCTGCATAACGCAGATTGTTGATGAGTCTACCTCCAATCCTGATGTCACACTTCTCGTAGAGCCCAGCCTCCCAGATAATCTGTTCCGCATATAGATTGAAAAGATATGGAGATAGGACACATCCTTGACGCACACCTTTCCCAATTTTGAACCATGCCGTGTTTCCTCACTCTATTCTAACAACTGCCTCCTGGTCCACATATAGGTTTCTCATAAGCACAACCAAGATTCTGCTGAAGATTAGCCAAAAAATGACTGGAACAGCACATCAACAGAGAAATGCCTGAAGTGCAGGCTTGATTGAGAAGAGGCCTTAGCGCTAGACATATTATAGCTAATGTCAGATGGATCTTGGCTGAAAGCAGAGAGTTTCAGCATTTGACTGTGTGGATCACAACAAACTGTGGCTGACTCTGAGAAGGATGGGAATCCCAGAACACCAGACTATCTAAAGAGACCAAAAACATGACTTTCAGGACCAAGACCAAGACCTGCAGGGCCTCTGTGGTCCAGCTACCTGTGCTCCACCAAGTGGCACATGTATGTGGCAGCAGGTGGCAAAAATGTCAGGCTGGAGCAGTGGGATAAGAGAGCTAGAAGGGACACAGCTCCAGCCAGACTTGCCTCTAATCCTTGGAGTGTTCTTGCGTAAGTCTTAGGGTTCCCGTTTGCTCACCCATAAAGGGAGGGAGAGGAGGTTAATCTCTGCCAGGAGTTTGTAAAAATCATCACTAATTTGTTTGTCTTCTCTCTCCTCCCCCCTCTAATAAATATTTGTTGATGAATACATAATTGAGCGCCACTCTGCCATGCACTGTGGTATAGGTACCTCTGTTAGTCTCAGAACAGTAATTATTGTCCACATAGTAGCAATGAGAAAACAGATTTCGAGAAATTAAGTGGCAAGCCCTATGTCACAGAGACAGCAATTAGTAAAAGTAGGATTAGAACCTGGAGTCAAAAGTACTTAATGGCCTAGCAGGCGCTGGTGATGAACGTAATAAGTACTCAGTCGGGATTAGTGTGGTGAAAGTGTGGTTGATTTAAGCCTCATACCTGAGCGCTGTGTGGTGGTTGAGTGTGGCCAAGAGGTAGGGAACATAATGAGGGGCTACTGCTTCACCCCTCAGATGGTCTCGCGAGAATCGGATTAGAGCATCACTGAAGCTGCAGTGGCAGAAATGACACCGTCGTCATCCTGGTGCTCCCACAATTCTCTTGTTGTTAGCTGCTATAGGGTCAATGCCAACACCTTGTGGGCAGAGTAAGACTGCTATATAGAGTTTTCAAGATAGACTTTTTGGAAGCAAGTTGCCAGGCTTGTCTTCCGAGGTACCACTTGGTAGATTGCAACTGCCAATCCTTTTATTTTTAATTTTTTTTTTTTTTAGTTGTGCTGTTTTCTAAAACTACCAAACTTTTAAAGAGCTCTGGTGGCCTAGTGGCAAGAAGCTGCACTGCAGTCCCAGAGGCGCGGTTTGAAACCACCGGATGCTCTGCTGGAGAAGGAGGGACAATGTCTTCCTGCACCAGTCAGATCTGATTTGATGGTACACACAAAAATAACGAAATAAATTAAAAAAAAATTTTTTTTAACTGCCAAACGTTTGACTCGCATAAGTCCTTAACCATGTGCACCACCCAAGACTCCTCCCACAACCTTAGTCTTAGGTCATCAGCCCCACCTCCAAATTCATTCTGTCCCTTTAGGTGACTCGGGAACAGGGTTGGGGGTGAGAAGGGGGACAGGGGCTTGGCGGACCTCCTCAAGAACGTGCTCAGTTCTGACACTGCCATGCCATGCACCCGCCGCTGCAATGACTCACCAACCAGGCTGGTCACTCGGATGTTCTCATCCAGGATCTAGAGGCAGGGATGGGCAGGCATCAGCAGAGTCCCTGGCTCTGCCCCTGCCCTTGCCCCACTGAGCTGCTCACTGCCCACCCACCTGCAGCACAATGGCTGGCATCGGAGAGTGGTAAAAGCCAGACGGGTCTGTGTCTGGTTCCTTTTCCAGACCCCATTCAGCTACCTCCCCATCCAGTGCCTTCTGCATCCACTGGGCCACGCTTGCCTAGAGGAAAAGGGCCGCAGGAGGCATCAGGGCACTGGCCCTGAGAGAGACAGGTAGACACATGACAAATGAAGACCTGAGCTGGACTCTGCGGGTGAAGGACTGCGGCTGATGGGCAGAGTGGCTCTGTGTCTGCGCTCACCTGGACCTTGGCCACATAGGTTGCTTCCAGCTGTTCAATATTCTCTGGGGTCAGCAGGGGCTCCAGGTGCGACACATCAGCATCAGGCCCCAACTCTAGTCTCCCCATCATCTCTGACCTGGAGATGGGTGGCAGGTGTCATGATGGGCATCAGGCACCAATACGTCTCCCTCCCTGTTGTCCCCCGGGCACTGACCCCAGGTACACGTGCTGTGTCCAGTGCAACAGGGTGAAGGCATCAGCAGCTCCCAGCTCAGGACCCATGAGGAGCTGGAGAAGCCTGCGGCGCAGGGCACTGTGCAGGGTATGGGCCCACAGCTGGACCACCTGGTAGTGCGGTGGGCAGCAGGGGGCTATGAGCGCCTCAGCTGTGGCCAACTCTGATGGTAGTGCCACCCTCAGGGTTTCCAGCCATTCTGTTAGGGCCCCTGGCCCAGGCAGCACAGAAGTCCCGAAGTGGGCCTGTTCCAGTCCCTCCTGGAGTGCCCGCAGAAAACGCTGCCTCCAATCCCGCAGCGGCTGCCCTAGGGGGCTCGTGCGCTCAGTTTCCACCTCGGCCACACGCACAGCAGCCACCAGCTGGGCCGGGTCCTCCCGAGCCAGCCGCCGTGCAGAGCCTGCAGCCACCTCCACAGCCCAGCCCAGCGCCTCGGTCAGAGGGCCCAGCCCCTCGAAGACTGGCAACTTCAGGCCTCCCAGGGGGCCCCAGGTGTCCTCTTGAAGTTGTTCCAACTCTCGAAGGCTCACATACGCCTCTAGAAACTGCTGGGCATTAATCATGGTCTTTATGTGGGCTGCTGTAGCCGGCACTAATGGAGAAAAAGAGGAAATGGCCTTGTGTCTCAACTTTCCCACCTATTCAATGGGTTCAGTGTGGCTGCTGAAGCCCAGGCCTGAAGTGACATATAAGATACTTAATAATTAGTACAATGTGACACTGGTCAATCTGATGGACTCACGTGAGACCCTTGAGGAATGGTAAGTCACGTGTCAGTCCTTGGACTGATGAGCAAGTCAGAAGCTATCGGCGTAACTAGGAAACCAGACTAGAGGTGACTGGTTCAGTGAGTTAGGGAAATATTTCAATATACTAACAACTGGGTGGCTAAAATCACTTGGCCATGTGTCATCCTGACTTGGACTTTGAGTTACTCTCTAGGAGGTCCAGGGGTGCCCTCCATGCACTCCCCATCTAGTGTTCCAGTCTGTTGCTCACGGACAGATGTTTGCTTATTGACTGCTGGAGGGCTAAAGCCTCACTTACCTGCTTGAAGTCTGGGCAAGAGCTGAGACAGGGCTTGCAGTTGCTTGTGTTGAACCACCTGTTCCCGAAGGGGCTGTAAGGTCTGTGCAGCCTCAGTGATGCCCTGAAGCAAGCTGTGGGCCTGACCCAGGGCCTCCCGTACTCCCTGCACAGCTTCAAGGGCCCGACTCAATTGCCATACACCAGTCTGCACGCCCTCCAGGTACGACTGCACCACTGACTGTGAGAGCGAAGTGTCCAGTGAGGCAGGGCTCACCTCAGCAGGGCCCCTTGCTCCAGTCCCTGCCCAAAGCCCACCTTGATGCGTGCTTCCAGCGAGGAGGTGCGCTGTATCTCTCGGCTTCGGTACTGGCCCAGCCTAGCCAACTGCTCTGGTCGGTAAAAAATGCCTGAGGCCCACTTCAGTGCTGCACCTCGGGCTAGCTGTTCCGCCCTCTCCTGCTCCGGCCACTCAGGCCCAGGACAGGAAGAGCCTGGGTGGCAGCAGCTTCAGTCACTTGCAGGGCCTGCAGGAAGCCTCTGCCAAACCTGCTCCCTTTTCCCTGGCCCCAAGGCCACTCCTCTCACTGCCCTCTTCACCTCTGATCAGGATTCCTATACACAACTAACCCCACCATTCTCATTCTCTTTGCCATCATCTCTCCCCAGCCCACCCAGAAGGGCTCCTACCAGGAGGAAGTGTTGGCTCCATTTCATCCTTGGCTGCTGGGTCCATGGCAGGCTCTGGAGGAGCCAGGGCTAAACTGGAACTCAGGGTAAGTCGCTGGGTCAGAGCAAGCACAGCAGATCCTCCTTGGAGCTTCGGCTTCTGCCTATGATTCTCTAAGAAGGAGGTGGGTGGTTTGTGCCCAGCCCTTCAGGAAATGAGAGGAAGATGGGTGTGATGGGGAAAATACCTGGGAGCCCTTCACTCACTGAATTTCTCAGTTGTGTCCCTGTCTTTCAGGCTGACACTGGTTTCCACTGGATGAAGCCGGAGAGGTCAATCTGGTGTGGAAAGCATCAAGCTTGACCAGGTTCCCAGCCCAGTTCTCCCTCCTCCGCACACAGCCTTGGCCTTGAGATGGCCTTCTCTTCCAGGCCCCTGGCAGAGCTGGTCACTCCCTCACAGGCTCACAGAATCTCAGGCCCACTTCTGGGTGCACAGCAGACCTCTTCTCCCCAAGGAAGCTTGTCTCCCTGCTCTCAGCCCAGGAACACAGAAGCCCCTCCCTTCCCAAGGCCACAGGGCAGAAAGGAAGGAAGCTGAGTCTCTGGCACTTTATTCCCAACAGGAAAGAACATCTGAATAGAAGATGTGGTGGGGAGGTCCAGCATCACTTCCTGAGGGCTGGGGGAGGGAGTGTACACCCTGTGACCAAGGAGTCCTAACAGCCCACTGAGGCACCACTTAGGCATGGACTGGACATGAACTGGCCCTGCCTGAGGTGGGAGCAAAGAGCGTGTAAATATAGATACAGACAACAGTGAGGAGGATGTGTACCTCTGGAGAGGAGAGAGGGGCCACATGCTGTTGAACAGAAGGTAAGCCATGGATGACAGTGAGAGGGGAATGAGAAGGCTAGAAAACTAAGCTGAGAGCTGGTCTCCTCCTGAGGGCTGTAAGGTACCCACATCCCAATCCACACCTCCGCGGCCCAGGTGTGCAGCAAGCTCAGGACTCACAGCTGAGTCTCTCCCAATTAGTCTCTCCTTAATGGGGAGGCACAGAGACCCAACCCCTTTGCCTGAATTTAGAATATCTAGGACTTCCCTGCTCCAGAGCTTCTGGTAGGATGGTTGTGGTCTCTATTATAATTACACCATAAATCCTTATCCAAATCTGCCTTGTATGCACCAACCGTGGTTCCCTAATAAACCTGCAAGCAACTATATGTCTCAAAATCTATTTCCCAGAGATCAGTACCTAAAAGAAACAGTAATTAAAAAATGACAATGTTAAAATATTAAGAATAGGAAACACAGAATGCTTCCTACATGGAAGCAGCTGTGCAGGTTCACATGTTTACATAGACTGAAATGAAGTTAAATCCTGTGGCAGCAACTGGCCCTTTGTGCTCTACTGCATGGAAGTGAAGGGCGTGAGGTTGGGATCAAGGTAGGGGTGGATTGAGGGCAACATGCTAGATGTAGGTAGTGCTTCCTGTATGGCAGGCAGTGAGGGTGGCTAACCACAAGAAGATGGAGAAGCTTCTAGAATCAAGTTTAAGGGCTGTTGGTTCGTCAGGCAGTGTTGTCTCCTTTAAGATGGGGGTTGTGTGCAACAATGAATGATTGGAAACACTAGTTCTTTATACACTTTCATTCAAATCTCAATAAAAAAATCCCAAATAATAGAAGTTTAATTTTTAAAAATAATTTTTAAAGTATAATAGACTTACGAAGTTTATTATACTTAACAATTTGAGGTACAATGATTTCTAATAACAAAAAGGTGGTACTTGGTTACGGACATCCAAGTGCTATCATTATGATTACTATATTATTATATTAAGATGGCTTAGTGTAAAAAAAACAAAATATGGGGGTTGTGGCGGAACACACGGGCAGAGGTAGGAGCCACCCTTTGACCTCTTCCACATCCCTCTCCAGTGTGTCCTATGCCTCGGATTCTCAGACTGTTTGCGTCCTCCTCGGAGGTTAGACATTTGCTGATCATCCCTTAAAATTTGCGGCGGTGCCTGTGGAGATAAATTGCGCTCCGTCCCCTGGAAGGGTTCTGGGAGGAAGCGGAAGCAGCTAGGCTGGTGGCCGGGTGGTTCGAAACGGAAGCGGAAGTGGCGGAGGTGCCGGCCTGGCCTGGCCTGGCTCAGGGGAGGCGGCGGGCGGGCGAGATGGCAGAGGCCGGGCCCCAGGCGCCGCCGCCCCCGGGCACGCCAAGCCGGCACGAGAAGAGCCTCGGACTTCTCACTACCAAGTTCGTGTCACTTCTGCAAGAGGCCAAGGACGGTGTGCTTGACCTCAAGCTGGTGCGGCCCGGGCTAAAGGGGCAACGGAGGGAATGGTGGACCAGGCCTAGGTCGGGAAGCGGGAACTCTTGCACGGCCCCGCCGAACTCAGGGAGACCAAGCCGCCATTCGTGTGCTTTCTCAAAGGAAGGAGACCAGGGGCCGTTTCATTCATTCGATATACCACATTGAGCGCCAGCTGTGTGCCCGGCTCGCGGTTACAGGTGCTGGCCCTCGTGGCTCTGCTGACCTGGTAGAGAGCATGTAAACATCTCGGGGCTTCGCCAGATCCCGGTCCTACGATGCTATCTATAGTGCCTGAGTGGAGGGTTGGGACCCAGGCTTCTCCTTCGCAAACAAATCCGAGTACGCGGGGGCCTGCGGACCGACAGGTGCACTGGAAGTGTGTGTGTACGTGGGTAGATGGCTAGGCGCCCTTGGGAATGGGACTGAGCATCCTCCACTCTGTTGTGTGTGCCAGGCAGCTGACACCCTAGCTGTGCGTCAGAAGCGGCGGATTTACGACATTACTAATGTACTGGAAGGCATCGGGCTGATTGAGAAGAAATCCAAGAACAGCATCCAGTGGAAGTGAGTGGGGGCACTCAGTGAGCCGTGTGATCACCTACCCAGAATGTCGGGGGTGTAGGGTAACGAAGAGATAGATGCAGGAGAGGGCAGGGACCTTGGGATCTCCCCGTAGTCGCTGGCAGCCTCTCTTAGCCCCATTCCCTGGACTTAGGGGCGTGGGACCTGGCTGCAATACCCGGGAGATTGCGGATAAGTTGATTGAACTCAAGGCGGAGATCGAGTTGCTGCAGCAACGGGAACAAGAACTGGACCAGCACAAGGTGTGGGTGCAGCAAAGCATCCGAAATGTCACAGAGGACGTGCAGAACAGCTGATATCCTCCTGGGGGGGTCCCTGCTCTGGGGAAGTGGGTGAGGGGCCCTCCGGTTCAGTGGGTTTTGCTCTGCCGCACCTTGGGCCTTGCCCCTTTTGGGGATATGTCCCTGCCTTCTCACAGCTCCTCCCCCTCCAGTCTTGGTCTTTGATCCCTCTCCATGTGGAACCCAGGCCCCAGGACTTTCAGGGTCAGATGTCTGCTTAGAAGCTGGGTCCTCTCTGGTCTGCCATTTTTCACCATAGGCAGGGCACTGGCCGTTCTCCTTAACCCCCACACCTTGGCCTACGTGACTCATGAGGACGTCTGCCGATGCTTTGCTGGTGAGCAGAGCCTGGGTAGAGGGAGTTCAGGGTGGGACAAAGCTAAACCACAGCCTTGAGCATTGGGGTGAGTGTCCAAGGAGAGTTCATCTCTGGGACCTAAAGAGGAACCAGGTGTGGGTAAATCAAGGGTCTCCTGGGACTTTGGAGGTCAACCATACCGAGTGGGCACAGGAACTTGGGCTGGGTCCCTGGATCCGGCTCCATTTACACTGTCTCTTGGATTGTTTTCTCAATTAGCATATTAGTAAGAGAGAGAGGTGAGAGTATGTGTGCATGGGCATGCTTACATTTAGACAGCACTGGCTCCCACTTCCAAGCTATAGCTTAGGGGGGCTGTTGTGAATAGGAGCTGTTCCTTGTCTATCTTGCATCGCCTAGGATGGTTCTAGGCAGGAGATGTTGGACTTGGGCAGAACACTTCTACGCAGGGGACAGCCCCGTCAGCTGTTCAGTTAGATACTCAATGACTAGTGATCTTTTGCTCCATGTGTTTGAACACAGATTTCCTGATTACAGACCCCTGGGCTCTCGGAAAACCTTTAGTCCTCTGCCCTGGCCAGTATAGGGGATGAGGAAGGACACTATTGAGCACTCAGAGACCAGTCTTGTATTAAGGGTCAGACATCCCCTTTTCAGCTTGGGCTGAGCCTGTGGACCTTGACCAACCCCCTTGTTATTCTAGGAGATACCCTTCTGGCCATCCGGGCCCCATCAGGGACCAGCCTAGAGGTGCCCATCCCAGAGGTGGGTACTTAGCTCAGGCAGGCAGAGATGGTAGAGGGTGGGTACTGGCTGTGGGGCCTGATAAGTCCTGGGTGGGGCAGGTGAAGGGGAGGCCAGGGCTTTGGGGTTATCTGGGAGGACGGGGCAGCCAGTGGTGGAGGATACTGTGCCTTGGCCCAGGTTCAGGCAGGACCCTGACTTGCTCCCAACTCCATCTCTCTCCTCCCCCACGTTCAGGGCCTTAATGGGCAGAAGAAGTATCAGATTCATCTGAAGAGTCTGAGTGGTCCCATTGATGTGCTGCTGGTGAACAAGGAGGGCTGGAGCTCACCACCTGTGGCTGTGCCTGTCCCACCACCTGAAGATCTGCTCCAGGGCCCACCTCCGGTCTCTCCCCCTCCACCTCTGCCTACACCTGCCCAGCCTCAGGAAACCTCACGGCCAAGTAGTCCCCAGCCATCCACCCCTGCACCTGTCTCCAGCAGCAGCGAGGCCCACGGGGCGGCTGGTCCAGTAGCTGAAAGCACAGGTGAGACACAGGTGAGGGCAGTGGAGCTGTTACCTCCCTCCTGGACTCAGCCCACAGCACCCAGCTCCCTAGAATCTGGACTTCTGTGTTATGGAATGTCATACCTGTAGAAATTGCCCCTTTTTTGCCCCTTCTGACTACCTTTTTGTTAAAGTAATGAACAAACCCTTTTTAACAGGGAAGGTGTGTTTTGAAGGGCCATTGTGATAATAGTTTCCTTCAGGTGCCTTTGTGCCTGAGTGCCCCGACAGCCAGGTCGCCCAAGAGTCTCCCTTTTCTGAGCCCCACACTGTCTCCAATAACTCGTTTCCGAGGACTGGAATACCTAATCCTCCTTGGACCTGGGTCCCAGGGCTGTGGTCATCCTGGCCGCCTTGTGACTGGGAAGGGGGATGTGGTTGCAGTGAGTTTCAGCCCCGGAACGGACAGCAAGGACAGTGGTGAGCTCAACTCGCTTCCTCTGGGCCCGACCGCACTGGACACTCAGCCGCTGCAGTCTTCTGCCCTGCTGGATAGCAGCGGCAGCAACAGTTCATCAGGACTCAATCCTTCTACCTCCTTTGAGCCAATCAAAGCAGACTCCACAGGTGGTGAGTATCTGGCGTTTGCTTCTTACAGGACCGGAATGAGTCTTGAGCTCACAGCACTGCTAAATTTCTCAAGTGATCTCACTTTTGAGCCCTTCTTAACTCATTGAAAAAGGCAGCATCACCCCACCTCCTCTTTGTCATGTGGTCCCTCAAGTTGGCTCAGCTCTTTGCCCTCCCTCCCCCCCCAGTACTACACCAGCGTTGCTGGTCACAGCAGGCAGCTCGGGTTTCAGGTTGCTCAGTTTGTTGATGCTCTTACCTTCTGTGACTTTAGTGGCTCTTCTGCCTCACTGACGAACCTCTGCCTGACACTCCTTAAACACTGGAGCCTCCTGTCCATTCCACCCCTGGGAGGACACCAGCTCTGAGGAAACCCTTCTTCCATAGACTGACTGTCTTATCTGAACTCCAGGCTTCTGTGTTCTGAAGCCTGCTTCCCATAATACTTCATTTCCACTTGTCCTCACCAGAGCTTTTTCTCAAAATCTGCTTTCCTGCCTCGTTTGCTCTTGTCACTCAAACCTGACAACCTAAGTGTGACTCTTAACTGGACTCCACCTCAGTGAGTCCTCCCACCTCCTGCATCCTCAAATCCTAGGACTGGTCCTGAGCCCCTCCAGCCCCAGATACTTTAGCATCAATCTGTCTGAAATACAAACCTGATGGGAAAGCCCCATTTAGAGAAGTATCTATGGTAGTTCCCAGGGCCTGTTGGCTAAAAACATGCTAAGGCAGGCATGATGCAGTCCTTGGGATCAGACCCCCACACTCTGTAGCTTCTTCCTCTGCTTCCTCTTCCATTACCTCCTCCCCATCAGATTTTTCTGGTAGTCACCCTGTGGCAGGTTACTGGACCTTAGCTGAGGGCTCAGCCTAGCACCGCAGCACAGCTGCTTGGCATGGGTGGTGGTGGTGGTGGTGGTGGTGGTGGTGCAGCATCCGTTTCAGGCAGGGCGTACCTCAGTCCAGAGAGGGGTGAGTGGGTCTGCCCATCTGCAGTGTGTTCAGTTAGGTGTCTGGGCCCCGCACCTGTGACAAGCCTTTGGCTCTTTGGGACTCTAGTAGAGGCGATTTGCCAACAGTGGCAGCTTGGCCATCATCAGGGCCATTTTCTCCCCAGTTGACAGCTTGGCCATCATCAGGACCATCTCCCCAGTTGAGTGGAGAACCAGGGTGGGCGGTGTGGGATCCGAGGAGGGCTAGGGTTGGAGTGGGACCTCTGTGCCCTTGAGCATGACCTTGTTTTTCAGATCTGGACTTCACTAAAGAGTTCTCAGAAATCCTGGAGCCCACGACAGGTAGGGCTCTGTGCTTTCCTGGGCCTCAGTTCCCACTGCTGTTCTCTTATCCTTCAGAAGACCTTACACCTGTGCCTTATACCTTATGCCTGGGACATAAGGAGGTTTCTTGTGGGTGGGAAGGGTCCCCTTTATGGTTTGGTGGATGGGAAGAGGTGGTGACAGGAAGTAACTGAGCTCCCCTCCTTCCCAGAATGCATGAGCTCAGAGCTGCTAGAGGAGCTGATGTCATCAGAAGGTGGGTGTCCAGGTTGGTGGGCATGGGTCTGGGCAGGGGGTTGGTGGCAGCTGGATAGGACCTTGGCTCAGGGCCTCAATCGAATGCTCTCTGCAGTGTTTGCCCCCCTCCTCCGGCTCTCTCCACCCCCTGGAGACCATGACTACATCTACAACCTGGACGATAGTGAAGGTGTCTGTGACCTCTTTGATGTGCCTGTTTTTAACCTCTGACTGACAGGACTTGGCCCTGTAGGGCTGAGACACAGACTATCTGATCTGGGGGAACTCGCCCCACCTCAGTTCAACACAGCCACAGGTTCCTGGCGTCCCCACCCTTCCCACACCTGCCTCTTGGTACCTCCACCTGCGTATGCTAAAGGGAGCAGGGCAGGGGGATCAGCCTCACCTCCTGGAACCAAACGTTTGGTTCTTTCCTGGAGCTCGCGCCCACCTTGTGCCCTCCTCACCCTCTGCTGCCACCTAGTGGCACAGAACCCATGACGCACCCACCTGACAGCCCCACGCCCCTGCTGCCAGTCCGCACCTCCAAGGAGGGCAGGGCAGGTGGCGCCGGGGCCTTTGCTGCTGCCTGCTCCTGACCCTCCAGCTCCTCTGGGTCTCTGGTGTGCCCCCCCCCAAGCCATGAGAACCTGTAGGTGATGAGGGGTGCTATCCGGAAGAAACAGAGGTCTAGGTAGTAATCTAGGTGGGCCATTCTGTTCATTTCCTCTCAAGTTAGAGCCATTTGCAGAGTTTTAGAAAGATTTACGGTAATGAATGGATTCCTATATAAAGATTATTTTTATACTTTTTTGCAGCAAAAGTAAATTGTAATATTTGTACAGTGGCCAAGTTAATAAAGACCATGCCTAAGGCTGTCTCTGATGTGTTTTTTCGGGGCTCCTCCGGGACTCCTGGACTGGGGACTCTTGGATTGGCCCGGGGCCACCTTGGGGAGGTGTGGCCGCCCTGGGAGCCTGCCTTCCCCGCCCCCACCTGCCTCACCTTGGGCGGGGCGGGGCCGGCGGGGGCGGGGCGCCGTCGATCCTGACTCCCGGGACTCCTACCCGGAACTCCGCTCCCTCGGGAAGGCCGCGCGGCGCCCGCTGCGAGCGGCGAGAGGACCCGGTGTTCAGAGTGCGGGAGCGGGAGGCCCGGGCCAGGTACCGCGGCGGCACTGCCTCTGGTAGCGTCGTCTGGGAGAAGTGCCGGCGCCCACGGCCGGGCTGGACCCATGGCGCCCCCGCGGAACGTGGTGAAGATCGCTGTCCAGATGCGTGACGCCATCCCTCAGCTCATCCAGCTGGACCAGGTCACCCGGCCGGTCCTGCCTCCACCCGCCCCCTCGTCCCACCTTCTGGGTCGCTCTACCCCCCCTCCCCCGCCCTGGCCCCTCCCTCCGGAGCAGCCCGCACCCGCTTTCCCCGGGCCTCCCCACCTCCCCACCCCCAGCTGGTGAATGACCATCCCCTTGCAGGCGAAGCCGCTGGCCGCTGTGCTAAAGGAGTTGTGTGACGCGTGAGTGCCGGTGGCCTGGCCGCGGGGGCGGGGAAGGGCAGGGGAGGAGGCGCCCCCTGGCGGCCTCACTGAGACTCGGGTGCCTGCGGCAGGTGGAGCCTGACCCACCCTGAGCGCTATGCCCTGCAGTTTGCTGATGGGCACAAGAGATACATCACAGAGAACGTGAGTCCTCCTTCCTCGCCCCCCGCGTACTCCAGATGCTCCCTCCCCACCTGAGCCCAACTTCTGGCCCCCTTATTGCTCACCTGCCCTGATTCCACTGACAATGTCCCATTATCTGAAATGTGATCTTTGTTGCGTCCAGCTGATTCCAACTGAGCTACCCTGCAGCACAGAGTCGAACTAACTGCCTAGAGGGTTTGGTTTGCCAAGGCTTTTTGGGAGGGAGCCCTTGCGGCACAGTGGTTAAGTACTCCGCTGCTGAGAGGTGGCGGTTTCAACCCACCAGCAGCTCCACCAGAGGAAGATGAAGCGGTCTGTAAATACAGCCGTGGCAACCCGCGGGGGATGCCTTGTCCTTCAGGGTCAGGTCACTGTGAGTCAATGTTGACTCAACAGGTCCAAGCAATTTTCACATAAGTAGAGTCAGGTGCTTTTTTCCTCTGAGCAATTGATGGAAATCACCTTTTTGGCTAGCAGCTGAGCATTTAATTACTGTGTCATGAGGGCTCCTTGATCTTTTTACTGACCCACACATCTTCCCTGACACCTTATTTGAGCATTTTCCAGAGCACTCCTTGACTTGCACTGTCCTGCTGTCTCTTCTCCAGAACCGCTCCGAGATCAAGAACGGCAGCATCCTGTGCCTCAGCACTGCCCCAGTAATGCCCCTCCAGCCCTGCCCCGCTTCCTGCCCTGGCCTAGGCCTCCTTTCAATCCTGGCCCCGGTCCCGGGCCAGCAGTGCCCCACCTAGTGGACAACCTGGCTCCCACACCTATTCCCTCCACCTATCTATCCTCCTCCTCTCTGCTCCTGCCCCTGCCAGGACCTTGAGGCCGAAAGACTATTGAATGGGCTGCAGAGTGGGAGTCGTGAAGGCCGCCGGGAGGCCCTGAAGCATCTCGTCCTGTTGACCCCAGACCTGACCTTTGCCCGGGAAGTCATTAGCCGAGATGGGCTTCAGAGGCTAGGCACCATCATTGAAGATGGGGATGAGTGAGCATGGGGCTGTGGTGGGCTGGGGGACATGGTGAGGCTTTCGGGTCCTCCTCTGGCCCTGCTCAGCCCCAGCTGTCCCTACCTAGCCTAGGAGAGGTGTTGGCCCTCGGGTTGCAGGCCTTCTCGGAGCTCATGGAACACGGCGTGGTGTCCTGGGAGACCCTCAGCATCCCCTTTGTTAGGAAGGTGGGTAGGTTTTTCTGGGACAAAGGGTGTGGGCCTTTCACGGGAGTAGAGGTGGTGACAGGCCCCTCTCCATTTGCAGGTGGTATGTTATGTGAACATGAACCTGATGGATGCCTCGGTGCAGCCCCTGGCCCTCGGGCTGCTGGAGAGTGTGACCTTGAGCAGCCCCACCCTGGGCCAGCTGGTCAAAAGCGAGGTGCCATTGGACAGGCTACTGGTGCATCTTCAGGTGTAAGCGTTGAGGACTGGGGCACAGAGGGGGGTACTGGTCCGGACCCTAAACGACTACTGAGCCCTCTTCTCACCACAGGATGAACCAGCAGCTACAAACCAAGGCCATGGCGCTGTTGACAGCTCTGCTGCAGGGGGCCAACAGTGCTGAGCGTAAGGTTGGTGTCTGCCCGCTGGCCACTTGGTTGGCAGGAGCTGGGGGTCCCTGTGCCTCCCAGCCTGTAGGCTGATGGTGGGGCTAGATCATCTGGGTCCCCTTCCCTCTCTCCTTAGCGCATGCTTGACTACCTATGGCAGAGAAACTTCCGCCAGTTCATCTATAAGGTAGGAGGGACCGGGCCAGGGTGACCCCCGCCCACTGCATTTCTGGTACCTTGCCCACACTCATACCCGCGGACTGGCTGCCGCTAGAACATCATCCACAGTGCAGCACCGCTGGGCGACGAGATGGCCCATCACCTGTACGTCCTGCAAGCCCTCACACTGGGGCTCCTGGAACCACGCATGCGGACGCCCCTGGACCCCTACAGCCAGGTGTGGGCCAGGGGGATGAGACTGAGGGCAGCTGGGAGCTTGGCCTGGAGTCTCCCATCTTGACCACCCCAATCCCTGCCGTCCCCAGGAGCAGCGGGAGCAGCTGCAGGCCCTGCGCCAGGCAGCCTTTGAGCCGGAGGGGGAGTCTGTGGGTGCGGGGCTGAGCGCCGACCGCCGCCGGTCCCTCTGTGCCCGAGAGTTCCGCAAACTGGGCTTCTCGGTGAGTGAAGCCCTCTCTACTCCCTCACTGCCTCCACCCAGGACTGTTGTTCCTGAGATTGGGGGCCATCCTGAGCTACCACTGTCCTTTAGGATAGCAACCCGGGGCAGGACCTGGAGCGCGTGCCCCCTGGCCTGCTGGCCCTGGACAACATGCTGTACTTCTCCAGGCACGCACCCAGTGCCTATAGCAGGGTCAGTGATGGGCTGGGTGGGGCAGTACAGGGGCCCCCGGGGCAGGCCTCACTGGCCTAGCTGTGACTTCCTGCCCCCCCCTCCCCACACCCACCCCAGTTTGTGCTGGAGAACAGCAGCCGTGAAGATAAACACGAGTGCCCCTTTGCCCGAAGCAGCATCCACCTGACCATCCTGTTGTGTGAGCTGCTCCACGTTGGGGAGCCCTGTGAGTAGGCCTGGGCCCTGTGTGTCCGCGGACAGGGATGAAAGGGCAGAGAGGGCCAGGGGCTGCACACGCTTCCTCCTTGAGCTCTTTCTGTCCCCCCGGCTCCAGGCTCCGAGACGGCCCAGGACTTTTCACCCATGTTCTTCAGCCAGGACCAGAGCTTCCATGAGCTCTTCTGTGTGGGCATCCAGCTGCTGAATAAAACCTGGAAGGAGATGCGGGCCACACAGGAAGATTTTGACAAGGTGGGTGGGGTGGGAGCTGGGGGCCCCTGGCCAGGCTGGGCCCCAGAGCACGTGTGCTGAGCGGGGGTTCGGTGGCCCCAGGTCATGCAGGTGGTGCGGGAGCAGCTGGCTCGCACACTGGCCCTGAAGCCCACCTCCCTGGAGCTCTTCCGGACCAAAGTGAACGCACTCAGCTATGGGGAGGTGCTGCGTCTGCGCCAGACAGAGCGGCTACACCAGGAAGGCACGCTGGCACCCCCCATTCTGTAAGTTGAGGAGCTGGGTCCCCAGTCGTGGCCTGTACCTCCTCTGGTACTGCGTGAACCCTGCCCCTGGTCAGTACCAGTCAGTGACCTTTTCCCGCCCCACCCAGAGAGCTGCGAGAGAAGCTGAAGCCAGAGCTTATGGGCCTGATCCGCCAGCAGCGTCTGCTGCGTCTCTGCGAGGGGACACTCTTCCGCAAGATCAGCAGCCGGCGGCGCCAGGGTCACTAAGTGCACAGAGACGGGGCAGGCGGGTGGCCGGGCAGGGACTGGGCGCCGGTGCCACTCCTCACTCTTCCTCTTTCCCCATAGACAAGCTGTGGTTCTGCTGCCTGTCCCCCAACCACAAGGTGCTGCAGTATGGGGACGTGGAGGAGGGCACAAGCCCACCGCCCCCTGAGAGCCTGCCTGAGCAGCGTAAGCGGGCAGGGGCAGGGCAGAGGCTGACCCAGCCCTGTGCATACGTGGGTCCCAGTGATCAGCACAGCCTTCTCTCTGCAGTCCCAGTGGCGGATATCCGGGGACTCCTGACAGGCAGGGACTGCCCCCACGTCCGGGAGAAGGGCTCCGGGAAGCAGAACAAGGTGAGGCCTTGGGGGATCGGAGCCCTGCCCGTGTCTTGCCTACCGGCTCCCTGCTCAGTGCTCCTGCCCTGCCTCCTCAGGACCTCTGTGAGTTAGCTTTCTCAGTCAGCTATGACCATGGGGAACAGGAAGCATTCCTCAACTTCATCGCCCCCTCCAAGCGAGAGGTGAGTGCTGAGTAAATCTGAACTGGCTTGGACAGGGGGGCAGATGGGCAGGGGCCTGAGGAGCAGGCCTTCAGTGTTGCCCCTGTCTCCAGTTCTACCTGTGGACAGATGGGCTGAGTGCTCTGCTGGGCAGCCCCATGAGCAGTGAGCAGACACGCCTGGACCTGGAGCTGCTGCTGACCATGGAGACCAAACTGCGGCTGCTGGAGCTGGAGAATGTGCCCATCCCTGAGCAGCCGCCCCCCGTGCCCCCACCCCCCACGAATTTCAACTTCTGCTATGACTGTAGCATTGCTGAACCTTAGTGGGGTCTGGCAAGGTGGAGAGGCACCGACACCCCTGACCCGCAGGGATTGTTGCAGAAATAAAGTCAGCTTTGGCTCTTGGGTGTGTGTGTCGAGCCAGCTCTGAACCTCACGGGCGCAGCCTGCCTCAGTGACAGTGTTCACCATCTGCCTTCACACTTAGCTCGTCAAGTGCTGGTGTTTTGAAAGGTGGTGGAAAGAAGCTAGGCCTGGCTGAGAGTCAGCCCTGAGGGATCCTGGGGCACCTGTGGGGCTCTGTGCCTCAAGCAAAGGGTGTGTAAGTGGTGTTTTCTCCATTTTGTTCTGGGTTGGGCCACTTCAGCGAGGTGAAGCTGAGGTGACTGGGCCCTTCGGTCTGAGAACTTCAGACAAAGAGGTAAGATGGAATTTTTAATCAGGTTTGGCTTTTACAGCATAGACTGGCTTGGCTGCTAAAATTCAGTGCTTGTAGGGCCTGGAAGAATGCCTAAAGGGGACCAGGCAGGTACAGGCCTCAGGTCTGAGAGGAGCAGGACAGGGCAAGGGTCAGTTCTACTGCAGCATGAGATCCAGGCTACCTGGGGGACTGGCCGCCAGCACAGAGCCTGGCCAGGCAACTGTGGTTTCTAGGGGCTGAGGGGCAGAAAGTCCCTTGGGCCACCCTGGATTGGTCCTACCCTCAGTCTTAGGAAAGGGTTTTAGTTTGGGGCCTTTGGGGGCATGCAGCAGAGGGAGGCAGAGGACTCCAGATCCAGGGGCCTGTGCTGTGGACTTGGGTTAAGGGGTCTGGGCTTTTGGACTGACTCCTGATTTAGCCTCACAGTGTTAGGGTCAGGTCAGCCCCTCCCACAAATCGGGACTGGACACAGGTCACCTGGGACCATTGGGTTTGGAAGCGTCTGACGGCAGTCACGCTAATACCAGGGCACATAGCCACATCCAGTACCCGGAGCTGCTTGCACGTCTGCCCGATGGTGTCCAGGGTTCTGTAGGGGAGGCCACTGGGTGAGTGCCCACCCCCCATGGGCCCAGCCCTGCCCTGTGCACCCTCTCCTCAGCACTCACTGCTCTGTGAGCTGACTGCAGCTGGACAGGTTGAGGTGCTGCAGCCTCGGCCAGGAGCCAGCTGCCTGGGCCCAGCCCTCGTCACTGAGGAGGCTGCAGTGACTCAGCGCCAAGTACTCCAGGCTCGGGCAGCCCCTGGCCACGGCCACCAGACCCACGTCTGTGAATGCGGGCAACAGACTCAGCGACAGCTTCCGCAGCTGGGGGAACTGGAGCACCTGCAAGGTTGAGAGGATGAGGTGGCTGCAGTGTGGCTGAGCCCAGGGCCTGACCCCCAAGCAAAGGTGAGTGGGCCCTGGGCCCTCAGCCAGTCCACGCTGTAGTCCCACACCTTGGCCAGGCTGGCATCAGTCAGCTTGCTGCAGGCTGTGAGGTCCAGTTCCTGCAGGGTCTGCAGCATGAGCAGGGAGGGGCCCTGTGGCTGGATGGGGAGCTCCTTGGGGCCCACAGCTGGATGCTCCAGCTCTGGATGTGGCTGTGGGAAGAAGGAGCCCCTGCTTTTCAAGTTCTTCCCAAGTCTGGCCACCATGGGCTCCGAGGGAGCGACTTGGAAAGGGCAGGAGGGCAGATGAGGCCAGGGATACTCCCGGCCCATGATCTTGAGAATCTCAGACCTGTAGCCCCAGCGCAGGCTCCTCACTTGGCTCCCGGAGCCCCAGGAGTCCCCAGTCATGGAGCTTCTTGCACCAGGCCAGGCGCAGGATTGAAAGGTGGGTGAGGTAGGTGCAGATGGACTGAACGGTGCGGCTGGTGAGGGCCACGCAGGAGGATAAGTCTAGGACTCTGAGCCTGGGGCTGAGCTCTGTGGTCAGGGAGAACACTGAGGCATCCTAAGGGAAGGAGAGGAAAGAGCGGTGGTTGTGCCTGTACCATCAGAGCTGAGGGCCAGTGGCGAGTGTCTGTCCCTGCTGGCAATAGAGCACTACCAAAAGAATCCAACGAGACAGACGCCTGTGGTAGTGCAAGGAGCGAGCGAGTCGGGGCTGTGAGAGACAGGACGGAGCCTGCTGGGACAGGAAGGACCTAGGTGGAAGTATCCAGGGTCCTGCCCTGCGCTTCTCCCAACCCCTGATGACATAGCCAGCTGGACAAGGGTGGATGGACATCGACCCAAGCTGAGCAGATCAGATAACACTTCCTACAATTGGTAGGTAAGCTGGTTGGGGTCCCAGACCAGCTGAAAGAAGGAAGCCCAATGAGAAAGGGAAGATGGAGAGGCCCTTGTGAGGAAACAAGATTGACAGACTGTTTTTAAAACTGGGAAAGCCCTGATTCCACGATAAACTGACGGGATAACCCACTGAAGTGGGAGAGACGGGGATTGCCAACACAGGAATGTCACCTAGAGGGCTGAGCTGCCTAAGGAACCGGCTTCGGCCAGGACAGGGCCCTGATGCTCGAGTCGCTGTTGCATCCTCAGGCCGGCACCAGCAGCACCCTTCTCTGCAGAGCCTGATTGCCCTTCCCCAGGACTGTGGTCCCATCAGCCCTCTCAGCGCCCTCCCTGTTTCCAGGATACCAGCTCTCATTTCTGACAGCTCCTCTCAGTTCTCTCCAGTCACTGAGTGCCTGATATGTGAGGCCTTCTGCCACCTCCTGGCTGCACCACTCTAGCCACTCTTGTTTCTTAGAACTCCCTTTACCTGAGCCCCCGTGGGGAGGAGAGCTGACAGCATCACTGTCTAGGCCTCCTTTCCCCTTCACACAGTATCCCACATAGTCCTGTTCTCCCTACCATTCTTTGGGAGCAACAGAGTAGCTCCTCTGTGGGGCCATGCTCTGAGGTCCCCACACCTGGGGAGGAAGTAAAGGGGGTGCTAACCTTGAGTGAGGAGCAGTAGGCCAGGCTGAGGGAGGCCAGTGGGGGTGGGGCTCCACATGCTGAGCCCAAGGCTGAGGCCAGTTCCTGCCCGCTCACCATGCTGCACTCGGCCATGTCTAGACACTGCAGCTCCCGCAGGCCCCCCAAAGCCTTGCATCCCACGTCGGTCAGCCGCTGCAGCTTCCTCAGGCTCAGGTGCCGCAGGCGCCGCAGGCCACGGCTCACGGCCAGGAGCGCCCCGTCGGACAGTTCTGAGCAGCCACTGAGGTCCAGGGAGGTAAGGCCTGGCTGCTGGCAGCACAGGGCGACCACGGCCTCAGTGGACAGGTCCCGGCAGCTGTGCAGGCTCAGTTCTTGGAGTTGTAGCCCGGCCACGTGGCCCAGTGCCCTCAGGGCCTCGGGGAGCAGGCCTGTGCCACCGAGGTCCAGGGCCCGCAGCCTGCCTGCGCGCTCCTGCACAAACTGCAACAGGTTTTGGAAGGAGAGGAGGGAGGTACCTGTGGAGCCCAGGGCCGGGCCGAGCTCGAAGGTGAGGGGGCAGTAGGCCAAGGAGAGGCGCTCCAGGCTGGGGGCACAGCTGCTGAGGCGGTTGAAGCTCAGGTCACCCAGGTCCCGCAGGCTGGCCAGGTTGAGCTCCCTGAGGCCTTGCAGAGCCTTCTGCACCCGCTGTGCTGTCTCGGGCTCAGCCAGCAGCGTCCCTGAGCTGAAGAGGCTGTTGCAGCCACTGAGGTCGAGGGTCTGCAGGCCTGGGCAGCCCATGATCAAGGCCACGAAGGAGGCCTCAGTGGGGCTGCCCCCACTCAGGCACAGGCTCTGCAGGTGCGGGCCCAGGTGCCAGGCGACAGACTGCAGCACCTGGTGTGAAGCTGCTGAGCCGTCCAGGTTGGCTAGGCTGATGCAGGAGACGCCCCGGAGGCCCAGACTCCTGATGGCCGGGATGGAGTCTGAGGACACAGGAATGGTGTACCGCACATTTGCCTAAGGGGCAGCGGCAGGCCTGGCGTTAGCTTTGGCTTCAGCGGCAACTGGGCATTAGAGTTTGTGGTGAGAGGAGCAGGCCAGGGAAGGGCCCTTCAATGGCAGGGATCCACCATGGTGTGAGGAGTTGTGTGGTTAGAGGGCGTGGGGAGCAAGTGGGAATGTGGAAGAAATGGGGATCTAAAGGTGGATGATGGTCTCGGGAGATTCCAGAAGGTTAGTGACGGACAAGACTGGATGGATGTCTATGGAGAGACAGGGACTAGGTGGGGAGTATGACCTGAGGGAGGCCCAGAAAAGCCTCCAGGGCTGAGAAGGGAATGACAGAGCAAAGCATGCTGGACCCTAATGTTCAGGACTTTTAGGAGGCACCCTTGAGGCCCAGGTGCCAGTGATTTGGGGACAAGAAGAAACACCTAGGCTCCCCTGCGGTTTCAGTGTATGCTTGAGCCACACAAACATGTATACAAGTCTTGTGAGTAAGTATGTGTGTGTGTGCGTGTGTGTGTGAGAGAGAGACACACACACACAAACACAGATACAGACCGACCGACCCAAGGCCTCCTGCCCTGGACACATTAGAGTTCAAGAGGTCATCGTGACCCCCGTGGTGCATCTCTGGAGATGTCTGTCTGTCCAGGTGAGAAAGGAGGAATGTTCCTCTTCTCTGGACAGGAGCTACTAGATCACATCTTGGAGCCAGGGAAGGTGGTAGGCACACGGTGAGTGTGTGGGAACCGGGAGGCAAGCTCAGGGCTAAATTATTATGGGAATAAGTCGCTAGTGTAGGAGTCTGGGGAGCCCCCAGCTGGGGGAAGGTTTCACAGAACCTTCCCTGATCTTGTGCCAGCGGGAGCTGAAGGCAAGTTGGTACAATTTGTATGGGGGAGGGAGGAGAAGAGAGCTTGGCTTTCTTTTAACGTCGTCATCCTCTCCCACCCCCAGGCAAGGGTGCTCCGATGGCTCCCTAGTGAATCAACCCGATCTCAATTCAGGGGAGCAAGCTCCCTGGAGAACCTAACCTGCCGGGCCAGGACCTATAGAAAGACAGGCTGATGATCCTGTTTAGATTCCACAGGACATCATCCGGGGGGTAACCTGTGCTCCTGGTGGATGTGCTCACTGCCGGTGTGAACAGGCCCTGCCCTGCTTCCAGAGAGAGGCAGGTACGGTAAGAGGTAGCCCCAGTCCTGAGCACTTCCCAGGGCCCATTCCAGGAAGGGGGCCCTCCGGGCAGTGGGGAAGGGAGGACAGGGGGCAGTAAGGACTTCCAAGGGTCTGGGCCCGTCTCCCAGGTATGAGAGATGGGGAAGGTCCCAACACCTTAGGTGGTGGGGAGATGGAAAAGACCAACGAGGAAAAGTTTGTGAAAGATAAAGTAAGACATGCCTCTAGCCACTTTGATAGATGATTCTACTTGGTGTATAATAGAGTGAACTGTGGGAGCCGAGTAGTGGGGTAGAGGTGGTTGTCCAGGCAGCAGCCTGGTCCTGCTGCCCCCACCAGTCACATGTGACAGACAGCAAAGCCCCACAGGGCCCTGAGGTGCTGGCTTCCTCCTGCCCTCAACCTCTGCCTCAGCCCCAGAAATGCTCTCCTGTCTCCCAGCCTCCCTCTGGACAAGACGGACACAGACTGAGAGTCACCTTGGCCCCACGTCTAGGGCCACATAGTGGCACCAAAAGATGGCAGCGTCTGGTCTGAAGAACGTCTGACTTTTTGGGAGGAGTGGTTTGAGACTGTCTCTCCCCTGCTCTTTTTAGGTCTCTTTTGCTCTTTTCGTGGTAGGGAGTGGGCACTATCCAGGCGGATTATGCTGTGCTCACGCTGCCAGATCCAGGAGCAGCCTGGGGGGTAGTTACTGTCTAGGGAAGAGCAGCAAGTGGAAACAACAGGGTACCTGGGCTCCAGTCTGACTACAGGATAGGAGAACGCTGCTTTCCAGGGCCTAGATACCTCTACAGGTCCAAGTGAGGAGAGCAAGGACCCCTGCTTCCACTTAAGCCACCCCCATCCACTTAGAGGCTTAACTGGGCCTATTCCTTCCTTGGTGCTGACATCTTAGATGCAAAATCATTTGGAAAGTGCCTTGAACCATGTAGAGAAGCCTGAGCTGACACTGCTGGGCCTGTGTGCACATTTGGAGACCATCGGGTGGAGAAAATGGCCCTGTCTGCTCCATTGTTGAGTTGGTTCCGCTTACAGAGACCCCAGCATCTGAGCTGAACTGCCCACAGGTTTCTGAGGGTCTCGTCTTCCCAGGGGCATGTCACCAATGAGATGTGCTTTTCTTCAGTGGAATCCGTGGTGGGTTTGAACCAGTTAACAGCTGAGCGTTGAACCTTTGTACTATTAGCTCACTTTCTCTGCTCATGACAGGAGCCCAAAGCTGGGGTGCTCTCCTCCAAAAGTGAGCGCTTTGGTGTCTAGAGAGGAGTTAGGTTTGGGGTCTTCACAAACATAGTGGGTGGGAGGACAGAACTGGGCCGGCCTCAGACCTTGTCTGAATGACCAACCTACAGCCAGGAGACTGGAATGAGAAGAGAGACAGAGAGTGAGTGAGTGTGTGTGTGTAGGGTGTATTGCCTTTGACTGCCTCATTTGAGGAAAGCTGGGATTAAATGACAAGGAGGGTCAGACCCAAGCCTGAGTGCTCCTGAGAAGCAACGATGGCGACTTCATCTCGCACTCTGTGTTCTCAGGAGAGGCCCGTCCCTGGAAAAGGACACCATGCTTGGAAAAGTGCAGGGTCCATGGAAGAAAGGAAGACCCTCACGGAGATGCACTTGCAGTGACTCAACAGTGGGCTTAGGCATTGTGAGGACAGCTCTGGGTCAGGCAGGGGTGCTTCTGTGGCACATGGGGTCACATGAGTCAGAACTGACGTGATGGAACCTAAGTACTAGGTAAATAAGGGGAGCGAGACCTCACCCTTTGATACTCTTTCAGCTAAAATCCCCAGTGTACCTCATAGTCTTCAACTTCGCTTTGTTGTGTGCAACTTCCTCTATTTCACACAAACTCCCCAGGAGCTGGGTCATTTTTCACTCTGCACCCAGAGGGCCCAGCATGGCACCAGACACAGAGCAGGCAGCACAAATACCTGAAGGAGGCAGCCTGCCTTCAGTGCCGCCCACAGCCTCTGCACATGTCGCTGGGCATTTTCCATCCTCCTGTCTCGGGATTATTCCAAACTTCTCCACTTGAGACCCTGGCCTTCATCTCTTCTCACTCTGGAAAGGCAACTTGGCCTTTAAGCTCAGAGAGCAAGAGGCCACCAGACAGGAACTTTTCTCCAAAAATATCTTCATGCTTCCAGCCTACCTTCCGCTTCCTCAGGAGAGGCCACATCCTCCCATCTAAGACCAGCCTGGAGCAGACAGCTGGAGCCTGTCTCTGCCACCACCCTGGGGACTTCGTATCCATCACGCCTGCCTTCTTCCTTCCGTCCACTCCCTCTCCTCCAACGAATCACCCCCTCCCTTCATAAACATATTTGGCTTTTCTCCCAGTTAAAATTCCTTGCCTTCCATAAACAGAGAAGGAACAACTCAGAAAAGGAAGGTGAGAATAATTGTATAACTCAAGAGAATATGATGTTGAATTGTACTCAGTTTAGCACCTTACTTCAAAACATAAAACAATTTTTAATAAATACATATGAGAAATCAAACCATGAAATCAAAGGAAAATGTGAGTGCATCTTTATCAAATCTCTGGAAAAGCAAAGGATCACTAATTGGTTTTTTAAAAAAAATGAGAAATATGTTCAGAATCAGTAACATAAAAACCTAACACGCCGGTCTATTAGATCAGAAGGCAAACACACTAAGAATAGATTTCATTCCATGTTCAAAGGATTCATATCTTTAATGTGTAACTAGTTAATACAAATTGGTAAGGAAAACACTAAGTGGGTAAAAAACATGAATAAACGAAAGGGGGAAAGCACATGGACAGCCAAAAAGAAACCCTCTTCAACTTCAGCAATAATTAAAGACAAATGATCACAATGAGTTATAACTGCTGGCCTTTCAAACTGACAAAGGTGCCTGCATTCAGCTGCCTACTGGGATTTCTTCCAACACTGTCACTCCCCGGCCTCTCAGGTCTGCTTTGCACTGCAGAGTGTTACAACACGAATCACACTGTGTCACTTCCTCGCAGCAAAGTGGCCACTACTCCAAGGCCAAGCCCTGCCATCTGGCACGCCTGCCAGTCTGTAGTGTAAGCCTCTCGAGTCCTACCTCCTGTGACCTTGCCCTCATACATCTATACTCCCATCCTAGGGAGATTTTTGTGTGGTCATTTCCAGAACAATTCCACACCTCACCTCTGCTGGTACCAGTTTGGGAAGTCCAACTTTGCCCCCTGTGTCCTGTTTGTTCAGGGAGGCTTCCCTAACCATGCCAGATTCCTCTGACACCCATCAAGTCCTTCTACCCTCTTTCATTTCTGGGTCACAGACATTGGTCGTCTGCTTCCCTGGAGGTTGAGCTCCTGGAAGACGGAACTGTGTTTTATTCATCCACAAAGTCTCAGCACTGTACCTAGAGCTGAGCTACTACGGAAGTACTGGTTTAGTGAAAGAGTGAAAGAGTGAATGAATGAATGGGTGGATGGGTGATGTCCACGTAGGACCATGAACAAGCTCAGGTGAGAAAGAATAAAGAACAGGCCAGACGAGGGCGGGCACCTTACCTCCCGAAGGGCATTCTGGGCTGCGTGGTACCAAGCCCGACTCACGAGGGAGGCCTCTTTCTGATCTGACAGAGGCAGGAAGCTCAGAATATATGTGATCATCTGAGGGAGAAAAAGACAGGGTATTTGAAGCTGTTAGCTCTGGGGACCTTGGGGACCTCAACAAGCACAATGGAGGTGAGGGAACTAGAGGCCTGCTTTTCCAGTTCATCTCAGATCCTTCGCGAACACAACAGGTGTTTCTCTCCGGCCTTGCTCTCACAGTATCTTTACTGTGACTAATCCTTTCCTGAGTTCAGTCTGGGTGCATGTGACAAAAATCAAACTCCTGCCGACATTGGTAGAAAGAGCCTGGACACCTGGGACAGTTAAACCTAGTTCAAATTCTATCTTTGACAAGTAATCCTCTGAACTGTGTTCCTTATCTGTAAAATAGCAATGACAGATTTAAACAGTTGTTATGAGAGTGAAAAAAAAAACATATTAAAGGGTCTTGGCTAGTATCTAGAACATAGCAACTTACTCAGTTAATATATACTTCCTGTAAACTGTTCTGGGTGATCTATCATGGCTACAACTTGGATTCTTCTGATTTCTCAGTCAGGCCTTCTCTCCTGATCTTCAGGTAGACACATTGCTTGCTCTGGGGCTCACAGATCAGGGTCTGAAACCCCACTCCTTTTCCATATGCTTTACTGATGCTTGCCTTCTTAGCTGACTGTTAAAATGTAATCCCAGCAAGAGCTAATCTGGAGGTTCAGGCCCAGGCCCCCTCCACTTCCTGTGAGGATGAAGACTGTGATGTAGGAAGCTGGGCAAAGAGGTGTTGGGAGGCCAGGAAGTCTTTGATAGCAACTATTCTTTTTCTGGAAACTTCTTCCCTCCTTGACTCTGGTGTCATTAGGTAGAGTGGCCTACCTAGCTCTCTAATTGTCCCTGCCTCTGGATTCTTCGGTGGCTCCCAGGTTCAGACCTGGGTTTTTTGAAACTTTGTTCACTTCTTAGGCTAACAAATTCACTTGTCTGGCTTCATTACTCACTTCTAAAGAACCCATAATTCAAAATCCCCCCATTGTCTTACCACTCAGCCTCCATCCAGAACAGCAATTGTTCACTGGATCCTTCAGCATTGACCTAATCTCAACCTATGCAAATTCAGATCATTAGTCTGTCCCCGTCTAAAACTGTCCATTTCCCCAACTTTGCAATTCAATGCCAGCACTGCATCCTACCTACATGGACAGCCAGACAAGTTGGACTCTCCATGCTTGTCTGTCCTTTTCTCCTGGACACATGTCAAGTGCAGACTTTAAATCAAACTAATTTAGAATCTGAAAGCCCAGCTCCACTCCTTCCTTGTTTTGTGACCTGTGATCCTGGGCAAGGTAGCTGAGCACTCTGCATCTCAGTTTTCACACGTGTGAAACAAAGATATTGAATCTCTAGGGCAATGTTTTACGGGGATTAAATTAGATCATATAGTCTAAGCGCCTGACAAACCTGAATTCCTTCCACAGTCTTATATCTGAACTCCCTTCCTCCAGGCTTATCCTTGTTAATTCATTCCGGACATCATCACAAGATTAAAAACAACGATAACAACAAACAAGACAACCAAACCCAAAGCCCCAGAGCGACTCTCCAGCAAGTTTCAGAAACCGTAAATCTTTACAGGAAGAGACGCTCATTTTCCTCACATGGAGCCAGTTGGTTTCAGTTGACAGTGCAACAGGTAATACCCTACAGCTTTAGAGCTGCTTGCCTTAAGACTGATTTTCATAAGATAGCTTTGAGACTTTGCAGATGGGTAGTAAAAACTTTCAGGGTTCCCCAGTATCTTTGGCACAAAATCTCTACTCCTGGATCAGAACTATTAAGTCTTCACACTCAGCTGGGCCCACAGACCCCAAAGCAAGTTCACCAACCACAGCATGTCTATTGCTTTTTTGGTTGTATAGACATCACCCCCAGAATGCCCTTCCTCACCTGACCTCACCAGTGCACTCTAATTTCTCCTTCTTTGACACTGCACACAGGAGGTGCTCAGCAATAGTTACAGGAGTGACTGAAGAATGGACAAAGACTCACACACCCATGTTTATTGCGGCTTTGTTCACAATAGCAACGAGCTGGAAACAACCCAAGTGCCCATCAACAAACAAATGGATAGAGACGTTGTGGTATATTCACACAATGGAATACTATGCTGCATTAAAAAACAAGGAACTCATGCAATATTATGCAAAATGGATGACCCTGGAGGACATAATGCTGAATGAAATATCTCAGTCACAAAAGGACAAATATTGCATTGGGCCACTGTTGTAAAACGGGACTGACATCAAGGTTGAGGGAAGACAGAAAAGGAGGAGAGGAATGATGTATACTGCATTGAAACAGATGAAGGGAGAACTGTTTAAAAGGGACATATGAATGTGCATTCTTGTCATTACAGAAGTCCAGAGTGAAGGCTGCATAGTGGAGTGGACTTGGAGGGGAAGGATTGCATAACAATGGAGTTTTTCTTTTGCTTTTCAAGGAGAAGAGTGAATTGGGGGGGAGGGGGGAGGGAGAAAATGCATGACTGGTAACCCTAAGTCTCTGTTAACTTTCATTAAAATTAATTTTTAAAAACTGGACAAAGATTCAGTCCTTTATTTTCATCAGAGTTTGCTTTGGGAAGGGGTGGGGAGATAAGCTCAATATTGAAGAAAGGGGAGAATAGCCTTTGGAGCTGAGGAGGGAGGCAAAGGAAGACATCATTGATGGGGACTATGACTATCCTTAATAGCAATTCTACAGAATAGAGTGGAACTTCCCCATGGGGATTCACAAGACTGTGACACTGTCGAAACAGGTTCCACACTTTTTTCCCTTAGGATGGTTGGTGGGTTTGAACTGCTGACCTTTTAGATAGCAGCCAAGTGTTTAACTGCAACAACATTATAGGTTAAAATCCATTTCACTGCAATGGATTTGGTTTGGTTTTTAGACTGCTCAATCCCCCATCTGTGGTACAGCCTATATGAACTACAATAGTGGCCAGCTTGTCTTTTGGGGCTGAAGAGTCAACAGACAAGCTTGAGCTCACTGGGGGAAGGAGCACCACACCTTGAGCTGGGATGGGATGGCCTTTCTGAAGGGGCCACAAGAGACAGCAGTAAGGATGGAGTTGTCCTCCCATGAACTCACTCTATGGAATTTTAAGATCTATGACTGGTCATCCTTGGGGCTACTAGAGTAGAGTGAATAACCTCTGGGATCAAGGGGGAAAGGACATCTACTTAGGGGGCTTAACAGAGTGGGAACGGGTCTCTACTCTGTGCGGAGGGAGCACCATTCCAAGATTGAAGGCTCCCGTGGGAAGCAGCGAAGGGCTGTCAACTTTCATGGCCAGAGACAGAGCGGTCATTCCAAGGCTACTGGGGCAAACTTTTCTGCCTCTGGTGGTGAAGCGGCACTGTTCCGGGTAAGGAAAAATACTTTTGATGAAGCAAAGAAAAAACAGCCCTGTCTTTCCCAAAGGAACTCAGTGTCCTAGAATTGAAAGGGAGGAGTCAGTATTTCTCCCAATGCTGGGAGGTGGGAAAAGCGGAGGGAATGCAAGGATCCTTCCAAGGAGTCCCCTTTGGGGACGACGGGATAGAACAGATAGCTTCCAGAAGTGAAGAGGAGGACGAGGCCAGTGAAAAGGAAGAAGAGTAGGCAGAGGGCTAGACTTTGTTGAAATGCCATCTCCTGTGGCCAATGGGGAAGGAGCGGGTGGTCTATCAAACTAAGGGGAACCAGTACTCCAATGGTGGGGCCATTACCCAGAGCTTGCAGGTCCCGGGAACTCCGGGCGGATCATTACGCCCTGCAGACCCGAACACGTGAGCTGACAGCCAGCCCCTCCCCACAGCCCAGGACCCCCAGGGCGGAGCCTGTCCGGAGCCTCTCACCTCTGGGGGCAGTGACTCGGCCATCGCAGCCCTGCCGCCTCCGCCCCCGCGCAAGGCTTCCTGGGAATCGTAGTATCATAGGCTGTGGGGCGGGACTTGAGAAGGAGACAGCGTCTACTTCCGTCCCATTGGCTGACGACTTTGGTGCGCGCCGGAAGTGCCTTTGTGGCCGATGTGGTACTTCCAGAGTGCTGTTCAATCGCTCTCCCTTGTTCCCTCGGCGGGGCTGTTTGCGTCGCACCATGGCGGTGAGGAGGGCGGATAGGGTGGGGCCTGCACTAGCTAAGCGTCTCTGGGGCCGGGAGATGGAAAGCAGAGGAAGGACATTTAGGGATGCGGGGTCGGCCGAAGTGGGGTGCCAGACCGTGTCATGATCGTGCTATAAGAAACTGGAAGTGGGTGTCAGCCAGGTAGGACCCCTCCAGATCGGTGCTGAAGTGGGGTGCAGTCTTGAAACCTAACAGTATCAGAGTAGGCTACAGATAGGAAGGTAGTGGATGTTAGCCTAGGCCTGGACTGTCCAATACAGACGGGAGAAGGGCCTCATCCAGAAGCCTCCGTAGAGGTGGCATTAGTCCAAAGCGAGACTTTATTGGAGAGCTGGAAGAGGTAACAGCATGGGATTTGGATTGTTCCAGGGCGAGCAGGGGTTGATCACCATTGGAAGTGCTTTTAAAAGCCTGAGCTGGGTGGACTGCACGTCGGGTGGCCATCCCAGAATTATGCTAAGTTTGCACCCGAAGGACCTGGTTGAAGTGTGGATGGATTGTTGGGAGGAATGGAGAAGATCTTGGCTGAGGAGGGCTCTTAGAGCATCTCACTATCTTTCTGCAGCCCAAGGGCAAAGTGGGCACGAGAGGGAAGAAACAGATATTTGAAGAAAACAGAGAGACCTTGAAGTTCTATCTGCGGATCATACTGGGGGCCAACGTGAGTGTGTGCCCCCCTTGCTCCCATCCCCACTCATAGTCCTCAGCCCTTTGACAGCCAGGGTTCCAAAAGAACTACAGTCAGAAAAGAGGGTTGGTTTCAGCTGGGTTTACGTCTTTCTCGGCCCCAATAGATAGGGGTTTATTTCCTGGGCTGGCTTCACTGGAGAAGAGTTGATACCCATGTCTCGAGGAAAAGGCCCCTTTCCCCCTCAGTACTGTCAGAACCACCTGGATCCCCCCACAGCCTTGGTGTGTGCTGGAAAGGCCAGTAGTTTGAGAGTGGTGCTTTATCCCAGTCTTAGTCTTCTGTGTTTGCTTTCAGGCCATTTACTGCCTTGTGACTTTGGTCTTCTTTTACTCATCTGCTTCATTTTGGGCCTGGGTAAGTGTCCCTCATCCCAAGAGGTGGATGTATCCATGGGGTCAGTAGCTGGCCTTTGAAACTCCCTTTCTTACCCTGCAGATGGCCTTAGCTTTTAGTCTGGCAGTATATGGGGCCAGCTACCACTCCATGAGCTCGATGGCACGGGCAGCCTTCTCTGAGGATGGGGCCCTAATGGATGGTGGCATGGACCTCAACATGGAGCAGGGCATGGCAGAGTGAGTGTCCCCCGCCGCCAACCCAGGTGAGCGGCCCCAGGGCTGGGGCTCTGGGGCCCAGATAGCCCAAGACCCACAGCTGCCTGAAGAGGGTGGAAGCCAAATGGGGTCCATCTATTACCTCTGGCCTTGCAGCCTCCCTTCTATCCACAGGCACCTTAAGGATGTGATCTTACTGACGGCCATCGTGCAGGTGCTCAGCTGCTTCTCTCTCTACATCTGGACCTTCTGGCTTCTGGTGAGTGAGTTGGGGGGTTGGTCCCTCAGAAGGGGAAGGAACATCCAGCCCTCTCCATCATCCATTTCCTGAGCTTGGCTTCACGTCATCCTCTTTTCTAGGCTCCAGGCCGAGCCCTTTACCTCCTGTGGGTGAACGTGCTGGGGCCCTGGTTCCAGGCAGATAGTGGCACCCCAGCACCAGAGCACAATGAGAAACGGCAGCGCCGACAGGAACGGCGGCAGATGAAGCGGTTATAGCCATTGGCATCGTGGCCACAGGCGGCTGGACCTTTGGCAGCTCTATCAGGCTGCAGAGCCCCTATGCCAGGAGCAGGGGACCTTGTCCAGGGGCCAGAAGTATTCTGACATACAGGGTTGAATAAATGGCTTACAGGTGGTTAATGGCTGTGTGCGTGAAGATAAATGGCAGGGCAGGAAGACTTATTTTTTTTAATCTCCCTCTATAGACCCATCCTAGTGGGAATCTTCAAAGAAGAGAAAAGCTCTTAGCTTGACTAAAAAAGTTTATTTTGCTTCATAAGTTCAAAGAGCTTACATATGCACGGGTAGACAGACAGACAGACACACACACACACACACACACACACACACACAGGCACAAATGGCTAATACTGCTCAAGACACTGGCCTCTGGGCACAGTGTGGTACTAGAGTTTGGAAAGAAACCCAGAATTCTGCTCTGGCCTCTCCTTGCTTTGTAGTCTCTTGCATTGCAGGGAAAGTTTCCTGGAAGCAGCACCTTCATACCTCCAGGCCAGGACCCTTGTTTAGTCCCAGTGCCTGCATCAGGTCATCTCCGAGCCCGCTCTTCAATGTCCGTCTCACTGTAGGGACAGAGCAAGGTTGGCAAGGGTTGGTGGCTTAAGTTGGGCAGTGGGTCTATGAGAGGTACTCACAGGACTTGCGGTTGCCACGTGAACGCTTGCGTTCCCGAGCTGCTAAGGCACGAGCACTGCTCCTGGTCACTGACTGCACTAGAAGATCCATGATCTCATCTGATGTGTCACTGGGTGAACCAGAACCTAGGGGTTCTTCTGGGGGTGCAGTGGAGGGTCCAGCTGGTGTGGGAATCACAGGGGAGCTGCTCTGGAGCAAGCCTGAGGGAAGCCAGATACGGAGGTCAGGCCACTGTGGTGCCAGAGCCCACCCACCTGAGCAGCCATGGGCCCCACCTCTACTGCGGCGGCCGTGTGTGGCATCCTGAGGCTTGCTGGTCAGCAGATTCTTCATGTTCACGTGACTGTCAGCATCACCCCTGTCTGGCCCACTACTCACGGCCACTGGGACAGCTGAGGTGCTGGAATTCTCCCCAGCTACACCTGAGAACTTTTCTGTCTGGAGAGGGGGAAAGGGTGAGTTAGGAGTAGAGGAAGGAAGACCATGAAGGTGGTCGTCCAGGAAGGCACACTCACCTCGGTGATCATGCGTCCTCGTGTCTTGTTGCGCTCACGGTATGTCGCCCGCTTCTGCTGCTGCTGCAGTACCCGTTCCCGGCAGGTCCGATATTCAAGTGCAAATTCCCGCAGTGTGTGGCAGAACTGCATGATGCGCACTTCGCGGGCTGCCTGCGCCGTGTAGCCCAGGTAAAGAAGGAAGGCATAGAACCTAGGCATGCCAGGATAAAAGAGGGGTGAGTCCGGCTTGGGGTTGGAGGGGTAGTGGTGGCTCTCCCACCTCTTCCTGGCCCACACGCTACCTATTGCAGACCCGGCGGTGCACCACCCTCAGCATGGCAACACGGCGGGTACACTGGGTCAGGAAGTGGGTGAGGCGGGCACGCAGAGCTGGGGTCAGCTCGTGCTTGGCCAGGCCTCGCAGACTTTCCTCAGCTGCCCTGCTCCGGCATTCCAGCTGCCCCAGGTTCTCAGCTAGCTGTTCAAAGTCTACCTGGAAAAAGTCAGAGGACAGGTGAGGGGTTCACATATTTCCCCCTCCATAGATACAAAGAGGCTCCCTCTGCCCCAAGCTGGCCAGTCCAAGCCCTGAGGATACAGACAGCAGAGACCTAGCCCCAGCTCTCCATGCAAAAAACAGACAAGTCCATTTGATAGAATGAGGGAAATAAGAAGAAAGGCTTCTTAGAGGAACTGGCAGCTAGTGAGATCCAAAGACTGAACAGGCACGGCTAGGCCTGCAGAAGTGTTTTTGACAGAGGATACAGCCCACACAAACACCTGTAGCCTGAGGCTTCCTGGCCCAGCAGCCTAGATAGGAGGTGGGAGCAGTGTGTTGGCCAGGTGCTGAGCTTCTGGCTGGTGCTAACCTTGGCACAGCGGGTCAGGGCAGGGATTTCTGAGTAGAGGTCGGAGGAATCTGGCCGAGTCTGGAGCACCAGGGAGCAGAGATGGTGCAGCAGTGACTGCCGGCGTACTGTGTCCTTCACCTCTGATACTTTCTCCAGGTAACTCAGCTCAAAACCGCTGCTCTGAAAGGATGCCATCTGAGCCTGGGCCTGGTCGGCTCCAGTGCCCTAACTCCTAGTCCCCATGTGCTCTCACCCACCTTGGAGCCATTGAGAAAGTTGCCCACAGCCAGCAGGGTGGCCAGGATGCAGCGGAAGGTAGCATTCTGCACCAGCTGTTGCATGCCCACTTTCAGGTCAAACAGTGGCTCTGCAATTTCCTAGTGTGGGGGATGAAGAGGTCTCAGACTACATGGTCACCATGGTTACCTGTCCCCTGTCTGTCCTGCTCCATGACCCAAGTACCCGTTCCATGCTGTCATAGTCCAGCTTGAAGACCCAGAGTTGTAGGCGGGAAGCCAGGCCCCCAATGGAGGCAAGAGTCAGCAGGAAGTTCTCAGCTGGGCCCAGGGGTATGTCAGGGTTAGCCAGTCGGGCCTCTTCAATCTTCTGCCGCTCTTCCTCCGTGGGCATCATGGTCAGTAACTTCTGCGGATGTAGCCACCACCCCACAGAGAGCCCTCAGTACTGGCCAGAGAGCTCAGACCTTGGGCTTGGCCCTCCCTACGCCATTAGGGGGAAACCCCAAGGACTAAGGATTGCCCTGAAGAAATGTCAAGCCAGTGCCCACCACTAGTGGGGCAGGAAGAACCACTAGCCAAAGGAAAGGGCCAGATCTCCCACTTTGCACACCCATATCATGGTATCCTCACCTCAATGCCATCTTTGCTGACAGCAAACTCATCAAAATTGAGCAGGGCAGCCTTGATTACATGCACAGGTGGCAATGTTGTCAGGCCAATATTGATGGCATTGCTGCGCTTGGGGTCCAGCACTGTGGTCATTGTCCGACGGCCCTCACCAGCTTTCTGCAGGGTTGGGAGAACAGCATTATGGAGGGGGCCTAGCTGGGGCAGAAATCCAATAGAGAAATCTGTAGTCCTCCAAATGGCCAAATGGGCGCACTCAGAATTGGGCCCTGGAGTGTGTTGGAAGAATTTAGATTCTAGTTAGGACTCTGCTGATCCCTTGCCAAGAGTCCTTGAATAACGTCTACCCCTTTCTGGGAGCTAATTAGCTGCCTCCAGCAACCCGACAGAAGCTCTGTCCCCTTCTAGCTCCACTGGGGTGATCTTACAGGCGAGGGGGGCTTTACCTTGGAGGGCAGCACATCTTTGGCACGGGACTCAAACAGGTGCTCCAGCCGGGCTGTGTCCACTGAGACGGGCTCCAGTGAGGCCCACAGAGTGGAGCAGGGTCCAAAGCGGCTTCCAGAGTTTCTGGGATTCCCAGTCAGCTTCAGCTCCCGCCAGAAGAGTTTTACAGTCTTCCTCTTGGTGGGGAGGGCTGGGCCATCTGGTGCTGAGGGGAGGAAAGGGGCAGCCGGGGGTGGAGGTGGTGGGAAGGGGCCTTTGGTTGGTGGAGGAGGTGGGGCTGGGGGAGGTGGGGGAGATCCCAGGAGCAGGGATGGTAGGGGTGGCGGAGGTGGTGGTGCTCCGGAGAGCGGGGGTGGTGGAGGTGGGACCCCCTTCCCGGTCTCCACAGTCTCTATGCTGAGCATGTCCTGGTCTTCATCCTCCCCCAGGTCTGAGAAGTCCAAGTCCCCGATGCAGAGCTTGGGTGCTCGAGCAGGGAGCTCCCCGGTGGGCCCAATATCAGGGCTTGCTGGGGTCAGTGGCTCTGTGGGCTCTGGCTCAAGGCTTCGCTGGGCCCGGAGAAGGACCAGGGGAGTAGGGCTCTGGGGTGATCTGGGGATAGGGGCTGGATCTGGGGTGCTCCATGGTTTCCGAGTGTCTACAGAAGAGAATGGCTGTCAGCATCATACTCCCTGTGAGACAGCAGGGCAGTGGTGGGCTCTTCCCACCCGCCTGCTCACCTGAATGTCCGTCGGTGTCATCGGACACGGCTCCAGCCAATTTCTCTGCCCGGCCCTGGGCCAGTGCAGCCTGCTTCTCTGTTTCTGCTGCTGCCACTTTCTCCAGAAACCGGACTCTGAAGGAAAGCACTTGTCAAAGGGGTATCTAATACAGCCCACCGTAGGGCATGCACATGCCTTCCTGGGCCTTGGGGCATCTACCCCGTGCAGGCACGTGCGCACGCATATATATACACACACAGAGAAAATAGTCCATGCGCTGAGCAGACCCAGGACCTGCCCCCAAGACTCTCACTTGTTCAGTCCTCCCCATCGGCTGAGGGTTACCATCAAACCAGCATTCTCCAGTGAACATAAAAGGAGATGTTCCGTTTTACATCCAACCTGTAGTCTTCCTGCTGTTCACGTTGACTGCCCTGATTCTAGACAAAGACCCTTCTGGCAGAGACAGAGGGATCGCTGTCCCTCCTCTAGCATGTCTGGAAACTTGTAAGCACTATGGCTCATGCCCAGAGGAGGGCCTGGTCCATGAAAGGCACTCGGTGTGTGCTGAACTAATGAATGTGGTTTGTGTCTTTTTCTGCCTATCTTAACCCCTCAGCCTCTATACGACAAAGCACTCTGGATTCTCTTCCCAGCTCATTCCTGAGTTGAGGGCACAGCAGAGAGAGGGCCCTCCCTTGGAATCTGCATCCCCATTGAGAGACTAAGCTGTTGATGAAGGCTTCACTATTGACACAGGGACTGCTATGACCCCGGTGACCTGCCTCCCGGTTGCCCTTGGATAACCAAGACTTAATCCTGGACGTGGAGACTTAATCCTAGACATGGAGAAGACTGAGGGTCCCCCTGGTCCTGGCCGCACTAGGCATGTGGAAACCCCGCCGGGAAGCAATGCTGAAGCCCTGAGCACATGGCAGGCCTGACCTTCTGGCCACTGTACTTACTCCAGCCAGGCCTGCCCAGTAGGGGACTGGGGGACAGGTGGGCTTTCAGGGGCCCTGAGAGGAAGGGAGTGAGAGGAAACGATGATGACTGTGGTACCTGATTCACCCCCAAGCCCACCAGCTTGCACCCACGCAGAGCAGGGCATTGATTATGGCGATCTTCCCAGCCAGAGAGGGAGGAAGAGCAGAGACAGACAGGAACCAAGACAGTAGGACAAGAAAGGGGAATCGAGCTGGTAGGAAACACAGGAGAGGGGGAGACATGACAAGAGGCAAATACAGGCCGAGTGTCAAAAAGAGAAGATGAAGAAAAGAAACCGCAGGAGGAGGAGGTCCAGCCAGAGCCGGACCCCACCCCCAGCGGTCACTTACCAAACAGGAGCAGTTTGGTGAAGTCTGGAAAGAAAGGGAGAAAGCGTGCGTTTGCGCAGAGGAGGCTGAGGGCGCCCGGGAAGGGCGCAGAGCACGGGTCAGAGCAGAGGGACAGCTGGAAGAGAGGAGTCCACGGTGCCCCCCACCCCCCACCCCCATCTCCTTACTTGTAGATGCTCCGTTCGCAGGAGCTGTCGGTTGAGGGGGTTGAGGGTGTCGCAGAGATGCTAGGGAAGAAATTCACGGAAGCACAGAGGTCAGCGGCCGGGCCCACAGGACTGGAGGCTGGCGTCGTCAGCTGGGCAGGACCCACAGGGCAGGAGGTGGGCCTTAGCGGCGGGGCGGGGCCTGTAGGGCTGGGGGCGGGGCTAGTCAGGACAAGTCACACCTGCCTACCCAGCTCCTTCCACATGGCATTGAAGGTACTTACCCAGGTTCTGGGGTCTGCACTGCAGGGCTGCTCCCACCCTCCAGCGATCTACGACTCCTCTTGCCCTCCTCAGAGGATGGCTTCCGGCGCTCTCGCCGCTCTCGCCGTCCACCTGGGGCAGCTTCCTCGATGTCTCCATCCTCCAACCGCAGGGCGCTCTAAGGACAGAGGGTCTGGAGGTGAGCCCCAGGCAGGTGGGCTGGGAGTCTCCTCCCTCCGGTCCTGAGGGCTTGACTGCAGGCGCACCCACCTCGTAGAGCACCAGCTGTGTCCGCAGGTCCACGTCAGTGCCCGCGGTACTCAGGTGGCGCTGGACCAGCGCTTCCATACCCTGCTGCTCCAGGGCATCTGTCACATCATAAAAGGAGTCCTGGTCCGGGAGGGCTGCCAGTGTCTGGAAGGTGGGTGTGGGAGAGCAAGGCTGAGGCTGGAGGGGCTCACAGGTCAGAAGCCAGAGGCCCAAGGTTCAAGCCTGGTCTTCCACTCACACCTTGTTGATGAGAGTGACAGCATACACCAACAGCTCAGGGTCAGCGCCATTCTTCTCCTCCAGGATGGACACCAGGTTGGCCCAGGGAAGAGCACCTGCCACACAAGACCAGGGGTGGTCACAGGGCCGGAAGGAGAGAGGGCTCTGGGTGGCGGGGAGGGAGGGACAGTCTGACTGACCAGTTGTGCTGGCCACAGAGTTGACCGCGTGGATGAACAGCGGGGCGTTGCTCTCGGAGTACTCCACAAACACCAGCAGCAGCTTCAGGGCTGTCTTTACCACAAGGCGGGACTAGGGGGAAAGGCCAGGATGTGTGAATGGGGCATGGGCCAACTAGGTACCAGTTCTTGTGGGCAGGGGCAAGGGTTTCTGGGGCTAGATCCTGGCAGAAGTTAGGGCAGAAAGACCTCAGCTCAGGACCCAGACACTAAAGTGGGTTAAGGCTTAGAGGGGCTCCAGACTCTTTCCAATCCAGAAGAGGGAAATGAGGTCCAGAGAGAAGGAAGGAGTGGGGGGAGGGTGCCTGGCTGGTGGGGTGTGGTAGGGCGGGCACACTTACCAGGCTGGCACATAGCGTATATAGCCACTGCACCGTCTCACCGTGGGCTACCACTCCCAGCATCCCATCCACAAAAAGCATCAGCTGGCCCAGTGCTGGGGACAGAGATAGGAAAGGTCGGTGAAGGATCATGGTGGGCACAGGGACAGAAGGTCAGTCAAGGCTGACTGGGGGCAGGGTTCGTGGGGAGGGGTGGGGCTCACCTCGGAGGATGTAGCTCTGGTAGTTGTGGTCAGCAGCAGCACCCACACGGATCAGGCAACTCAGCCCTTCCGAGTGTACGAACTCAGGGACCAAGTCTTTGTCCTCCTGGGGGTACCATGGGAAGTTTAGGGGGGTTCAGGTGGGCACCTACCCACAGCCCACCTCTAGGCCTCACCTGGAAGATCTGCTTCAGTGAGAAGAGAGAGCGGCGGAGTTCGGGACCTCTGGAGCTGTACAACTTTTCTGTAAGGTAAGGGGTAGGTAGGCGTGGAACCCCCAAAGTGGACATAGAGCCCCCACCCACTCTCCTCCACCCAAAGCCTAGCTCATCCCAGTACTCTCAAAATCCACCACACCCCAACCCCTACTTCTGGGCACCCCTCACCAGTCTAGTTGGCTCTAGTGGAGAGAGGTGAGGATGGGAAGGACCCACATCTGTCCTGTCCAGCACAGGCCTGCCTGAAAGAAACAGCCGGCTGGGCTGTGTGGATGTGGGGGTACTCACTCACCCAAGATGGCGTTGACCCTCACAGAGAGCTGGGTCCGTAGAATCAGCGTGGGCTTCCGTCCTTTGCTGAAATCAAGCAGCCTCGTCAGGTGCAATCAGCCCATTTCTTGGGGGTCCCACCCCTGACCCCACCTGACTCAGCTCCTTTCTCCCCAGCTTCTGTTTCTGAGATCTGAGGGTTAGCCAGATAGGAGGGTATATGCCTTCATGGGTATCTCAGGTATGTGGGAGAGTCACCCCAGCTCCTATCCAGGGCAGCAGGAGCACAGGCCTGGCCTCAGGATTCCCCTGGCACAGCTCCCTGCGGTATCAGGAGGTGAGCCACCGCCCTGGTTGGGGATCGTTTGTCTTGGCTGCTGACACCTGAGCCAGGCCCAGGTAGGGGCAAGGGTCAGGTAGTCTTGCTTCTCTGACCTGATCTCTTCATAGAAGCCTTCCAGCATCTCACGCTGCTCTTCCAGGGACAGCTCGGGGTCCAGGTAGTATCCAGAGGGAGACACTTGAAGGGCACAGTCCTCCAGCTGGGGGCATAGGAAAGAGGGGCTGTCAGGGTTGAGCAGGGTTAACAGAGGTGTGTGTGAACACCCCATGATCTCCTACCTCCCAGCTGAGGTGTGAACACAAAGACACAAGGGTCCGAATGCCTTCATTTCTCAGGTGCTTGCTACGTGGCCCAGGCATTTTAGGGACCACATTGTCTTCTCTTTGTATTCTCTCCATTCAGGTTTCAGATAACACTTTTTCAGAAAAACTTCCTAGACTCCATGTGTGTGTACCCTCTAAACACCAGTTTCCCTTCCCACTGACTGTTGTCCCGGCTCAGACACCATGCCTTGTCTTACCCCTATCACACCTGCACAGCCTAGCACAGCACTTGGCACACAGCGAACGCTCCCTAATGCTTATTCAGCTTAAAGGAGGGAAAAGAGCAGAATGACGCCAGGAGGAAGTTCTTGCTTTCAAGGAAGCTTATAGCCCTTATCACTGCAGGGTGATAAGCTGCAACTACAAAGCATTAAAGCACAGGGAGAAAGTGTTAAGAGTGCTGGCAAGTGCACACCCAGCTGGGAGAACTGTGTGTGAGCGCGCCTGTGTCTTTGTTTATAAGGCAATGGAAGGTCATCCAGAGGCTCCCCACTCGCTGGGCTTCAGGGTCTTGCCTCCCTGTAGGTGGGCTACAGTTAAAGTAGTTCTAGGTGGACCTCAGGGCCCCCATAAAGAACCAGATTTGAGGGTCTGACTCAGTCAGCCTACAGTGGAGTCCTGACATCTGCACCTCTAACTGGAGCGTGCATGTTCCATTCGTCACCACCGCCACCAGCAGCATGTGGCCCCTTGAGAACTGCCTGTAGAGAGGCCAGAGTGAGGTGACTCCAGAAGTCCGTGAGCAACACTATGCCATGCATCTTGCTGACGACGCCCCCAAAGCACACAAGAGAGGTATGCAGAGCTCATCAAAGTCCTCTTAACTCAAGAGGCTCGGCTCCAGCCCTTGAGTGCCGTGACCTAGAGAAGGCCCCTCACTCTGGAGAGGTGAGGGGGTCTTCTGGCCTTCATCCGACTAGGCAAGTCAACCCCAGCATTTGTTTTGATGATCAGTCCTGCCTGCATCTGGACCCAGTCCAAGGGCTTCCGGCTGCCCTTTGTGCCCTGAAAGGAAATTTCCTTTCTCTGCCTTTATTTTTCTGCCCTTCTCATGCCCTAGAGCCTAAACTGCCGCCTTCTTGGCTGTTTGGCTTGTAGGGACCCTTAGGTGACACCCTGCCCCCTCTGCCGGGACAGGGGACAAACACTCCAGGCTGTTCTCTGTCCCACTTCCTGCCTGGCTGGCTGCCCTTCTCTGGGCGCCTCAGGCGGGCCTGGCCTCTCTCCCCACCCCATAGGCAGAGTCATCCTCTCCAGGGTCTACTGGGAACAGGCTGGTGAGAGGGTGGCAAGGCCCCAGGACGGGGTGCTTCGTCTGGGGCCAGCCCCATAGGCCTCCTAATTCTGCTTCCCCACAGTGACTCAGCAGCCGACTCACCCACCCACGTCCATGTACAGCGATGTCTCCATTATGCACTGGAGGATTCTGGGACCCTCATGAGACATCATTGTCACAGGGCCACAACCCTCTTCAGGAGCCCTCCAAAATCTCACATGCACAGAGTAGTTCATTCATTCATTCATGCTCCAGACTCCTTGTAGGTGCGGAAGACAGCAGGGAACAAGGCTGTCTAGTTCTCTTCTTTCCAGGCCAGTAATGGAAACAGGCTTGACTCAGAAAAAGTTAGCAAATATAAGTAGAATCACAACAGGCTTGGGTGCCAAGAAAAGGGTGGGGCAGAGTGTTATAGACTCTGGAGGGGTGATCCCCTCACACCTGACATGTATACTCACTGACCCTTAGGCCCCATAAAAGTCAAAGAGCCACATCCTCAGCAAAGGTAGGTCCCCCCCTGGGGTGTCCCTCTTCTCCCGCACACATGCGGATGCTCTCCTCATACCAAATAAGCAGAGACTGGTCTTTGTTTCCCAGGGTAGCCCAAGCCTGCACCTACTGAGGGCCATGTCCAGAGTCCAGGCTGGTAGGTTTAACCCCTTCCACTCTGCAGTGGCTTCCCTAGCCACTTTACCCGCCCAGTCCTGCCGGGGGCCCTGTTTCTGGGGAGGGGATCCAGGGCCACTAGTCAGCCAGATGCCTCCAAGACAATGCCCTGCCCTTCCAACCCTGCCCTCTCAGCTGTTTAGTGGGGCTGATCTCCGGCAAGCAGCAGAAGGGAGACTTCCTGCTAGCAGGATGGTGTTTGTCCCTGACACTCCTGGTCCCTTCCTGGGGTCACCATTCTGGGACCCACTCCTCTGAGTTTTGTCTCTCACACCCTGGGGCTGGGCCAGGCCTCAGCTAGCCCAGACCCTGGTTCCTGCTGACCGAGCTGAAGATCAACACATGGTATGAGCCTACACTTAAGACCCCTTCGTGGCTCTTGTCTTCTTCACTCCTCTGGGGTGCAGAGTTCCTTCTCCATTCCTCCCAGGCCCAGGCCCTCACTTTGGCCTCCAGCTCACTTTTCTCTTGTCATTCTGACCAAGTCTTTCCAGGCATATCATTTTACACACAGGTTCAAGCCATGGTGCCTACTTAGACTTTTATAACAGTCCAATCAGGTCAGAACAAACATATGGAGAACATCTGGGAATGAGGGATGGACACTACAGCTCCCTTCAGACTGGCAGGAACAAAGCACAGAGGAGATGGTGAGGAGGATGGAATGAAATGTTGGAAGCTTCTTATGTCAGGACATCATTTATTAACTGCTTCTTTCTTCTCTAGGAACCTGGGTGAGGCTTTAGGCTAAGCACAGCTCAGCGCTGGGCTGCTAACCAAAAGGTCAGATATTTGAAGTAGCTGCTCCAAATTACTGAGGAGCAATGATGTCAGTTTGAAGACCAAGGTGCGCCTGATTCAGGCCATGGCCTTTTTAATCACTTGTTCTGCATCTGAGAGCTGGACAATGAATAAGGATGACAGAAGAAGAGTCGATGCCTTTGAGTTGTGGTGTTGGAGAAGAGTACTGAATATCTTATGGACTGCCCCCCCCAAAAAAGCCTGAAACCCCCAAAGTAGATATGTCTTGGGGAAAAGTGCAGCTAGAGTACTGCTTGGAGGCAAGGATGGTGAAGCTTCATCTCCCATACTTTAGACATGTTTGTAGGAGAGGCTAGTCCTTGGAGAGATAGATATCTCATGCTTAGAAAGGTAGAAAGGGTCAGTGAAAGAGAGAAAGGCTCATAATGAGGTGGATTGACACGGCGATTGCAGCAATGGGCTCAAGTGTGTCAGAGATGATGAGGACGGCACAGGATAGGACAGCATTCAGATTTGTTGTTCCTAAGGTTGTACATAGGGTCGCTATGAGTTGCAAACGACTCGATGGCACATAACAACAATAAGAAGAAGGTTGTGATGAGTTGTACTTGACAACAGTACCTAACAACAAACAATAAAGCTGCTCCATGGGAGAAAGACCAGACAATCTGCTCCCATAATGATTAACACCCTCAGAAACCCTATGGGGCAGTCCTACTTGGTCACTCATGGGGTCACTGTGAGTCAGAATGGATCTAATGGCAGTGGTGGATGAGTTGTCTTTTCTCCCGTAAACACAGGGCCGTGAACTCTAATAACACTTCCCTTGTTATCTTGACTCCCAATTAAAATGACTTTCTAGATGAAATGACATGGACAGGCCCTGGGGTGTAGGGAGAAGATGACACGTGTTCTGTTTCTTCTCTGACAGGCTTTCTAAGCAACCAATTACACTGGGTTCTCCCAATAATCTTTTTTTTTTTTTTTTTTTAATTATTCAGGCCAAAAGTGTCTTTTCACCAACAACTCTTTTACAGGTGAGGAAACAAAGGCTCAGAAGTTCAGGGACCTTGCACCCAACCACACAGCCAAGATTGAATGGAATCAGAGCTAACTGACCTGGACCTTGGGTGGATAGGCCTTGGAAGTGCTCCAGGCAACCCTGGAAGGGAGGGGAGGGGAAGGGAGAGGGAGTTAGGGCCTGAAGGATTGCCAAGGGCTGGGGACCAATAGCCCCTAAGCTTTTGGGACTCCACAAATACTTCAAACTGGTCCTTCTGGCTTCACATGAATAAACACACAGCATATATACTGGGCAGACATTGCCTGCTTCTGCCGGGACCTGAGGACGGCTTTCTCATCGGGTTGCAACCCAGCCTCCATAGCCCGGAATGGGCAGCAGGTTGAACATTCAAACTGTGTGCCTTTGGGTTGCCAGTACAACTCCTTTTCAGAGCTCTTCTCTATGCTCCATTGTTGTTGTTTACCATCAAGTCAGAACTGACTCATCGCTGACCCTCCAGCAGGTTTTCAGAAGCAATAAATCGCATGGGAGATTAGCCATCTCTTTCCCACACAGGAGCTGATGGATTTGAACCATGTAACCTTAGGTTAGCGGCACAGCTCCTTACTATTAGGCCACCAGAGCTCCCCCTCCAGGCCCCACAGAGTTACTGAGCAGCACAATTTCTCATGAGAACACTCCACCTTCCCTTTATGAACCCTTTGGGATCTTTCCTAGCTGAGACCACCAAGGCAGAAAGCTAGGTCTACTTTTTAGTCCCTGCCCATGATCATCCTCCCATGGGCACAGTTCTGCTAACACTTGTGGTCACCAACACTGACTCAGCAGCATTAAGTTTGCTTTTTTCCATGGGTTATCCCTGCATCAGGGCCAAAGGAGCACCCAGAACCCTCGTCCTGGATCGGACAGAGAGAAGGCAGTGCTATCTCAGATGTTGCAGGGCCCTTGAGTAATAGGGAACCTCCTGGAAGGGCAAAGGGGTACCAGAGAGGGCAGCCCAGGGCTGCTCTGGATAAGAGATGAGGTGCAGAGCCACAGGGTCAGATTCTGCCCTGAGGCAAAGGAAGCTCAGGGATTGGTGCCTTCAAGAGGGAAGACAGACACCCCTGAGTTCTTCTGGGGACACCAGGTCTGGGCCAGGGTTCTGCCAGGACCTCTCTTAACTCCACCCACTCAGGGGCAGGAGATGAGTCAGAGGCAGAGGCCAGGAGCTTCCTCCTAGACAGAGAGGAAATGAGCAAGGCCTTCTTAGACCTGAAAGCTGAAAAGAAAGCCTCCAGGGGAACTCTAAATAGGAGGCCCAGCACAAAGGGGTGTAGAGGGGCAGAGCCCCAGAGAAGTGGGCTTGACCTCTGCACTACCCTGGAGGGGGCAAAGATGATGGAGACCTGTGAACTGTCGACAGACAGCCTCTGGCTGTCATGTCCATGAAGCAGTGAGCAGAGTCTCTCCCTCTTTTTTTTCCCCCCTTTTTTTCATTTTAATGATTTTTAATGGTTTGTTGTTGTTTTTTTAAAAATAAAATTTGGATTAGACATATTCCCATAGTTTAAAAATTTTAAAGTGCAAAAGGATATATACTACAATGTATTGAAAGTCACAGCCAATGAAAAAGACAAGGAAAGGAGTATATAAGCTTATATAAGTATATAAGGAAAGAAATATTGCATAAGCCAGTTATTTAGATAAAGCCTGATGTTGTTTTGTGTCGTCAGGTCGCTTGTGACTCATAGTGACCCTATGTACAACAGCTCTGTCCTGAACCAACCTTTTCATCTCTGACACACCTACCTCCATTACCCCAGTCACTGACTGTCTCCCTCTTATTTTTGACCCACAGCTCGGGACTTGGATGCCTGGATCTTCGAGTTTCTCTCTCTTCTCGAAATCCAATCCAACTCAACCCATTGCTCTGGAGTCGGTTCGTAGGCAGCCTCCATCATGTTCCTGATGCTATAAATCTTTATAGGAGGTACAACTGGTGGATTCAAATTGCTGACCATTCCATTAGCAGCCTGACACATTATGTACTAGTTCAGCCAGGCTCTATCTTATCTTCTTTTGTGGGCTGTTAAGGCCAGCCTGAGTCCTATCTGTGCCCCTGAGGATTTCCTGGGGCACCCACTTAGGGGATTAGGGCAGGAACAGCTGTTGACATTTCCTGCAAGGAGGGGCCCTGGTCCCCTCCCCCAGCTCTCCCATGTCCTTGCCCCTACTCTATTCTCAGCCCCTCTTTCTCCAACCTTCTATTCTGGGGCTGTGGTCACAGTTTATATTTGGGTAGAGTACACAGAAGCACATCTGACCATTCCTGGCAGAGTTGCCAGTCCCAGGAGCCTCGGCTCCAGGCAGTGTGGCAATGCAACTGTGTCACCCCCATAGCCTGTCCTCGGGGTGGGATGGGAGGCAGTGCTTAGGTGCTGCAGGTGGGAGGTGGATGGGGTCCTCTCAGGTGCTGGTGTTGCGAAAAGTAGGAGAGAGGACTTAACACACTGCATCCAAGCTCAAGCTCACATTGACTGCAGCAATGGGCTCAGAGTATCAGAGATGATGAAGTGAGCACAGGATGCGACAGGGTTCAGATCTGTTGTTCACAGGGTCTCAGCGAGTTGTATTTGACTCGATGGCACCTAAAAACACCAATGCAAGGTCAGAAGTGTCCTCAGGTGGAGAACAGGAAACATAGGGCGCAGCCCCTGGTGGGCCCTCATTCCTGCAGGTGCTCTGTCAATCATCTCTAGTTGAAAGGAGTGTGTCAGGGCTAAGTTCTACTCCACACAGGGGTGTGTGTGTGTGTGTGTGTGTGTGTGTGTGTGTTTACCTTCTCAGTGTTCCAGGAATTCCAGGAGAGAGAGGGGTGGGGCAGCGCTCACTTCAGCATTCTTCCCTCCCGGCTCTCCTCGCCCCCCTCCCCAGGTTCCTGGACAAAGACGCAGCATCAAAACTCTTGAGGATGGGCATTGTGCAGCAGCCCGGTGTCCTTGAACCCGAGCACTGCTTTGACACATGCCACTCCCCAGGCCAACAGTCAGCTCGCCCCTCCCTCCAGTGATCGGAGGCGTGGCTGGCCCGCAGCTTGAGGAATGCAGGCTGGGGGCCTGGCGCCTAGGGCACATTCCAGGGAAGACCCCGGGCCCAGGGGGCAAGTTTGCGCAACTTGGAGTCCAGCTGAGGCTGGGAGCTGGGGAAGGCACCCTGCTGGTTCTCTCTCTCTCTCTCTCCTCTCCCAGCACTCAGGGCGGATGGGCTGGCAGGGAAACCCTGGGGGGTGGTAGCGTGCCTCCAGGCATCCCGGCCCGGAAACGGAGAGTGCCGGAAAGGGCTGCCTGCGGGGGGCTAAGGGAGGAGAGCCGGAGGCAGGCAGGCCATCTGAAAACAGGCCTCTCCCGGCACTGAGCGCGATCGGTTCCGCGCGGCCCGGGCAAACGAGGGCAGACCGCGGTTTAAAATTAGCCGGGCCCGCCCTCTCCCTTCCAGCTGCGTGCCGGCTACCCGGTGTACGAGTCGGGTGGGGGGCAGTGACTCAGAGGGCTTTTCCACGCGTGCAGCCTCTTGCGCCCTGCCCATCCCAGGCAGGGATGCTTCCCGGGGACTCCCTGCACAAAGTACCTACTCGGCAGAGATGCCCATGCCAGACTCCCGCCCTCACGGGCCACACTTTCTACCCAACAGGACCCAAGCAGCCCCCAGACAACTTTCAGGGCCTGGGCCACCACTAGGGGCCCGCTATGGATCCGCCCCTAACTGGGTCCCATCCCATATCAACTGAAGTCAGTGGAAACTGGTCCCTCCCCAGCTCCACCTTTTGGGTCCAAGACTAACCATTCTTTCTAGAAGTAGCTACCTTAGCAGACAGGCAGAGAGTGGAACCCAGCACCTGTTCAGCTGAGCCTCCCTTGGAAAAGCACCCAGGGTGGCGCAGACCACAACAATCACATTGCCTGTTCTCAGTCTCCCTTCAAGTGGAGAGGCATCCGCGCAGGCAAGGCAGCAAGGACCTTGGGCCTTCAGCACAAGACTTGCCTCCGGAGGCGCACCCCATTCTGGCCTCTCACGGAGGAGCAACTCCCACAGGCTTCGTGAACTCCCTCTTGCCCCCAACCTTTCGACGGCCCCTCTCACCTTGAGCGGTGCCCCCAGCAGGCGATGCAGGACCGGTATCTGCGCACCCACGGGCAGCGCCCCGTCTAGGCTGCAGGTGGGGGCCCGGCGCGGCTCTGGGAAGTTGGCACATGCGAAAGGGTCGGTGTCTTCTAAGTACTGAACCCGCACAGTCACCACGGATACGGGCTCCCCGTCCCCGCGGTCTTCGCCGCCCGCCATGGCTCCACCACTGGCTCGTGGCGAGAACTTTCAGTCTCTGCTACAGCGGCCACCCGATTAGTTCAGTGTCCCCGCCCGGCCCCAAGAAGAAGAGGGGCGGAGCCGGATAGGCGGGGCCGAGAGAGGGGGTGGGGCTAAGAAGAAGGCCCGAGCGTAAGAGGGAGGAGGTAATCACTGCTGGAGGCAGGCCTTACCCCAGCCAATCAGAGGGCTTGGTCGTGATGCCGCTAGTTCACTGGCTGGGAGGGCGGGAAGCTCGCCTCGCGCTCCGCCTTCAAGAGGGTGCGGGCGGGGACCCAAGGTCTGTCTTTGGCTTTGGGGGATGTGAAGTTTCTCTCTCTTACTGAGATATTAGGGTAATTGTTTCTTCAGTTGGTGACCAGCCTGGCCTCCCTTCTGTCTGAGGAATGAAGTAAATGAGTTTCCTTCCTTTGGAGAAAGAAGCGAATTTGGAGCACGAAATGAGATGACTCCAGTTTAAAGAAAGAGGCAATCAGTTCCCTTTAGTTGGAGAATAGGACCTCAATTAGGGAATGTAGTAAGATGATGTGGTTTGAGAAAAAAGTGAGCTAGGTACAGCTTGTATTAAAATGGACGTGATCCTTAGTTTGGGACAAGGTGAAACTATCATTCAGCCTCTGGGGGAGAATTAGGTTGATCTTAGTCTGAAGGGATCAGCTGAATTTTCCACCCTTAAGGCCAAAAAAGTGAGATACATTGCTTTGGGCTTCGTGGAAGACGGGAGAGGAGAAATGAAATGAGCCTCCGTAGCCCAGAATGATCTGGGTTCAATTTGGGCCTTGAGGTTTCTGGGCACCATGTTGGCCACAGGTTTTTCTGCGCGCCCAGCGCGCGTGCGCGGCTGTAGGTGGTTTTGAGGACCAGATAGGGGAACCCCATGCTCTATCTTGGCTGCTCGGATAGCGGCCGCGCACCGCCCCCTGCCGTCCGCACAGAGCAGTGCGGGGCCCGCGGCCTCAGCACCTTGAACTGGCCGAGCCAGCCTAAGCGTCACTAGGGTGGAGGCGAGGTACCCCAGACCCGCAGACCCCAACCCCTCTGGCTACAGGCCGACACCTCTGGGAGGCGCAACCCTGCGCTGTCCCCTGGAGGTCGTGGCCGCATACAGTTCTGAATCCGAGTAGGAGGAGATTTGGGGAAGGCGTCTTGAAGGAGTAGGTTTGTGGACTTGGGGGAATAGAGAGGGTTGCGCTGGAAGATTTCTGGAGCTGAAGCGCGGTTGGAGGCGAGGAGGACAGTGGGTCCTGACTACGGCAGCCCGGGGCAGGGTCTCTATTCCGAGCCGGGTTTGGGGGTATCGGAGCCAGGATTGGGGGGGCAGGCCCCACGTGCTTGTGACGCGGGGGCGCCCGGTAGGCGGCGGCGGCGACGCGGGGCCGGCGGCCGTGCGGTGCTGGGAGGACGGCTGGGCTGGCGACAGGATGCTGCGCACCGCTCTGCCCCTGCTCGGGCTGCCGCTGGTGGGGGCCGAGGTGGCCGAAGAACCCACCCAAGAGCCCCGGGCGCCGAGCGAGCCTCCTCCGGGCTTGGCGCTCTTCCGCTGGCAGTGGCACGAGGTGGAGGCGCCCTACCTGGTGGCCCTGTGGATCCTGGTGGCCAGCTTGGCCAAAATTGGTGAGTGTGTGTGTGTGTGTGTGTGTGTGTGTGCGCGCGCGCGCCCTCCAGGCTCACGGGGAGCAGAGGACCCGCCCCCGCCCCTCCAATTCTCAGATCTGGATTCGAGTCCCTAAATTCTAATGCTCCTCCAGTTCCTCCACCACCTCTTTTGGGTTTTCCTCCTCTTCTTTCATGAGAGCTCTGAGAATTTGCCTCCCCCAAGGGCTTGCCCCATCTTCCTCTTCGATAGTCACCTCTGAGCTCCGTTGCCAGAGCTCCGTTGCTCTGTTCTTCTCTTGCCTCTCAGTAAGGTCTCCGGACTGACATGGTCCCCAGCCTCTCCGTAACCTCTGCCAGCCATCCTTTAGGGGGATGCTGGTGAGCCTCAGCATTCTGGTCCCGAGAAGACAGCCTTCCTTGGAGACTGCGTCCCACTGTCCATCCTACCGAGAAACTAAGCTGACACGTGTCCTCTACACATCTTATGTCTGCCACTTAAAAGAGGCCTCCTTCTTGTGCTTAGCTATGGGTCTCCTGCTCCCCAAATCAGACCTACAATCTTTTCACTTCAGGGTGTAGGAAACTACCTTCATTGAGCTGCATGCACTAGATGCTTTCCTATACCCAACCACCTCCTCTTGTCTTCACACTGAAGGTTGTGCTTCAGATACACCACCCCCCTTGGAGCTGCTTTTCCTTGCCTCTGCCCCTTCCACCCACTTGAGAGCAGTCAGTGGTCCCTCCTCCTACCAGAGACCCCCCTCCCTCTCCCTGTTGTGCAGGTTCTGCTGTGGGGGTGACTAATTATAGCCGAGCGTTGCTACTCACTCCCCATCTCTGCTGGCACAGCCTGTACTCCAGTCTCCCAATACAGCCTTCATGTAGGAATCACTTAGCCTAGAATTTGACCCCCTCCACCCCCCTTCACACTGGTGGCAGGCGGGGAAAGGGACTGGGCAGGAGCTGAACTCCCTCTCTACTGTGACAGCAGAGACTAATAATAATTGAAAGTGGGGCTTGAGATGCCTCAGGAGCCTGGTTCTGCCAGAGAGCAGGCTTTCTTGACGGGTCTCGGATGGCAGGGCGGGGGTTGGTGTGTGCTCCTGGAGATGAGGATAGAATAGGAAACTTGGGTGGGTAGGAGTGGGGACCAAAGGTAGGCATGAGTGTGAAGGCTCCTTAACTGAGCTTCCCTTAGGGACCCCTGAGCTCTGAGAGCAAACTGGGAGGAGCTTCAGATTTGGAAGCTAGGAACCGAAACGTCTATAAGAGTTGCACGAGGTTTCCTGTCTGAAGGTTTACAGCAGCAACTGTGGTTTCCCCCATAAATCATAGTGCTTTTTCTAGCTTGGATGACACATCCTTTGGAGGCAGAAGAGAAAGAGCCTCCTTCATGGGGGTGGGGGGAAATCCTCAGAAAGGAGGGGAAAGATGCAAAATGTTCAGGGACATGGTCCCCTCTTCCATTGCTAGCAGAGATTGATCCAACACGTCTCTATGTAGAGCTCACTAGGGTCCAAGCACTGCCCTAGGCCTTGTGGGCACAACTTCCAAAGAGTCTCACCCAATCTAACGTGGAAGCTTTTCCTGGGGATTATATGAGATCTGATATATTCCCTTATGGACTCGAGGCTCAAAGGAGAGCCAAGAGTTTATTTTAGGTAACAGACAACAAACAGTAGGAGTCAGCTCAAGGGCTACAAACTCTCCCCCCACCCCATTTCCTGGAGACAGATTTATTCTTTTTCCCCTAGAGTCATATTAACATTTATTGAGCATCAGCCACGTGTCTTACCTCATGCTTGGCTCACTCACACTTTGTATTAATTCATTCCTACCCTTTGGGATAGATCTTTTTTTCCCATTACAGAAAAATCAAAGTTTAGGTGAATGGAATAATTTGCTTGCGCTTACATAGAGAGTGAAGAAGCTGGGAGAAGACTCTGGAGATCAGACTGCTAAAGTTGACTTTTTTTTTAAACTAGCAAGTTCTTGGGGAGCTAGTAAAATGAAAAGCATATTGGGGCAGGAGGTCTACAATACTCCTCAGAGGTATAATATGCATATGCATTACGGCCTTGACAGGAAGGCAGGGTGTAGTGGTATGATCCTGGCTACTGCTTTGAGCTGACTCTCATCAAAATGACTCTGTAGAATGGACTAGAACTGCCCCACGGGATTGCCAAAGTTGCAGATGCTTCACCTTTCTCCCAGAGAGCAGCTGTTGCGATTTAAGCTACCAATCTTTCAATTAGCAGATCACCCTTGTAACCTGCTAACCATCAGAGCACCTTGATTAAAAACAAACAAACAAACAAACAAACAAAAACCACCAGAAAAACACCAAAAAACCCCACTGCCATTAGTTTAGACTCATGGGACCCTCTATCAAGTTCAAGGGGAGGAGACGGATCATCTTCCCAAAGCAGCAAACCACTGACCTTGTTTGGTTGGCAGCCCAACTATTTCACCAGGGCTCCTTAATGATAGGTAACATGTACTGGAGAAGGCCTGTGGGTGCCACAAACAGTAAACACTTTACTGCTAACTAATAAGGTTTGTGGGTAAAATTAACTCCAAATGGTGTGTGGTGTGTTTTTTGGCCACGTTTATTAAATGTGTACTGTAAGGCACTCTGCTAACTACTATCTGTCTTTTTTAATCATCACAATGATCCTATGAGATCATGAGATTGTTACTGTTTTAAATTCTCTTTTGCTGATTAAAAAACTGAAGGTCAGAGTTCTTTGCTTCAAAGTCATGGAACCAGTAAATGGAGGAGCTAGGGTTGAAACATAGACAAGCTTCATGCCAGAAGCCTGGTTTCACAGCTGTTATACACATACCAGACAGCTTTTGCAAAGGTTGAAATAATTATGGATAAAGGAGGTTAGAGGACTGTAAGAAAGAAAGGTGAGGTCCCCTGAGGATAAGGGTAGAGAGGAAATTTCCAGAAGAAAAAAGCGAGGGAAGGCCTTGACAGGAGCACCACTTTGGTGGTCAGGGAAGGCACATACCTGCAAACTTGGAGATTCTGGAGTCCTACATAGCTTTCCTCCTTGGTCCCAGTGTCGGGGGTCCTGACCTTGGGTAACCTGTGGCTTAGTGTGTGTGTGGTGTCCTCTGAACTGATACCTCCTCTCCTCTCCTGGCACTGCAGTGTTTCACCTGTCTCGGAAGGTGACGTCTCTGGTTCCCGAGAGCTGCCTGCTGATCTTGCTGGGCCTGGTGCTCGGGGGCATTGTCTTGGCTGTGGCCAAGAAAGCTGAGTATCAGCTGGAGCCTGGCACCTTCTTCCTCTTCCTACTGCCTCCTATCGTGCTGGACTCCGGCTATTTCATGCCCAGCCGGCTGTTCTTTGACAACTTGGGCGCCATCCTCACTTATGCTGTGGTGGGCACCCTCTGGAATGCCTTCACCACGGGAGCCGCCCTCTGGGGCCTGCAGCAGGCTGGACTTGTGGGTGAGTGACTCTGAGACCTAGGTTGGCAGGAGGAGGATTTGCCACTCTCACCTCAGTTCCCTTTTCCCCAGCCCAGGAGGTCCCATGTGGGTGAGAGCTGTGCCCTGGGAGGCCTGCTGTAAGTCCCTTCCACCTGCTGTGCAAGGAACCACCCCAGACAGCCGACAGCCCTTATTTAGGTCTTTGCCAGTCAAGTTTGGCTTCTGTGGCATGAGAGCTGAGCAGGCCTGCCCCCCCTCAGCTGTGTGTGGGGTACTGAGCCTGTGGGGGCCTGCATCACCACACTGCCACTTGCTAGCCGCCCACTGGAGGCTTTTTTATAGGTTTTCACTCATTCATATACACATTAACTACAATTGACTGATGTCATTTTTATGATGTCTTATCAAATCCTTGCTGTATTCACCCTTTTCCTTCACCCTCCGGACATCATCTGTTAATCTCTGTCAACCCTCCACCGTCGTTTCTGTGTGGACCTTTCCTTAGCTCCCTGCACCCTAGTTGATAAGTTTTGTGTGGCCTGTTCCAGATTAATTACAATACACACATGCCTGATCCGTTCCTTTCAGATTGACCTTCCCTTCACTTATTCCAGTAAACTTATTATCCATTCTTTGCTTGCTCTCTCCTTGCTGCATAACCATCTTATTTTTGTAACAGTCATCTTCTATAGTATTTGTCCTTTTGTGACAGTTACTGCACTCAGCACAATTTCTCTAGACTCATCCATGTCGTGTTGTGTTTCACAAGTTCATTGTTTTCCAGGGCTGTAGAACACTCCATTGTGTGAATGCACCACAGCTATAGCGCCACTCTCTTGCAAGGACCTCCTTTTGGACCTGGGTCTACCCAGGCTGGATGAGGATGGCGTTCTGCTTTTATGATGATTTTTAATAAATACAGATTGTATAGCCACAGAATGCGAGGCACTACTGTAGGTGTTCCTTCTAAACCTGTCCACTCTTCATGACAGCCTGTTGGGGCATTATTTGCCCTGTTGAATGGGTTAGCCCCTTTATTTGACATCACGTCCAGGGTTATCAAAAGCGGTCCAGGCCTGTTTTCCTGAGACTCCTTGCCTTCAGGCTGCCCTGTCCTCCTTATTCCTCATTTCCTGCCCTGAGAAATCCATTCACCCCAGGATATTGGCAATTCAGTCTGTTTCAAAGGCAAGAGGTTTGCAATTGCCACCTGGGGATCCCAACCTAGTTTCCTTAATGAGCTTCAGGGCAGGAAGGAAGGGAAGGGAGAGTATCTGACCATAGAGGTAACAATCAGAAGCCCACCAGATTGACTGCTGATGAGTTGACTGTTAGGAACCCGACAGGAGTAGAATTGCCCCATAAAATTTCCAAGCTACTTATCTTTACAGAATATTTCTTACTTACTCTATGTAAGGTTCTGACTTGATGTCAATGAGTTTTGTTTTTAGTTTATGATGTATTAGACACTGGCTAAAGAATAAATTCTGCTGCTAATCTGATGAGGCTCAGAGGGGCTGCGTGACACGTACAAGTTGCACCTGTGGTGTTTTCTTTTTTTGTGTGTTTTGTTTGGTGTTTTATTACTGTATCCAGGCCTTGTAGATCAATACCTGCTAGCCACTCTCCCTCCTGCAGAGAAGTGCTGGGGGTGCGGCCATGGGAGAAAGCACTGGCTTTTGTGCTTTGCAAAGCTTGTCAGCAACCAATTTCCGGGGTCTGGTGGTCAGGATTACTGTTCCTGAAGTTTTGTATCGACGGCACCGTTTTAGCTTTCCGTCTTACACAGAGCTTTCCTTGTCATTTCCTGGGTTGACTTGTGAGGTAGGCATGGCTCAGAGAGGACAAGTGACCACGCCCATGTTGCCCATTCAGGCCAGGGGTCAAGCCATAGACAGCTTGACGTAAGTCCCCTGTCCACCACCCCGGTTCCTCTCTGGGCTTCCTCTCTTTGGGCAGTGGGATAGAGGTTGCAGGAGACCGTGTGCTCCTCACTCTTACTGCTCTGTTCCCCGTCTCTCCCTCCAAAGCCTCTAGGGTGAGGGCTGGCTTGCTGGACTTCCTGCTGTTTGGGAGCCTCATCTCGGCTGTGGACCCCGTGGCCGTGCTGGCTGTCTTTGAGGAGGTGCACGTCAACGAGACCCTCTTCATCATCGTCTTTGGGGAGTCTCTGCTCAATGATGCAGTCACTGTGGTGAGAGCACATGGCTAGCTGCCACTCCCTGTCCCACGACCACCACACTCAGACCAGTTGGGCTGCCTGGAGAAGGGAAAAGAATCGGTCTCAGTGTGGCAGCCCCTCCACTCCCGACTCCCCTCTCCTCATTCAGGTGCTGTACAAGGTCTGCAACTCCTTCGTGGAGATGGGCTCTGCCAAAGTGCAGGCCACTGACTACCTGAAGGGAGTCGGTCAGTATCTCCCCAGTCTCGGCTGGCACTGGGGGGCCACCAGGGGGCCTGCCTCCTTGGTGGTTGAGCTCCCTGCACCCCCCCGTGTGGCAACGGGCCGGAGGCGGCTATCCGGGTCGGCCTTGTCCCCTTCTCTCCTCCATGGAGAACTGGGGTCCTGAGAACCAGTGCTGGACGGGCGCTCCCTGGGATCCTGACCCCTGGGGAGTGTGGTGGGTACCATCTTCCACTTGTCGGCCTGGGTGGGGTCCAGGCCAGGGGTCAAGCTGACAACCCACTCCTCCCTCAGCCTCCCTGTTTGTGGTCAGTCTGGGCGGGGCAGCCGTGGGCTTAGTCTTTGCCTTCCTCCTGGCCCTGACCACACGCTTCACCAAGCGGGTCCGCATCATCGAGCCGCTGCTGGTCTTCCTCCTCGCCTACGCCGCCTACCTCACTGCTGAGATGGCTTCGCTCTCCGCCATTCTCGCGTGAGTCCTGGGTGCCCTGCAGGAGAACGCTTGGGGGTGGGGGACGGGACAAGGTTGCCCCTCGAAAGGACAGAAGCCGAACCCCAACAAGTTGGCAGGTTTTCCTGAGCTCTGGTAGTGGCAGGAGCTTCCGAGTCTCCTGGGGAGATGGAGAACCTCAGGTGGAAGTCAGAACCCCATCTTTGTCCTCTGGCAGTGCTCACAGGCATGTGGGCTGAGCTGGGAGTGAAGTCCACGGCCTAGAGCCCTGGATCTGGTGACCACAGCACCTCCATGGGCCCATCTCTTCTGTCTCCTGGGCAGTTCCTCGCCTCTCTGAGCTTCAGTTCTGAGAGGCCGGCAATCTCTGAGGGGCGGCCTTCCTCGTGCAGGATGATCAGCCCCCAGAAGTCATATCCTGCCGCCCTCTTCATTTGCCCTCTCGCTCCATTCCTCTCCCAGGGTGACCATGTGTGGCTTGGGCTGTAAGAAGTACGTAGAGGCCAACATCTCCCATAAGTCGCGCACGGCTGTCAAGTACACGATGAAGACTCTGGCCAGCTGTGCTGAGACCATCATCTTCATGCTGCTGGGCATCTCGGCGGTGGACTCCTCTAAGTGGGCCTGGGACTCTGGCCTGGTGCTGGGCACCCTCGTCTTCATCCTGCTCTTCCGAGCCCTTGGTATTGTTGGCGCCCTCTCCTCTCGCACGCTCCTCTTCGTCCTTCACCCCTGTAGCTCAGCCCGGCCTGAGGCCTGGTCCCTGTCAATTCCTCAGCTCCCTTTGCTGCTCACCCCTCACCCCCACCCCAAGCCCCTTTAAGACCCGAGCCTGGACCACCGGTGCCCTCCACTCCCAACACCCTGCTCCCACCGGCCTCCCTCCTGCTGTAGGCGTAGTCCTGCAGACGTGGGTGCTGAATCAGTTCCGGCTGGTCCCACTGGACAAGATTGACCAGGTGGTGATGTCCTATGGGGGCCTGCGGGGGGCTGTCGCCTTTGCTCTTGTCATCCTACTGGACAGGACCAAGGTCCCTGCCAAGGACTACTTTGTGGCCACCACTATTGTGGTGGTCTTCTTCACAGTCATCGTGCAGGTGGGAGTGCCTAGGAGACTAGGTGGGGGAAGAGGGTCTGGCAGGCCCTGGGAGAGTCCTGGAGCCTCTGGGGCTCCTCTTCCCACTGGGGGCTGTGGGGGCCTGCTTTCTCTGACTTGGAGAGCAAGAGGGTGGCCTTAGCCATGGGGAGAGGAAGGCAGGCAGGAACTGAAGAGAGTGGGGCTCGGGCTCACTGACTGCCTGTCCTCAGGGCTTGACCATCAAGCCGCTGGTCAAGTGGCTGAAGGTGAAGAGAAGCGAGCATCACAAGCCCACCCTGAACCAGGAGCTGCATGAGCACGTGGGTACCGGAAGTCCCTGTCTCCACTTCTCCCTTCCCGCACCTTCTATTCTGGGCAGCATCCTGACCCCCATCCCCCTACCCACCCCTCTTCTAGACTTTTGACCACATTCTGGCTGCAGTGGAGGACGTTGTGGGGCACCATGGCTATCACTACTGGAGGGACAGGTGAGGGAGCTGCCCCAAGGCTCCTTCAGCAGCAGCACCCCCACCAGCCAGTGCAGTGCGGGCCATGTGCTACACTTCTGAGAAGGGCACGGCCAGGCTCAGGCGGGTGACCCTCCAGTGGCATCCCACTGCTCTCAGCATAGACTCCCAGTGTGGCCTGCCTGGCCCCATGGGGTTTGGCACCTGCCAGCCTTCCAGCCACACTGGGCTTGGCCCTTCCCTCTCCATCCACCTACCAATCACAGGGACCTTGCTTGAGAACCTGAGGACTTTACCGTTCCTCCTGCCTGTAGGGGACCTTTCCTGTGAGAAGGTCCTCTCATTCTCTCTTGGCTTCCTTTTGCTTCTGCGCTAGTCCTTCAGAGGTCCTATAAGCAGAAAGTCCTTCAGGAGGCTTCCTTTGTCTTCCCAGACCAGGACAAATCCCAATCAATCTGAGCTAGACCTCTCCTGTATAGTTAGTTCTTGACATGGTTTCAGTTTCATAGTTACCTGTAATGACTTCAGTTAATCTTGGCTTTCCCCACAACACTGTTAAGCTCCATGAGGCTTGAGTTTCCCTTGGGTGAAGCTCACACGGAGAAGAGCCAGGTCAGTGCAGGTGGTGGCCCTGCCTCATCTGAGGCTGGGCCTTGGGGGTGGCACTCAGGGTTGGACCTGGCATCTTCTGTAGGTGGGAGCAGTTTGACAAGAAGTACCTGAGTCAGCTGCTGATGCGGCGGTCAGCCTACCGCATCCGGGACCAGATCTGGGATGTGTACTACAGACTCAACATCCGGGATGCCATCAGCTTCGTAGACCAGGTAGGCCGGCAGGCCCTGGTATGTGGTCAGATAGCTAATAGAGCAGGGCTGGAAGGTGCAAGGCAGGCCTGGTGAGGATTTGGGAATTCTTTACTGGCTCCATGATCTTGTGACATGGCAGCTATAGGAACAGGTCCATCCTGGCTAGTCTTGACAGCCAGAATCTGGCAGGCAATATAGAAATGTGGGACGTAGCTAGATTCTAGAGTCAGTAAATTTGGCTCAATTATTTCACTACAGGCTTGTGGCCTTGGGTGAATCACATATTTCACCAAAGTGAGCCTCAGTTTCCTGAATTGTTAAAAAAAAATGGTTGTTGGTGTGTTTTTTTTGTTTTTTTTTTTTAAAAGGCAGGAACAGGGAGCTCTGGTGGCCTAGTGACGAGAAGTTGCACTGCTATCCCAGAGGTGCATGGTTCAAATCCACCAGATGCTCTGCTGGAGAAGGAGGGACAATCTCCTTCTGTACCAGTCAGATCTGACAGTACACACACAAAAAATAGTAAAATAATTTTTTTTAAAAGGCAAGAATAAGTACCTATTCTTAGAGTTTTGTGGTTTGATTTCCTGGCACATCAAAAGAACAAGATTAAGTGCTATTTCTTTTTATTATCCTTCTGACATTCTGGACCACTTTCCATCTGACCTGTCTTGGCCCCTGCTTCAGGGAGGCCACGTCTTGTCGTCCACAGGGCTCACCCTGCCCTCGATGCCCAGCCGCAATTCAGTGGCAGAGACCTCTGTCACCAACTTACTGTGAGTCCTGAGCACCCCCTAAGCGCCTTTGTTTCCGGTCTGGGTCTCCTACCGCCCCGCGTCAGCTCGCTCCCCTGCCCGCAGGAGGGAGAGCGGCAGTGGAGCGTGTCTGGATCTGCAGGTGATTGACACGGTTCGCAGCGGCCGGGACCGGGAGGATGCGGTGATGCATCACCTGCTCTGCGGAGGCCTCTACAAGCCACGGCGCAGGGTGAGCATAAGCTCGGGGTTTCAAGGTGGTGGGGTCCGAGGATAATCGAAGGTTCCAGAGGTGGTCGGCGCCCGCCTGTGGAGAGCTGTAGGTGCTCAGATGAAGAATGTGGGTTTCACTTTGTTGGTAATAAGAAACCTTTGCCTTGTTTTTGAGAAAGCTTCCTTAGCCTACTACAAGCACTGTCTAAAGGTGCCTTTTCTGGCAGCAGAACACAGATCCCGTCGAAGGAGGTGAGTTGAGAGGCCAGGAGAGCCAGTTGGGGACCTGGTGAAACACTGCAGTTTTGAGCTGGGTGGTGGGAAGGGAGAGAAGCACCAAAGACTAGGCGGTTGGGTCTGAAGGGAAGAGGAAGAGATGGATGACAGCTGTTTGTGAATAACTGGGAGAATGATGGGGTCACCGGCAGAGGCAGAGGTTCTGAGGAAGCCTGTGGGGTGGAAAAAACACCTGTTTTAGTCCAATGTAGATCATAAAGCTTTGGGGCCCAGTTCACCCAGGAGGGAATTTGTTGTAACTCCCACAAGGGGGCAGCAAGCTATTACCCTGAACCTTTCTGAACTTGGAAAGTAGTCAAGACCATTCCTGCGAATCTTAATAGTCTTTCTAGGGTTTTAGCTTCCTTTACCTATTGGCTTCTCACCTCTTGGTTTTGATCCAACTCTGCATCTCTGAAGAACAAGTCTTTATATGTGTGAAGACAGCTTCCTCCCCGGCCTTCTTGTCCTCAGGCCCGCTGGCCACCTGTCCTCTGTATCATTCCTGTGTGTCTTCTCTGGTCAGGAGAAATCAGGACCAGAAAGAGAAGTGTTGTGGCTGGCCAGGGCAAGGCACAAGGTCTCTCTCACTGTTCTCTTTCTGGAAGTTGTCACCCTTCTTCCACAGCCCAGGATCTTTCCACTTCTCACTCTTCACTTTGGGCTCCATATTGTTCTTACAATCAGACAAAGGACCATGTCCTTCCCATGTTAATGGCTGTTGAACTGTGTGTCTGCCAAGCTGCATGACTGGTGTATTTAAAAATTTTGTTTTCTTATGGAAAATCTAAAACACATGCAAAGTGGAGAAAAAAAGAATACGTTTACTTATCACTCAGCTTCAATAATTATCAATGTATGGATAATCTTGTTACATTCTATACCCCAGCACATTTTAAAGGAAATTCCAGTTCTTATCCTTAAATGTTAGTATTTCTAGATGGTAAGAACTATCCATATGTATATATTTACATACTACATAGTTGTTGTTGTGTTAAGTGCCACTGAGTCACAGATGACTCATGTGTTGTTGTTAAGTGCCATCGAGTCGCAGACAACTCACAGTGACCCTATGAACACGTGTATAACTTTCATCCTCTCTCCAAGTCCATAGAATTTCCGGAGGCAAGCTATTTTGGAAGTGGATGCCACTCCTGCTTCCAAACTTGTTTTAATTGGGGGATCCACCAAACACCGTCCGCCATGGGTAACCATTATCGCATTTGGCACATCAGTATCACAGTGTTCAGCTTCACAGCAACCACGAGTTACCTCTGTACAGCAAATGGACAGACTGACCTTATAAACGAAAGTCTTGAACAGGAAACTTTCATCTTTTCTCCAAGTTCATAGCGTTTCCAAAGGCAAGCTTTTTTTGGAAGTGAATGCCACTCCTGCTTCCAAGCCTGTTTTATTTGGGCGGCGCTTGGGCCATAGTAAATCAATAAAATTCACTGCTGTTGAGTCAATATTGACTCATAATGACCCTAGGTTTCTGAGGCTGTAAATCTTTCCGGGAGGAGGCTAGTCATCTTTCTCCCGAGGAGCAGCTGGTGGAGTCAAACCTCTGACTTTCTGGTTAGCACCCTGATGGATGTATTGTGCCACCAGGTATCCTTAGTAAATCAATTATATGTGTGTGTGTGTGTGTGTGTGTGTGTGTGTGTGTGTGTGTGTGACCTCTCCAGACTACGGAAGAGCAATCCTATCAGTCTAGAGACTAAGCTGCACAGCCACGGTCTTTGCAATGACTTGCTATGCATCAGAGAGCTGGACAATGACTAAGGATGATAGAAGAAGAATTGATGCCTTGGAGTTGTGGTGCTGGAGAAGAATACTGAATATACCATGTACTGCCAAGAAAACAAACAGATCTGTCCTGGAGAGGGTGAAACCAGGCTGCTCCTTGGAGGCGAGGATTTTGAAACTGTCTCCCATACTTTGGGTATGTTGCCAGGAGAAGGACATCATGTTTAGAAAGATGGAGGGCCAGTGCAAGAGAAGACAACCTTGGATGAGATGGATTGACTCAGTGACTGTGATAATGGGAGTGGGTGTGTCAGAGACAATGAAATTGGCCCAGGATAGAGCAGGGTTCAGAGCTGTTGTATATAGGGTTGCTATGAGTTACGAGTGACTCGATGGCACATAAAAGCAACAACAACAGCATCCACAGTACCATTATAATTTAAAAATAATCATTTAGGTTTTTAATTGATTGTTTTTGTGAATTATAAACCATATTGGTTTTTCATATAGTTATTTTTATAGACAAATTTTGTTTTACAACTTTAGTTACCATTGATTAATATGATTAATGAATTATAATATCTAATCGGCCCCTTGGGGGGCACTGGTGGCCTAGTGGTAAGGAGCCATCTATATCAGATTTCCTTGCTCGGCTACATCAGAATTCCCTGGGGAGCTTGCTAGAATACACATCTCTGGCTTTCCTTTCTATACCACACAGATTCAGAATCTGTGCAGTATAGAGTATACATTATACTCTGTGTATCTTGTTGTTGTCCAGTATGACTCACAGCAGCCCTAGGAACAAACAGATCTAAACCCTGTTCTATCCTGTGCCATCCTCAGAAGTTTTGACATAAAAGAATCCATTGGTGCGGTCACTGTGTCCATTCATCTGGTTAAAGGTCTTCCTCTCTTCCATCGACTCTCCTCCTTTCTAAAGATGATGTCCCTTTCCAAGGATTAGCCTCACCTAACAACGTGCCCACAGTATGTGAGATGAAACTGTCATCTTTTCCTTCTAGGAGCAATCTGGCTGTAATTTCTCCAAGACATAACTGTTTGTTATTTTGGCTGTCCATGGGATGTTCAGTGCTCTTCTCCAACACCACAGCTGAAAGGCAACAATTGTTCTGTCATCCTTATTCACTGTCCAGCTCTCAGATGCACAGCAGCAAGTCATGGCACACTTGAGTCTTTAAACAGTAAAGAAATTGTGCTGCCAATCCAAAGGTACAAGATTTGAATCTACCAACTGCTCTGTGGGAGACAGGTGGGCAGTCTCCTCTTGTGCAATTTACTGCCTCTGAAAACCTGCTGGAGGGCCAAGGTTGAGTGGGTTCTGACTCAATGGATCTCTCTCTATATATATATCTAAAATATATATCTATATCTATATAAATATATAAAATACAGTGGGTTTTCAGAGGCAGTTATTTGCATGGGAGGAGACTGCCCAGCCTTCTCCTGTGGAGCAGCTGGTGGATTTGAATTGCATGCCTTTGGGACTGCAGCACAGCTTCTGACCACTAGGTCACAGAGCTTTCTCTTTCTCTCTCTCTCTCCACACACACACACACACACACACGGAGGAATCTTTACTTTTAATGCATCTCCCACGTGATTCAACTGTACCCATACTTAGGGCTGGTGTTTGGGAGCCACACCCAGGACTATGTCAATGGGGTAGCTAAATTTGAGAGACTAGATACATCCTCTGAGGTGATCATTTAGAAGGAGAGAGGAAGACGAAGAGAACGCTGTTAGGAATAGGAATGCATATGGAAGAAAAAGAAGGGGAGAGGGCAAGGAAGAGCAGGCAGGAACCCTCAGAGAAGCAGTAGCAGACGGTGTCTTAGAGGCCTGGCTGGAAGCGGGGCTGGACACTGCCTAGAGGTCATGCCAGGGCCAGAGGACATGGGACTGGTGAGCAGGGAATAATAGGCAGTCTGGTATTTAAGGAAGAAGTAACGGGTCTGAAGTAGAGTCAGAATCAAATGATAAATGTTTGGCAGCAAAAGGGAGGGATGAAGAGGCTTCTGGGAAGAAGAGGCTGGTACATGCTTGAAGACAGAGGACAGGGAGCTGTTGGTGAGGGAAAGACTGAACCAAGATGACAAACTGGAGGAATGACGGAGGCAGGGAACAAAAAGGAATGAGCTGAGAAAGGGGAGGCCTTTGTTGGGGAGTGATGAGCCCGCGACGGGGACTCCTGTCTCCTGTCACTTTAAATCAGACAGGAAGGAAAAGGCACAGAGGAGGGCAAACCAGATTTGGGGACTAGGTTCTGGGATAAGGGAAAGTTTCCCCCCAGTGATCTGAGAATACAAAGGCCCTGAAGAGATCCTTAGCTGCATCTTTTTTCCTCTCCCGGGGGACCCCTCTGCCCCCCAATCCATGGCCAGTTCTAGAGAAACTTTTTTTTTCATGGAAAAGGTTTGCAGTGACTGTGTTGAGGCCATGAATCTAGGTTCCTTGCCAGGCCAAGGCACCCAGTCTCATGGCGGGGTGGTGCTGTCATTGCCAGTACAAAGCCAGCTGCAGCCGTCACTTCATCTCGGAGGACACACAGGAGCGCCAGGACAAAGAGGTCTTCCAGCAGAACATGAAGCGGCGGCTGGAGTCCTTCAAGTCCACCAAGCACAACATCTGCATCACCAAGAGCAAGCCGCGCCTGCGTAAAGCTGGCCACAAGAAGGCACGTCCTTCCTCGACCCCTTCTGGAGCTGGAGGTTGACAGGCAGCTTTGGGTTTCCAAGTGCAAGAATTCAGCTCCGAGGGGCCTTGGCTGGATATCCCCGTGCACAGGGCCATCCTGGTTAACGGGAGCCCCAACTGCGCCCTCTTAGGATTTCCTGCGATCCCAGAAGGAAGGGGGGCCTTCAGAGGCAGAGCAGCTCCTTAGGTATAAAGGGGTCACTTGCTGGGGGTAGCAGGACCTTGCTTTGAAGAGCAATACCTGGAGCCCCAAGTTCAGCCCAGGCTGAAGCATCCGGAGCCCTCTTTGCTGGGCCAGGGCTTATTCAGACTCCACCAACTCTAGCCTAGCCTATGAACAGATGGTGAAACCATCGGGCTTGATGACCCCAGCCAGAAATTCTCCCCTTGCTCAGTCAACAGCACGTGCCCTCCTGCTGACCCTAGGAGAGGGCAGGCTTGAGGAGGGCCAGGGGCTCAGATTTTCTTTCTTGATCCTCAGAAGAATGACGTGACTAACACGGGGACGACAAATGGGAAGCCTCCTCGAGCCCTGGCCTTCCAGGACACAGGCAAGCCGGGAGCAGGGCTGGGGCCGAGGCGGGGAAGAACCCTGGATGCATGCGTGGACTCCCTCTTACCCTCTGGGACAACAAACTATTTTAGAATTGGGAAAGCTCAAAAGAGTTATTGGACCTGTTGTGACAGAAGGTGACTGATTACTATGGGTTACAGGCCCTGAGGACTTGAGCAATGCAGAGAATGAGTCATGTGAGGAACGCTTGGTCTGGGCTTTGAATGAATGAATGGGGGACCTGGGGGCGTGGTGTCCCTGTCTGCAGAATGAGGTGTCTGGATGAGCTGAACTTTAATGGGCCTTCCAGCTCTCCAGATGCGCCCGTTTGCAGCTGATGGTGGGATCTGGAGCTGAGAGGAGAGGCTGAGGGCCGGAAGGTCTGACTTCCTCTGGGACCGTGCCTTCTCTGGCTGCCTCCTTGAGCTCTGCAGCCCCGCTTCCCTTCTTTCTAAGCCCTTTCCCAGCACTTCTGCCCAGGCTTCTGCTTTCACGGTCTGGTGAGGAACAGGGGGATGGCCAGCCTACCCAGCAGGTGAAACAGCAACAGAGAAGAGAGCAAGGTGCCCCTGCCAGGAAGCCACCAATGAGATGGGTCCTGTCCAGAGGCGGCTGCTGGGCTGCTCACCCAGACTCTGCTCTTGTCCTTGTCCAGCTGCTGTGATATTAACTGTGGAGTCAGAGGAGGAGGAGGAGGAGAGCGACAGTTCGGAGACAGAGAAGGAGGACGATGAAGGCATCATCTTTGTGGCTCGGGCCACCAGCGAGGTTCTCCAGGAGGGCAAGGTCTCAGGTATGGCGGCCTCCCTGCTTCTCTCCCCTTTAGTTGACCCTCAGTCTTTCCAAGCATGATGTCCATTTCCAATGAATAACCCTTCTGAACAATACGCCCAAAGTACGTGAGGCAAAGCTTTGCCATCTCTGCCTTTAAGGAGCACTCTGGCTGCCCTTCCTCCAAGACATGATCTGTTTATTCTCATGGCAGTCCGTGGGAGATTAAGTACTCTCCTCTATCCCGCAACTCAAAGGCGACACTTCATCCTCTCTTATCCTTATATCCACTGTCCAGCTCTCAGGTGCACAGCAGGTGAGTAAAAAAAAGTCCATGGCTTGAATCAGGTGCACCTTGGTCTTTAAACTGACATCACTGCTCTTCAGGACTCTGGAGAGGTCCCTGACAGCACCCTTCCCAATTCAATACACCTCCTGATCTTCTGACTGCTGGAACCAAAGGTGGTGACCGGGGTCCGAGTAAGATGAAAAATTGGTGACAACGTCAGTACCCCCCCTCCCCCCCCGAATCTATAATGATGTTGCCTATTGGTCCAGTGGTGAGGATTTCTGTCTTCTTGATTTTGAGATACAATCCATATTGAAGGCTGCAGTCCTTGATCACCTGGCAAGCACAGCAGGCAGGGTTATGTCATTTGTGTAATGGAGGTTTGCTGATGAGTCTTCTCCAATCCTGATGCCACATTCTTCTTCATAGAGTCCAGCTTCTCGAATGATTTGCTCTGCATACAAATTGAATAGATATGGAGAAAGGATACAATCCTGATGTCCATCTTTTTTTAAATTTTAAACCCCTGCAGAGCTCAGAACACAGCTTCTTGGTCTAGCTATAAGTTTCATATAAATACAACTAAGTGTTCTGGGATTATCATTCTTCTCAATGTTAGTATTGTTTGTTCTGCTTCACAGAGCTAGATGCCTTTGCATAGTCAATAAAACAGATGTTCGGTTCTAGCCATTTTTCTTATGATCTTCTGCAATACTTTTGCTGATGATTGTGATATTACTGCTACTGTTTGATAGTTTCCACATTGGACTGAAAAACTTTTCTTGGGAATGGGAGCAAATAGAGATTGTTTCAAGTCAGTTGGCCAAGTTGTCCTCCAAATTTCCTGGCACAGACTGGCGAGCATGCCCAGGGCTGGACCTGGTACTTGAAACATGTCAGTTGGTATCGCATCAATTCCTGGGGCCGTATTTGTTTGCTGACGTCTTCAGTGCAGCTTGAACTTCTTCCTTCATCATCGCTGGCTCTTCATCATATGTTACTTCTTGAAATATTTCAGTGTTGACCAATTCTTTTTGGTATACTGGCTCTCTTTATTTCCACCGTTTTCTTTTGATGCTTCTTGGATCAATCACTAAAGATTTTGCCTGTAGCATCTCTCAGTATTGCAACTCAAAGCTTGAAATTTTTTTTTAGTTCAGCTTTAGAAATGCTAAGTAAGTTTCTCTCCTCTTGTCCAACTCCAGCTCTTTGCACATTCAAGCCTACACATTACATTTAACTCTTTTAACCTAAAGCACTTGTTCCCAAGGAGTGAGGGGAAGGGAGAGAAGGAACAATTTTGTCCCTTTGGGGACTTTTGGAAATGCTGGAGACATTTGTGGTGGCCACAACTTGGAGGTGTTACTTGCATCTAGTGGGCAGAGGGCAGGGATGCTAGACATCCTCCAAGGTACAGGGAAGTGCGCGCTCACAAATAGTAATAATAATCAATAGTAACAGTAATAATGCCATTAGAGCCAAAGTTAAAAAATGCCAATCTATAGGTTTTGTGTTCCCCCTATTATTTTCCCCTTGCAATGTACTGGTTGATGAAACCACGTGATTTGTCCCACAGTCTTACCCTGTCTGGATTTTTGCTGAATGCAGCCCTGGAGTGCCAGGCATCCTCTTTCAGAACCCCAGACCTCCTGTGAGCCAGTGGCATAACTCACGGCTGGGCCTGAGCCTCTAACCTCAGCACCTGCAGTTCTGGGCTTCTTGGATCGTTCTGGGCTTTGCTCTGGGCTTGCATGAGCTCACACTCCTGGGCCCTGTCCCACCTGAGGCCTGTGGTGGAAGCTCAGGCAGGGGGCCCAGCGGCAAAGCCTCTGGCCCAGAGCCTCGGGCTGTCCCTCATCCTCAGTGGCTGCCTGGCAGACTGTGGTCTCCCTAACAGGGCTGAAGCAGGGTGATGGTTGATGGCAGAAGTGGGGGTCATCTTTCCCTGAAGGTTCCTGCTTTTTGCTTCTGTGATTTTTCATTTGATTAGGGGGTATTTGTTGAGCACGTGCTATGAGCCTAGCCCTGTGCCTGGTGTTTCTCTTCAGTGAGATAATCATCAGTCAATGAACAGATGTAATGGGGAAGGAATCTGTGAAGAAGCATTTCCACAAAGGACACCACTGTGTTGCTAAGGAGGTCGTGTGTCCCCTCTGTCCCCAGGGAGCCTGGAAGTGTGCCCGAGCCCACGCATCATCCCGCCCTCTCCAACCTGTGCGGAGAAAGAACTGCCCTGGAAGAGTGGGCAGGGGGACTTGGCAGTGTACGTGTCCTCGGAGACCACCAAGATCGTGCCTGTGGACATGCAAACAGGCTGGAACCAGAGCATGTCATCCCTGGAGAGCCTGGCCTCCCCGCCCTGTACCCAGGCGCCGACTGGGACCTACCTGCCTTCCCGCCCTCTGGCCGCTGAAGAGCCCCTGGCTCCTCTCGCCCTGCCTTCGGATCCCCTCTCAAGCTTCGCCTTCCCCCCAAGCCTGGCCAAGGCTGGCCGGTCCCGTAGTGAGAGCAGCGCTGACATCCCCCAGCAGCAGGAGCTGCAGCCCCTCATGGGCCCGGAGGACCACACGCATCTCAGCCCTGGTGCTGCCAGTTCCCGCTGGTGCATCCAGTTTAACAAAGGGGGCCGGCTGTAGCCAAGGACTCGGGGGGTGGGGCGGGGTGGGGTGGCGAGGGGGCCCTACTCGGAGACTCGCTCCTTGGGCAGTGGGCTGAGAAGCCTAACCAGCCCACCATGGGACCAGTGGAGCCTGGACTTATGTGACAACTGGGCACCAGCAGGTTAGAGGGGTATCCTGGGCTGGTTCTCATGGGTCCTCCTCCCCACTCTTGCCGCTCCTAACCCCTGCTGCCTTCCCTGTCAGTAAGACGCCTCCTTGTCTCAGGACCCAGTTTAAACGTTAGCAATAGGCCTAAGACTTGGGAAGCTGATACCCTGACCAGTGGGTCTTCGTGGGGCCACTCTGGGTAGCTAGCTGCACCTGACCCCCAAGCAAAGGCAGCATTCCTCAGCTGGCAGCAGTCTGTCCTGCTCCCCCACTTTCTCCTGAGCCCTAGGTCAGGACTGTGTCTTGGCAGTGAAGCTCAGAGAGGAGCTGGCCCTGGTGGTCCTCAGAGAGACTTGGGGTGGGAGGTGGGGCAGGTCTCATCCTTGGGTCTGCTGACCACAGCCAGTATTTTCAGGCCAGTCAGGGGACTGTTCTCCCCTCCCTTCGCTGTCAGGTGTTGGGGACGATGGTTCTCTCATCTCCAGGCCTAGAGCTACAGAGCAGGGCCAGGCTTTGGATCAGGGCTCTGCTCAGCCAGGACCACTCTGGGAATCTGCTGCCCAGGCTCCGAGTGTGGGCTGTTACGATCCTTGGGCCGGGGTTTTCTGAGGAGGAGAGACAGCAGCCTTTGGGCTCCCATGCCCCCATCCCCACATTCCCCAAACAGGAAAGGACCCAGGCATCCCAGGGCCACTGTTCCGCTGCCCTGGGGGCTGGGATCCCAGCTGTGGTGGTAAGGGGCTGGCTGGCTGGTAGCTGACTTTCCTGGGGCTAGCACCTGTCCTGGGGCTAGTACCTGCCCTTTGTTTTGTACCTTGAACCTAAGATACATTAAACATCTACCAGGTGGATGGATGGCCTCTGCCTATGAGCCTGAGAGTTCTGGGGGTGGGAGGCCAGGTGGATGCCAGGTAAAGGAGGTGGAAACCTCCAATTGGGCATCAAGGCTTTGGGGATGGAGAATACACCCTGGGGAGCACTGTTTCCTTCTCCAACCCTCCCCTCATGTCTCCCCATAGCTGCCCAGCCTTGACCTCTTACAGGGGTCTGCAGCAGCAATCCAGGGGTCCCTGTACAGACAAAGGTCACAGAACTAAGAGTCTGCAGATGGAGCTGGCCAGCAGGGAAAGGAAGGGGGCGGTCAGCTGCCAAGCTGCCTGAAGATGCTGCCACATCCCAACGGGGCCAGAGAAGGAAGCTGGTCTCCCTGAAGCCCTGGGGACAGAGGAGATAGATGTCCTCTGCAAATGGCGGGGTGGGAGGGCTGTCTTAGGGTTACCCTAGAGTTTATGATACAGTCCCATAACTCAATTTCTACTCTGAAGAACTTAAAAAATCTTTGCGATTTCATTCACATATGATAAGAAAGCATGAAGTGGTTTTCAGACTATTTATAGTTTTACCATACTGAGCTTTAATATAACTTTCATGATTTATCCCCTAAATAACCCTCATATCCCTTTACAGCCAACCCTGCCTACTTCTCCAGCTCCAGGTAACTACTCAAGCATATGCTGTCTGGATCGGAGTGGTTTAGTGACCACACATTCCTGCGTTACACAAGGCAAAAACAAGAGGAGGAGAACACAGAGCTAGGCTTTGCTCTCAGGAGTTTACAGTTGGCCATGATAAGGCCTGGTACGTAACAGTCTGGAGTCACACGGTCACTGCTGGCACCCAGCAGCTATGCCATCCTGGGTACACTCCATAGTCTCTGGCCTCCTGGTCTCATCTTTAAAGTGGGAAGTTGTTGTCATGGGCCGTCACGTTGCTTGAGACTCATAGTGATCTTATATACAGCAGCTCTGAACCCTATTCTATCTTGAGCCCATCCCATTTTCTCTGACACACCTACCCTATTACCCCAGTCACTAAATCAGTCCATCTTGTCCAGGGTCTTTCTCTCTTGCGCTGTCCCTCCACCCTCCCAAGCATGATGTCCCTCTCCAACGACTGGTGTCTCTCCTTACAACACACCCAAAGTATGTCAGATGGAGCTTCAAAATCCTTGCCTCCAAGGTGCAGCCTGATTTCATCCTCTCCAGGGTGAACCTGTTTGTTCTAGCCGTCCATGGTAAGCTCAATAGTCTTCTCCAGCACTCCAATTCAACGGCATCCATTATTGTTCTGTCATCCTTAGTCATTGTCCAGCTTTACATAGCAAGTAATTGCAAAGACATGGTCTAGATCAGACACACCTTAGTCTCCAGACTGGCATCATTGCTCTTCAGTACTCTAGAGAGGTCCCTGACAGCAGATTTTCCCAATGCAATTTGTCTTTTGATTTCCTGGCTGCTGGTACCAAGAGTGTTGATTGTGGAGCTAAGCAAGTTGAAGCTGTTAACAATCTCAATCTCTTCATCATCTACCGTAGCAGTTATACTTATTTCCTAAAATTGCCATCACCATGTATAGGATTAAATAGTAAAACAAAGATGGCTTTAGTACAAGGTCTGGCCCATAGAAAGGGGTCATGAATATTTCTCATTTTTGGCCTAACACAGCAAAACAAAAATGTGTATGAGGAATTACAAGCCCCTGAAGAGAGCTGAGGGTCTGGAGGAGTTAGACTATGCAAGTGTGTACACGTGTGTGTTTTGGGTCTCAGATCACAGACACAGAAAAGTTGGGTGTGTGTATTCTATTTCAGACCACGGGCACAGAAAAAAAAAAGTGTGTGTGTGTGTGTGTGGGGGGTACAAGACTATGTTGTTGTTGTTATGCACCATCGAGTGGTTTGCGACTCATGCGATCCCCATGTACAATAACCCTAAACCCTGCTCTATCCTGTGCCAATCGCATGGCCTCTGACACACCCATCCTGATTACCCCAGTCACTGAATCAATCCACCTCATAGACTTCCCCTCCTGCGCTGTCCCTCCACCCTACCAAGCATGATGTCCCTCTCTAAGGACCTGTCACTCCTTACAACATGTCCAAAGTATGTCAGACGAAGCCCCAGAATCCTTGCCTCCAAGGAGTAGCCTGGTTTAACCCTCTTCAGGATGAATCTGTTTGTTTTCTTGGCAGTCCAGGGTACATTCAGTACTCTTCTCCAGCACCACAGCTCAAAGGCATCAATTCTCCTTCTATCCTCCCTAGTCATTGTCCAACTCTCTGATGCATAACAAGTGATTGCAAAGACCATGGCCTGTATCAGGCGCACCTTAGTCTCCAGAGAGACATCGTTGCTCTTGAGTACTTTAGAGAGGTCCCTAACAGCAGACTTTCCCATGGCAATACATTTTTTGATTTCCTGGCTGCTATATACGACTATGTACATAGACAAAAATTGAGTGCGTGCATTCCAGGTAGACAGAGCAGCATAAACAAAGGATGCTCAGAGGACTCATGGACAAAAAGCAAACAGGAGTTGCTGCGGTTGGGAGGGATCAGCCAGGAACATGAAGGTATGACTGGGGAGACCCAGCTGAGTTCTAGGATCTACTGCTGAGTTCTGGAGGTGGCAGGGAGCTGGCTTCGTGGGTGAGTTAGCTAGAGAGAGCAGTGTAGGCAATAATGTGCTTTGTTGTGTGCTGTTGAGTCAGAACCGACCTATACCTGGTTTTCAGAGGTAATAAAACACACAGGAGGAGAATGCCCATTATTCTTCCGTAGGCCAGCTGGTGGACTCAAACCATGTCCAGAGGACCCATGGTCAGAGATGGGTAGCTTCTTACCACTAAGGCACCGGAGCGGCTCTCTCTGAATGTTGCTAGCGCCAAGTGGAGGATGGCTCTGGGAGATAGGTTCTACTAGAGGAGCTGCCGGGGGTCTGCTTTAAGAGCTCAGGGATCAATGGGGAGCTCTGGTGGCCTAGTGGCAAGAAGCTGCACTGCAATCCCAGAGGAACACGGTTTGAATCCACCAGATGCTCTGCCGGAGGAGGCGCAATATCCTCCTGTACCAGTCAGATTTGATTTGACGGTACACGCACACAAAATTTAAAAAAAAAAAAAAAGAGCTCAGGGATGTGAACAGATCGGAAGGGAGGGTAGTGAGGCTCGAGGAGGCTGACTGTCTTCAGTGTCAGAATCGCTGAGCGACTCCTGATCAACAGAGCTGGTCAGAGACGAGGCTGGGGAAGGAGGCAGACAGGCCTGGCCTGTGGTGCAGCTGGAAATAGTGGGGCTGTCTCCCCTTGCCGGGATGGCTGGGAACGACTTGGTGAAGCAGGCGATGCCACCTCCTGGCCTTGAAGGGCGACTTTTATCCAGGGAGATGGGTGCGGGCACTCCAGAAGGAGGTGGTGTGAGACAAAATTTGTAATCAGGTAACAGCTTACAGGCCAACTGCTGCCCGATGCTGGACAGAAAGGCTGTGATGCCTCCGGATGGCCCCGAGTGCCAAGGTGAGGAGGCTGGACTTAAGTTAGGCCAAAGGCAAGAGGAGGCTGGAAGGTCTGGGGTCATATTGATCGGGGGCAAGGAGAGTAGGAGTCTTATTGGTGGGCTGACTGAGGTAGAGAGACCTCATTTTATTTTTTATGTATATTGGCAAGGGCAGGGAGGCTGAGGGAGGCTTGGGGAAGGGGCAGGGGAAGGAGGCGGGTCCCCCTTGTATGATCTCAGCGGAAAAGGCTGCTGTGTGTTGGTTCTGCTGCCAGAAGAGCCACAGAGATGGGCCGCATGAGTCACTGCTCAGTCCTGCTAGCTCAGCCCACAGAGCCTGCTGCGGTTGGCAGGCCAAGTCATCTCCGGGCCCAGTCCCCTGGTGCTCCCCACCATCTGTCCCCATTTCTACTGGTAGTTTTGCTGTCCCAGGACGGTGCATTCTGGAGCTCTGTGCCTCTACCTCTGCCTCGGTTTGCGATTCTGCGTTATATCTCAGCTCATAGATGGCAGCCGCAAGTGGGCAGGGGGAGTGTGGCCAGTCTTGGGAACCTCTGCATAGTGTGGCAGGCAGGCCCTGTGCTAGGTGCTGACATACAGACATGGGTAACACAGTCTGTCTCCACAAAGCATAACTCAAAGCCCTTCACAGTGTCTCTGAACCTGTCTGCCTGTGCCCAGGGGTGCCTGGATCAACTATGGTCTGTGGCTTGAGGTCCCTTTTTTGCTTCTGGCATTGGAAGGAGTGGGTGTGCCTGCCAGTTCTGAGGGCTCCTGGGGGCCTGGCTGGTTGGTGGCTGGCGGTGGGCAGAGACAGTGTGCAGCAGAGGGGAGGGAAGGAACAGGAGATATGACTCAGTGGGGGTGGTCCCAGGACAGAGCTAGGGAGCGGCCAAGGTTAGTCCAGCTGCTTGGTGTAGCTTAGACGAGGCTGCGGACAGCCAGCCGGACTCGGGGGCTGGGTTGGGACAAGACAACCTTAAGACTCCTTTCAAGAAGCTAGATCAGCTCATGACGGAGACTCCAGGTAGTCTGTCTGGAGTCTGACTGCGTGCTCACATGGCAGTAGGGCTGGGGGAGAGCTACTGCTGTTGGCTCCACTGTGGTAGCTTTAAATGCTCTGGTTCCTTCCTCCAGAAACTTGGGCTCTGGAAGGAGGCGCCTGTCTTGGAGCCACAGAAGCCAGTACATCCACGATCACCTCCTCCCAAGCCTGGCTCTGCCAAGACTTGGGCATTCTGTGGGACACAGCGCCTTCCCCTGGCCATATACTCAACTTTCCCATAATCTTCCCATAAATTTTAGGGAGTATTAGGCCAGGTTTCACATGCCCCAAAGGGACCCCCCAAGCCTTAAAGCTGGGATCATACAAGTCATTTATTCAAGTGACTTCCATCAGCACAGGACCCTTGACCGTGGGCACTGCAGGAGCACCACTTAGTGCTGGGAGTGAGTGGACACGTATTTGACTGCAGCGGGCCTTAGGGGCAAGGAATGACTTATGACTTTTTTTTTTAATAGGTAAGGAAGCGTTGCTGGAGTGCCCTCGGCAGGTAAGTGGAGGTGCCAGGTCTGGACTGGTCTCTTTGGCTCCAGGATCCCCCCCACTGCAACCCCAGTCCCCTTAGCTGGGCTGTGGGTGTTAGTGGTGAGAGTCCATAAGGAGTGGGAGGGTGGGACCTGGTGGATTCTCCCACCGCGGAGGCCTCCCTGTCTCTCCACCCAGATCCCATAATGGATCACACAATCTGTTTCAAGGTGCCTGGCTGGGCCTGGAGACTGGAAGGAAGAGGGGGGCTACACACCACCACTCCCACCTCGGTAAAGATACCCCTACCTCCCAGCCGCTCCAGCAGCTGGTCTGCACTCTAGGAGCTTCCCTCGAACCCTGAGCCCTCGATTGTTTCTCTACGTGAGGAAATGGGATTTTAGTTACTTCCTACCTCATCGAGTAAGGTTGGCAGGCTGTCCTGGGTGGGTGGGCAAGGCAGCTGACGCCCCCCCATAGTCCCTACTCTCACCCCTCCCCACGATTCCCACCATAAAGCCTTTCCCCTCAAGCCATGCAAGCTCCTTCCTCCAATCTCATGCAAATCCACAAATTCACTCACCTTCGTGCCTTGGTCAGCAGATGACCCCTCCCCGGGCTTGCTCAGACTTGGGGTGGGCGCAGGGGGAACAGCCGTTGGTCGTTGCGCCTTCCCGACGACAGAGAGGCCGAGGTCGGGCGTGGAGGGTCCGCGAGCCCGCGGGGCGGCAGCGGGCAGGGCCGGAGCCGAGCTATCGGGCCCGCGGGGCGGCAGCGGGCAGGGCCGTTGCGGGAGCCGGCGCCCGGGTTCTCCCGTCATCGCAGCGTCCGCCGTCGGGACTGGCGGGTGGGCTGCAGCTCCGTCCTCCGACCTCCAGGGGGCGCCGCGGGGCGGCGGAGCAGCGGCCCACGTCCACGTCCCTTCCCCCGTGACCAGGAGGCGGCGCCCTCGGACGCCAGGCGGGCGGCTCTGTGCCCGCCGTCGAGGACACGGTGGAAGGTACGTCCGAGGATTTCTCGTTTGTTCGCGGTTTTCCGCAGTGCGTCCCGCGGGTGTGAGCGCAGGTGGCTGGGGAACGAGGCCGCGTGGGTTGCGGACGGGCGAGCCGGTGCCGAGCCGGCGCGGAGCGCGCATGAGGCCGCGAGCACTCGGCTCGTGCGTTCCCCACGGGGCGAGGCCGCCGAGCGTGGCCCCGAGTGTGGGCTTTCAGTATGGAACCCCGCCGGGACCCCTGCTTGTGAACACAGAAGGGCTCGGTTGGAGGGGGCTCCCTGATGTGCGCCCTCCTCCCCAGGTCTGAACTGCTGCACCTTTGACGCCAGTCCGCTCTGCAGCACCAAGCTGGTGCTGCCTGCGTTAACCAGCGTTCCTCACCCAGGCCGACCATCTTCAACCCACTTCCGGGATGAGCTGGGGCCTTATTTTACCCTAAAGGGTCCGCTTGGTCGTGAGCAGGTCCACCTTTAGGTAGGGGTTGATGGAACAGTCCCTGGAGGACGGGGATGAGTCCCCAGACTCCCAGGGCCACGCCACCGATTGGCGATTCGCTGTGTGCAGTTTTGTGGATGCCTGGGAAGAGGAGGAGCTCACCCCACACGGGGAGGTGACAGACCCTAATACACCAAGAGCAGGGAACGCTCAGGGGGAAGGGCCACAGGGCATCCCACCTCCCAGGGAGCTTCAGCCACGGCTAGAACTGGTGACTCTAGACGGGTCCGGGGATGGCCCAAAGGGCACAACACCAGGGAGTTCTGCAGCCCAGTCAGAGGATCCACATCCTTATGGAGTGGAGAGCCCCCTGTGTCCTGCGCCCTCCCACCTCAGCCTGGTGGAGGGTGTGAGTGACAGTCAAGGGAGAGACTTGACAGGGAGCCCAGTTTCAGATGACACCCTAGTGACAGCCAGCCTGGGCCCGGAGGACTTGGATAGCGACTCTGTGGTCCTTGGAAGCCCTTTATCACAGACAGCAGAGCTGCCAGAGGCAGGTCAGTGATGCTGGGCAGGGGTAGGCTGGGAAAGGAGTGGGAGTGCCTGGAGGTGGGTGTTGGTTGAGACTGGGTCCAGCTTTGGGAAGACCATAGGTGGCCCAGTGTAGATCCAGCCACTTCCTTTCCCTAGATCTCAGCAGATCCCATCCTGTCAAGCTTACTAATTGTCTCCTGATCCAAGACCTTGATTTTGAGCTGCTGGCCAGCGGCATGGCCACCTTGCCAGGTACGGGATGGGACTAGGGAGGGTAGACGTGGCATGGCCTCACTAGGTGGATGTTCACTGCCTCCTCCATGCAGGGACTCGGGACACACAAGGCCGGGCAGTGCTGCTTCTGTGCGCCCACAGCCCCGCCTGGCTTCACCCCAAGTGTAGCAGCTATGAGCTCGTCCGCCTTCTGCTCTACCTGCGAAGCATCCCCAGGTTGAGGAAGCGGGCTGGGAGATGGCATCTGGAGGTGGCAGGACCTGGCAATGAGATGCTGAATACAGCCCTCCCCTTTAGGCCCAAAGTACAGGCCCTGGGATTGACCGTACTGGTGGACGCGCGCACCTGCTCCCCAAACTCTTCCCTTTTCCAGGGGCTTAGCCAGCTGCAGGTGAGTGCAGGATCACGGCCACCCCACGCTTGTCCCTTTGTGCAGTGCTGGGCCAGGCCTGAGCGCAGATTGCTTGCAGGAGTCAGCTCCAGGGTCCGTGCATCAGGTGCTGCTGATGGGAAAGGTGCCAGAGGAAGTGCCCTCGGGTCTTCAGGTACAGAGTGAAGGTGCCAGAGGTGGGGGTGGGCTCTCTGCCCTCCAAGCCTGGGCCACATCCCCTTCTTCGTCTGCAGCTCGAGCGGGTACCCTCTCAACAGAGCCTGCTCACCTACATCCCTGCTGCCGAGTTGCCCGATTCGTTGAAAGGAGGCCTGTCTTACTGCCATCAGACCTGGCTAGACTTCCGGATGGTCAGTGCTCTGTGAGGGGCATTGGGGCCACAGGCAGCCTGGGTCAGCGGAGGCGTCACGCCTGGGCTGGGTAGATCAGGACAGAGCTGACTGCCTGGAACCCGGGCTGCCTGGGACTAGCACTGAGCGCTGTCCTGGTCATGCTTGTTTCCTACTCACAGCATCTAGAGGCCCTGCTAGAGAGCTGCCGGGTGGTCGGCGCCCTGCTCCAAGGGGCCATTGAAAGCATGAAGGCAATTCCCAGGCCCACGGAGTCCAGGGTGGGTGTCACTCTCTGAAACCTCCCAGTGCTACCCTCCTGTCTCCTTCCTGCTTTGCCATGACGGCCTCCTCTGCCTGTTGTCCCCGACCTCAGGAAGTCAGCCAGCTGCTCCGGCAGGCACAGGTCCTGATGCAGCAGGTGCTCCGCTCACCACGGCTGACGTGGCTACAGTGTCAGGGGAGCTTGGAGCTGGCGTGGCTGAAACAGCAAGTCCCAGAGGTGACCTTGAACCCAGACCATAGGTGGGTACCAGCCTAGGTAACAGATCTTGACCCAGCCCAGTCCACAGCATCCCACGCCAAAGAGTCAGTTCCTGGTCCAGGGCCATCCAGGACTGTGGGTTTCGGAACAGGCTGGGGTGGAGCAAGAGTTCTAAGACAGTGTGCCCCGCACCAGGCTGGCAGTGGATGAGGTCGACAAGCTGTACAATCATGTGGATGAACTGCTGCATCAGCTGACGTTGCAGAGCAACCGGCGAGTCCAGGCTCTGGAGTTGATACAGATGTTGGAGACCCAGGAGGACACACTGCACCAGGTGGGGACCCAGGGCCAGGCCAGGGCAGGGACTCAAGCCCAGTCCCACCCCAGCATCTCTGACCTTCCCCTGCTTGTGCCCCTCCAGATTGAAATATGGCTGCAGCAGGTGGGCTGGCCGGCACTGGAGGAGCCAGGGGAATCCTCGCTGGACGTGCTCCTCCAGGCCCACGGCCCTTTTCAAGAGCTGGACCAGGCTGCCCAGGTGAATTTGGTCACTTGTTCATTCCACAGGTGTTGATGCCCTGTGGCAGCCACTAGGAATAGAGAGGAGGTGAAAACAGATTCATCCCTTGCTTTCAGAACTGACAGTCCAAATGGAGATCGTTATGTGCCATTGAGTCAGAACTGACTCACAGCTGATTCTCCAGTGGGTTTTCAGAGGGCATAAATCATGAAGGAGATGATTACTTGTCTTTATCTCTTGGGTATTAGTTGGAATCAAAGGTTTACAGTCATTGTGTGTGTTCACCAATTGAGGCAAGATCTCTAGAAAGAAGCAACACAGTTATTTCTACCTGAGTATATAACAAAAACGTGACCCAGTAGAGTGTCTGGATAGGCTATCTTAAGAAGGTGCTTTAAAAAATTGTGGTTTTGGTGGTTTACAAAGTAGTTTAGGAGTTTAGGTTTCCATTAAAAAATGTTTATGCAGATTATTCAGTGCTAGTTAAATTCACAGTGCATGAGTATTCTGAGCAAGTACTTTCTAGCTAAGAATCAAAGGACAGGATGGAGGGTTGGGGATGGGAGATAGCGCATGAAAACAGCACATGCACAGGAAGGAGCAAGTGCGAGGAGACATAAGGCCGGGGAAGGGCAAACACAGACCAGGAGCGAGAGAGTGGGGTGAGGTGAGGCTGGAGAAGTGGTCGGGGCCAGTTCACTGGGTCATGTGGAAGGGGACTTTGTGTTCTGGGGACAGTGGAAGGGTTTAAGCAGAAAGACAATCTTGGAAGAGTGCCCTAGTTTCTGGGTCAGTGATGCTGGAGGATGGATGTGGAGAGATGGTTTACAGTGGTCCAGGAAGGAAGTGATGTTTGCTCTGGCCAAGATGGTGGCAGTGGAGTTGAACTTGAGAGGTTGACTTGATAGTGGATACTTGTGGTTGGGACATGAGGGAGAGTTGCTAAGGATGCATAGGTCTTTGAGAAGAGACTTGGAAACAGGACATTCTGGGACTGGGGAATTCACAAGTCCAGCCTGGATGTGCTTTTGAGATGACTGTGAAGGAATTAGGGGCGACCCTTTACTGGGCCTGGAATTGAGAGAAGCCTGCAGATGCTCACTGGGTGGATGTGGGCACGTGGGCAAGCAAGGTCAGGTAGGACAGTGGACGGTACTCAGGAACCCAAGGCATGGTAGGGGGAACAGAAGGATGAACCCCCACAGGAGAAACAAGACAGTGGGGATATATCAGGCAAGAGAGGGCCAAGGCCTGAGAAGTACCCAGAATTGCTCCATCCTGGGTTGGAGCAAAAGTAGACTAGAGTGGCCAAGGTTGGAGGTGAAGCTGAGGGACAGTGAGAGATGTCAGTGGATACACCTAGGCTTGGGGGCTGGACCAAAGGGCCGGGCCTGCTGAACCCAGTCTCTGCCCTCAGGAGCATATCAGGCAAGGGGAGAGGATTCTACAGCCACTGGCTGCCTGGGAAGCTGCCGAACTCGGCTCCCCGGGAGCCCGCTTCCTGGCCCTGCAAGCCCAGCTGACTGCGTTCTCCAGGGCTCTGGCTCAGTGGCACCAGCGGCTGGCAGATGCTGAGAGACTGCAGCAGTTCTTCAAGCAGGTGGGTGAGGGGGTCCCTGTCCCAGACCCAGGTGGTCAGTGGGACCCGAGGGGTGGCTGACCACCCTAGCTTTGCCTCAGCTTGGACCCTCTTCAAGGCCTGTTTTCTTTCATTGTCTTCAGCCTGACCCCAGTATCCTCCCTCTGCACCCAGGATGTGGCTGGGTTGGCAGGCTTTGGGGGTGAGAGGTGGCCAGGAGCAGGTGCACAGTTGCAGTGAGCTCGGCTCTCAGTGCCTGTCTTCCTTGGTGTTGCAGGCCTCGACATGGGCAGAGGAGGGCCAGCGGGTGTTGACAGAGCTGGAGCTGGAGGCCCCCAGGGTCGTGTTGCAGCAGCTGCAGCTGCACTGGACCAAGCACCCTGACCTGCCTCCTGCCCACTTCCGAAAGATGTGGGCGCTGGCCACGAGTCTGGGCTCAGAAAGCATCCGCCAGGAGTGCCACGGGGCCTGGGCACGGTGCCAGGACACTTGGCTGGCCCTTGACCAGAAGCTCGAGGCTGCACTAAAAGCTCTGCCCACAGGCAGCAGGAGTAGCCTCTGTGTCAGCCGGGTCCGCTTGGCACCCACTACCCCTCCTCTGAGGAAGGCATACAGCTTTGATCGGAATTTGGGGCAGAGCCTCAGTGAGTCTGCCCACCGCTGCCAACTTCCCTCCACTGTAGCTCCCTGCCACAGACCAGATGCTGGAGAAGGTTCCCTGCCTGCATCAACTCCCCCTGTACCTTCACCAGGCAGCTCTGACCCCAGGTGTTCCAACAGGTGCGGGCAGAGCAGAGAGGGCGGTGGGCAGGGCAGGGAGGGTGGTGGGCAGGGCATGACAGGAATCCCAAGTCCTGATTCCTCCTACATGGTAGGCTACAGCTGGTGCTGGCAGAGATGGTGGCCACAGAGCGGGAATATGTCCGTGCCCTTGACTATACCATGGAGAACTACTTTCCCGAGCTAGATCGCCCCGATGTGCCCCAGGGCCTCCGAGGCCAGCGTGCCCACCTCTTCGGCAATCTGGAGAAGTTGCGGGACTTCCACCGCCACTTCTTCCTGCGGGAGCTGGAGGCCTGCACCCGGCATCCGCCCAGAGTGGCCTACGCGTTCCTGCGCCACGTAAGCCCCGTGGTGCCCACAGCCCATAGCTGACACAGTCATATTCAGCAACAGGCCAGCCCCGTGCTGGGTATAATGCTGGAGACAGGCAAAGCCCCTTCCTGTCAGGATGGTCATAGTTAGGCAGGGGTGTGAAAATAGTAATTGAGATGACTGCCAGGATTATTGTGGTTCTGTGCATTTGAGTTGGTACCGACTATAACTGACCTCCAGTGGGTTTTCAGAGACTGTGAATCGCACAGGAGGAGATTGCTCGTCTGTCTCCTGTGGAGCAGCTGGGAGATTCATATTGCATGACTCTGGGTCGGCAGCACAACGTTGTCCCATTCAGGTGCCAAAGCTGAGGAGGCACCTAACCCAGATGGATGTGGTTGGAGTGCCCGATGGGCAGGAGTCTCCACCTTGGAGGAAAGTTAGGGAAGACCTCTTTGAGGAGAGCAGATTTGCGCTGAGGCCTGAGGAGGAGAGTGAGGCACAGTGCAGGGAACTGGAAGAAGAGTGTTCCACTGAGAAGCAAGTCCACCCAAGCCCCATGGCGGGAAACAGGCCTGTAGTTGAGGCGAGATGGGCCATCATGGCTCATGGAGAGGACAGGGGAGCAGTAGTCAGGTGGGATGAGATCAGCGGGTTTCATTAGAACTGTGAGGGGGGCAGAGGCTGAGGTGAAGATGCCACTTTTCCCCCATAGGGCCTTGGACGCTTGTCCCTGGCCCCTGTTGACGCTGGCCCCTTCCTCCCCTCCCACCTTGAAGCAGCACACACTGGAGTTGGAGGGCATCCTGGGGGTGTGTTGACATCTTGACTCTCCCAAGCTGAGAGTGGCTGGGCCCTGGGAGTGGGGCAGCCTTTGGGCCCGGCCCCCTGGTGTTGAGCTGAGACGCCTGTCCCCACAGAGGGTGCAGTTTGAGATGTATGCGCTTTACAGCAAGAATAAGCCTCGCTCTGATACCCTGATGACCAGCTATGGCCACGCCTTCTTCAAGGTAGGCAGCCCAGGGTCTGTGGGGGGCAGGGGCTCTCCTGCAGCCTCTGGAGGGCCTCCTCCTCACCCCGCAGGATAAGCAGCAAGCGCTGGGGGACCGCCTGGACCTGGCCTCTTACCTGCTGAAGCCCATCCAGCGCATGAGCAAGTACGCGCTGCTGCTGCAGGAGCTGGCCAGGGCCTGTGGGGGGCCGCTGCCCGAGCTCAGCGCCCTGCAGGCTGCCCAGAGCCTCGTGCGCTTCCAGCTGCGCCATGGCAACGACCTGCTGGCCATGGACGCCATCCAGGGCTGTGACGTGAGTCATCCCTGGCCTTGGTGGGTGGGGGCAGTGACTGGAGGGACAAGGGTGAAGCAGCCAGACACTCACCAGCTGGCCCCTTCTTGGCAGGTTAACCTCAAGGAGCAGGGGCAGCTGGTGCGACAGGATGAATTCACGGTGCGCACCGGGCGCCGCAAGTCCCTGCGCCGCGTTTTCCTCTTTGAGGAGCTGCTGCTTTTCAGCAAGCCTCGCCGAGGACCCACAGGCACTGACACGTTCGCCTACAAACGCTCCTTCAAGGTGGGCCCCCCAGCTCCATCCCCTCCCTGGACCCCCTTCTCTCCCCACGGTGGCGCCTCATCCAGTCCTCTCTCCTTGCCTCACAGACTGCAGACCTTGGCCTGACTGAGAGCTGTGGGGATGGCAACCTGTGCTTTGAGATCTGGTTCCGTCGTCGTAAGGCCAGGGACACCTACGTGCTGCAGGCCACCAGCTCAGCCACTAAACAAGCCTGGACGAGTGACATCTCTCATCTGCTCTGGAAGCAGGCTGTCCACAATAAGGGTGGGTCCCTGTGCCTATTGCATCCTTCCACCTCCTCCCTTAGGTTGTAACCTTGACCCACACGAGCCTGGGGACAGCCTCGAGACCCAAAAGCCTGGGCAGGGACTTGTAGGTGCTGTGTGAGCAGGAAGCAACAGCAGCAGCCAGAGAGGAAAGAGCCGGGTCAGGCAATGCTGCTGTTACTGGGCCTGACTCTGGACAGTGTTAACCTCTATCAACAGCCTTATTTTTAAAAGGGGAAGTTAGGAGGAGAGAGCCTGAGACCATTGAGCTCAGGACAGAACTATGTGTTTTATGTGAGAGATTTATTTAAGGGAGGATAGAGGCCCAGGGCAAGGCTGCTGTCCAGAGGAGCCCTGCCTCATGCCCGCTGTCCGCCCAGAGGTGCGCCTGGCTGAGATGGTGTCCATGGGTGTGGGGAACAAGGCTCTCCGGGACATTGCCCCCAGCGAGGAAGCTATCAACGACCGAACCATCAACTATGTCTTCAAGAGCCGAGGTAGTGCCACCTGCGGGGATGGGGTGAGGGACCCGCTCTGGCAGCAGTGCCGGCCGCTGTCGGTCCACCAGGCTCTGGCTTGTTACAACTGGACCTTCCCTCTTGTGCAGAAGTTCGCTCTCGGGCCTCCATTGCTGTGGCCTCACCTGACTCTGACAACCCCTACCTGGGGGCCTCCAGCTCCTTTCTTGGAGACCCCGCCTCTTCCTCTGTCCTGGGACCTCTCAACCTGCACCTGTACAGAGATCTGACTCTGCTAGGCCCTCACTGCCCTCAGGGTCCCACCATCTTCCCTGAGGAGGCAGCGCTGGAGGCTGAGGCAGAGTTGGGCAGCCAGCCCTCCTTGAGTAAGTCGGGCGTAGGCAGGTGGGAGGCCGTGGCCCAGGATCCAGACCTCCTGTGCTCGCAGCTAACTTGATTTCCCTCCCCAGCTCCTGAGGACTCAGAGGTCTCCTCCCAGTGCCCATCAGCCAGTGGCTCCAGTGGCTCTGACAGCAGCTATGTGTCAGGGCAGGCCCTGGGCAGGGGCCATGATGACCTGTCCTATGTGAGTGCTCTTTGGCCCCTAGCCCCCAGCCCCTCTCTATCCCACTCTGGGCCTCTGGGTAGAACTGGAGGGGGCTGGGTCAGATCCTGTTACCCAGACACACTGCTCAGGGAAACTGGCCATACATAGTCCATTTGGCACCACAGGTCTGAGCTCAAGCTTGAAGATGGACAGTGGATCCAGCAGCTTGGAACCTCTCCTTCCTCTGAATCTGCTGTGACCAGGGTGTGGCTGGTCACCCCCTGCCTGCATGGGCAGCCCTGTTGACTCCTATTTCTGATGTCTGCCCACTGGACAGGCCACAGGCGACCTTTCCAGGGAAGTGTGGCCACACTGAATGCTCACATGGAACCCTAGACCCTGCAGTGTGTTCCCCTCTCTTCTTTTTCCAGCCCCTCTGCCACACTGTTGGTAGGATTAGGCTAGAGCGAATGTTCCACGCTCTAAACAGGTGCAGTAAGTACCCAGGTCTTGGGCACGTGGGTTCCCAGCAGCCGCTTCCCAGCCTCCTGACTTAAGTTAAACTTCTCAGACAGTGGCAGGCCCATCGCTGTTGGGCCTTTGCCCTTGCCTGCCTGCCTCCCTAGTCTCGTCCCTTCTTCCCAGAGTCACTGTGGTTCGTTTGACTTCATGAATAACTTTCATTTAGCGTTATAAGCAGTTTTGCCGTTGGTCGTTAGCTCTTTGTGGTCTCAGAAAGACAATTGAGGCCTTGCTTGTTGTGGTTTACAGTTTTATTTGTTTACAATAAAAAGTAGACTGACATGCACATGCTTGAGTAGGCACATGCTTTCTGGGGACATGCCAGTTAAAATGAGCCTTAGCTGGTGGGGTCAGTGGGGCAGCATCTCAGGGTCGCCTACCCATCTTGTAAATACTTGCCCAGGATAGAGTAGGAGACAGACCTAGACAGGCCCCTCTGGATGAGCAGGTCCACACATCGGCCGTACTTCCTGGCGAAAGGCAGTGTGAGCTGAAAGGAAAGGCCTATTTTACCCTGACGTGGGCCGTGCGTGCACTCGCCACCTCTGGGTGGGTATGGGTCTTCCCAGGGGCAGGGCTGGTTCAGACTGGTTATACTTCCCCAAGGCAGAGCTCACAGAGCTGTGGCTGCTTAGGGCTACTGCGGACCTAGTCAAGATGACCAAAGGATGCATTGTTTGTTTTCTGTCCCTAGATTTATGCTGTTGATGCCAACTTCCTTCACCTTTACGACCAGTAGACCAGGCCAAGCCTTAAGAGCATTTAAATCCTAGCATAGTTAAGGTGCAAAATGTTCTGATTCATTTAATTACTAGGATGCCAAATTAATGAGAAGTTAGCTAGACCCCCTTTCACCTACAATGCTGAAATAATATCTTCAAATCCTAATGGAATCCCAAACAGAATAACAGTCCTTATTAAACATTTCCTTTTATTGGTGAAGCATGCGTTAAAGCAGCTTAAATAGAAGAGTGATGTATCATTAAAAAATGTGGAATGAATGGAATTCCAAAATCTCTGTAGATGTTCATTGAAATGAAAAATAAATAAAATTTAAAAAAATGTGGCATCATGGCGAAAAAGGGGAAGTTTTTATCGTTGGTTTAAAAGGTTTGAATCCTAGTCCACTGATTATACCCCAAAAGTTGTACATCTCCAGGTGTAGCCAGATTGTTGGTGTTGACAGCAAAGTTAGTATTGTTAAACGGAAATCCAGGCCTGGAATACTCGTTTTTGACCAGTTTAAGCTGGTTCCCTCCAGCACCATCCCTCTCCTCCCCTGGACTGGTGGCCTGGCTGTATGCCAGCCTCCTGGGCAGCCGTGGCCTGGCCCTCTGGCAGGGTCTTTGGTGGGTTGCCATTCCCAATGGGGCAGGGCCCATCCTTACCTCCACCCAGCTGTACAGGCGTTCCTGCGTGTGCTGGTCATCCTTGAAGCCAGAGATGGCCAGCAGGTCCACCACAAACTGCTTGGGGCTGATGTGTAGGGTCTGCAAAGAAAGCCCATGTCAGGCAGGACTGTGGACAGCCATCTTCATAAACGTGCTTGGAGCCCTTCAGAATGGGATGCAAAAAGGGGTTTGCCTGGGCTTCCAAGAGTCCTTGGGGGGGTGCTTGCTCCAAGTCTGCCCCTTGACCAGGCTCTTTCTGGATGTAGTTGCCCTCCCCTCCAGCTCCTGTCTTTTTTTTTTTTGGCAGCCTCTGTGATTTGTGCTACATTGCTACCCTTAACTGATTCCCTGACCCCATCCTTGCTTCCTGTGAGGGACAGTGGAGAAGGATCCAGGGTGGCCCAGAGCCGGCGGCCTGTCGCACATACCCACAGCCGATTGGCCAGGGACACCACCTTGGCAGTGGTGGCTTTGGGGTCCTTTTGCCTGATGGAATCCAGGATGACGTCAGTGAGGAAACGGTGACATTTCTGTGCATAAAACATCTCCTCCCAAGACAGAGAGAAACTCAGGAAGGTTGCCTCTGTAGAAGGAGGGGAGGGTGAGTGTGGCCTCAGGACAGCCCAGGAGAAGAGAGGGGCTTATGAGGGAGATCCCATTCTGAAGGGCCCTGGGAAGGGCCGGGATAGGTGTCACCAGGAGCCTCACCTCGGGGCTGGGTGCTGTCTGAGGGTGGCACCTGCCTGAGGTAGTCCATCTGCGTGGTGTATACGATGCTGTCCTCAAAGAACATGCAGGAGCCGTCACTGCCCACCACAGGGGGGTGGGTCACTTTGAGGATGATCCCTGCACTGTTGACTTCACTGGCCTCAGGCAGAGGCTGCTCAGGGGCAGGGGTGTCTGTGGAATCAACGTGGGGAGGAGACAGGGAGTCAGCCACCCTGCCCACCCCCTCACCCCCACATGCTGCTGCTGCCTCCAGCTGGCGGAGGCCTGTCCTGGCCTCTTCACTGCTCTGGAAGCACTATAAGCCAAACCCTGAATTTCGGAGTTTCACGGAACTAAGTCCTGTTGCGGAACTGAGATTGGTATCACAGAACAACTCAACTTGCTGCTGTGAGAACCGACTCATAGCCAACCCTCCAGCAGATAGATCTTCAGGAGGCTGAATCACTCGGGAGGAGATTGCCCATCTTTCTCCTGAGGAACAGCTGGTGGATTTGAACCACCACCTGCGAGTGAGTGAGCACAGCTCCCTGTGGCTGTGCTGGTTGAGATGGTGTCACTAAGGTCCAATAAGAACTCGTTTTGAGACTGAACTTTTTTTTTTAAATGAGAAGCCTTCCTGGTGATCCCTGACCCTTGTCCACTCTAGAAGAATGTACTTGATGGAGGGTCCCAAAGGCCTCAGGCAGGACCTGAGCCACCAAAGGGAAGGCGACAGAACACTGTGGGGACTCTGAAGGGGCAGACAGCAGCCCACTAGGGCAGCTTTCAGCATACTTCCTTGGAACAAATCTCCCACCCCACCCTCTTTGCAGTTTTCCAAGTGAGAAAGAAACTCGGCCACATCCTTGGTCTGGTACCTCCCCTTCCTCCCCTCAGTCTGTTCTACCTGGAATGAACTCAGCATCTAATCCTTCCCCTCTTCTTGCTGCGTTTCCTCTGCGCTGGGGCAAGCTGGGAGTGTACACTTGACCCTATCTCTTGCTGTCTAATTTAGCATCCTTCAAGGGCTGTCCCTTCCCTCAAGATGAGGACAAAGTGCTACATCATCAACAAGGCCTACAAGGCTTCTAGGGATTCAGCTTGCCTCCTATATTCTTCATGTGAAGCGTCTTCTCAGGCTGGACTAAAAACACACATAATTTTCTTCTTTCCGCTTTCTGACTCTCCAAAACCCCTGCTTCTGTGTCCCCACACCTCCTAAGCACCTCCTCCTGGCCCTCATCATTTCATGTCTAAGCCCTCCAAGACATGTCACTATGTGTGTATACTGGTCACCTCTGTGTTTGCTGCCTGCCCAGAGCTGACATTGGCTAGGGGAGGGGTTTAGGAAGACCCTTAATGAGGTACATTGATTCAGTGCCTGGGGTAATGGAGGTAGGTGTGTCAGAGACAGTAAGATTGGCATGAAATAGAGCAGGGTTTAGGGCTGTTGTGCATAGGTCTCTATGAGTCGCAGGCGACTCGACGGCACATAACTCACACTGTAGTCTTCACCTCCATTTAACTTCTGGATGAGACTGAGGTCAAGGACAAGACAGAACTCACCTCTCTCCTTTGGCCTCTGTCTGCCCCAGTCCTTCAGGGTGACAGCTTTTTTAATGGAGAAGTATGGCTTAAAGGTTGGCTCTGGTCCTTTGTCATTGGCCTGTGGATTGGAGTCTTTCTCGAAGGCTGTGGGATGGGTTTTCCAGGTGATTGAGGTGCTGGGTTGGGAAGAAGCTTCCCTTCCCGACAGAGGCTGCAGAGTGGCCTCTTCCGAAGGGCTGTTCCGGGGGGCTGTCAGTGGCTGCAAGTCCCACTGCTTGCAGCTGGCCATGTCCCACTCCCTCACCAGGGAGATGAGTTTTTGCATGGGTGTGGCAGGTGGGTCTTTAGTCTCATACTTCTGGGGGAGGTTGTTTGTGGTGCACTTTTTCTTGGGGGGACTGTCAGGATGGCTCCCCCAGTGTCTGGGGTTGGCACACAGACCAGTGCAATGTGAGTACATGCTGGGGTTCCCTGCCCTCTTGGCACCCCTGCAGAGGGGCACTTGGACGGTCCGCGTGTACTGCTCAGCCTCCTCCGTCTGGCTGGACCTGGTCAGTGTCCCTTTGGCCTTGTTCCATGGAGTCCTGTCGCTGCAGTCTTGCAACTCCACAGGCATGCAGGCTGTGGCCTGGGGAGAGAAGGACACGGTAGCTCTGGGCACGTTGAGCTTCCACACTGAAGCCCGGCGTAGGCTCTAACAGGCCAGGGCTGTGCTTGCTCACCCAGCAGGCCCACCCTCTGCATGGCCACCACTGGAGCCATGTGGCCATTCGGTCTCAGAGGGCTGGTGCCCAAATGAAGGCCTCATTCATTCACCAACAGTGGACAGTGTCAGAGGCCCAGGCCTCCAACAGCCAGCTCTTCCTTAGGTCTCTCAAGATTCAGAACCGAGTTGCCATGGCAGGAATCCATGCAGGCCTTGCCTTTTCACTTTTCATGCCCCTCAGTAGCTATGCCTGCCCCTCAAGGCCTGTGCTGTTTTCTCTGAGGGTAATAAGAAGGCAAAGAAGGCCGAGACTTACCTCTTTAGCATCTCTGCTGAACTCCATCAGTGACCCTGGTGCTTCTGTCACCACATGCAACCTTCTGATGGGAAAAGCTTCTTCATTTTCCGATTCTTTCTCCTGGGTCCATGACCTGCAGAACCCGAGAGGCTAGTAGGCAGCCACTAGGCTATTGGTCAGTTGGTCAGGTCCACCCTTTGTCTGGGAACCAATACTGGATGATGGGGGCGAGGGGACTCGTGAAGGATTTTGCTCAAGTTACTGGACAGTCCTGGGCGTGGCCCACCAGCAGATCAAGCCTTACTGACAGGTGGGCGTTTGGACAGGGCTCCCGGCTCAGAGGGGAGCATACCCCCGGAGTACGCCTTACTTGTACGCCTCACACTGGGCGAGGGCTTCTGAAAGGGATGGAATCTGATATTCCTCCACCTCCTGGCAGAATAGGGGCCATTCCCTGCAAGGATAAGATGATGGGCTGAGTGGGAATGCAGGTGGGGGGCATAATCCCCCAGAGCTGCCGCCATCTTTAACCACAAGTCACGTACAGGAAGTGATGTAACCTGGCTCCTGAAGGGAGCAAACTCAGATTCCCTTCGCTCATAGACGCATGGCGTTAGCTTCAGTGCCAGAGTCTCCTGCCTCACTTACTTAAATTCAGATGGTAAAAAGAGTTTGCCGAGTCTCAGGAAGTTGAGGACGTGTCGGAACATCTGGCCGTCCCCGTGGATCAGCAGGGTCTGTCCATAGGTGATCCAGTACACTCTCTGCGAGTTGGACAGCAGCTCTGGGTACTGGGAGAGATCAGACACCACACTTAGAGCCACGAGCTGGGCCTCTGGTGAGCGGCGGGTCAGTCTCGTCTCTCTTCCTTTTCCTGGACTACACTAGAGCAGAGAGGTGTTCCCCCGTCTTATGTGCCTCAGGGAGCTATAGCGGGGGGCAGAGCATTCAGGGAGAAGCACGCCTTTGGCTTCAACTTGGCTGATTGCTGCTCTACCCGGCTGAGGCACTTAGAAGCCCACCCTGTGTCCCAGTTCAGTCGAGGCTCCTCAGAACAGGCCTCCTGTACACCTAAACTCTTAAAAAAAATTTTTTTTTAATTTTATTATTTTTTTGTGTGTACCATCAAATCAGATCTGACTGGTTCAGAAGGAGATTGTCCCTCCTTCTCCAGCAGAGGATCTGGTGGATTTGAATCGTGCACCTCTGGGATTGCAGTGCAGCTTCTTGTCACTAGGCCACCAGAGCTCCCCTCCACACCCAAACTCTTGAGGGCCTTCCCAGCACACAGCTCATTCCATTCCTGCTCATATGAGCAAAGCACGTTGGGCAGTGGAGCCCAAGGAAAGTCCTTGTTCTATGCATGCGCTGGAGGCTGTGTGAGGGTCAGGTGACAGGTGACAGGGCAGCTTGGTCAGGGAAGGCAAAGGGAAGGAGGGCAGGCTGGGCTGCTGTACCTTCATCAGCGTCTGCAGAGTGGTTGCGTACCAGTGGCTTCCAACGTAAACCTTGACGATCTGCTGAGGAGAATACACAGTGATCTCTGCTGTCCACTCGTCGTCTGTGGAGGCCAAGGAGAGCAAACACAGCACGTGGTCAGAAGGCCATTGTGGCCAACAGTGTTAGCACCCTGAGACTCTCCGTCAGTCACAGTGTGTTAACCGCTCTGAGACATAGCAGACATCCCTGACGCCAGACTTCCTTGCTGTTCACCATCTGGTTTCTCAGGTGATGAAGTGGGTTTATTTCTGTGTGTGTACCATTAAATTGGATCTGACTGGTACAGGAGGAGATGAAGTGGGTTTAGAACAGCAGATTCAGAGGCAGCTAGTGACTCGGGGTGGGGAGGGAAAGCCCTCTGGGACTTAAACCCAGGAGAACCATTCTCCACCTAACAAGCCTCTCAGAAGTGTCAGGATGAGATTCCCACTCATCTGTGCTGTCTCTGGTTTCTGGCTACATGTGTCCTGGGGGTGTGACTTTTCATGTGACTGCACAGGCTGGAGCTAGGTGGCCTGTCTTACGTGCTTCTGGTCTGGCAAATGTCAGAGCTAGCCTTCGTCACATCAACACGTCTACAGAGTCCAGGGCCTCTAAGAAATGTCTGGAGAATGGGAACATTATTCTGGGAAGATGAACTCATGACTTTATTTCCTAAGAAGGGCTATATTTCAGCTTTTTTCTGATGTGTATCAGCCAACAGCTCATCCGCTCTGTAACGAGTGAAGGGTGTTGGACCAGATTATATAGCTCAGAGGTTAGAAGGACAGGAAGTCACTAGACTCTGAGTTTCATGAAGAAAAGGACTGGGCTTGTATTGCTCATTTCTGTAGCCCCAGTGTCTCCCCCTGTCCTGTATGCGATAAGTGTGCAATACATGTTGAATGTTGCTGTTGGGCTGTAATAATTAATAAGTAAGTAAATAAATAAATAATAATAATAATAATAAAAGCTTTAACTTGACCTAAAAAACTTCTCAGGAAGTGGCACGGACAGTTGGTACATGTTGCTGGCTGTGGACTCTGATTCAAATTTAGCTTGACCACTTATAACCGTAACATGAGCAGGTTCCCTTACTGAAGCCTCTCCGGGGTCTGTTAAATAGATCAAGGATCAAGCCTCCTCAGATGGCTATGAGACCAGATGGGTGTGAGCTCCTGCACCCTTCAGGGGTCGTTGGCCCTGTGGGACCCACACCGGGTGGTACACACAACTCTGTGTGCACTGCTTGTGGCTAAGGGATGAGGAGGAGAGATGGAAAGTGGAAGTTTCCTCTTAGGTGAGACCCACAGATGTTTTCTAGCTTTTCTCTCCTTATCTAGTAGTCCCAGGCTCTAGGAACCAGGAACTTCTTTCCTTTCTTTCTTTCATCTTTTCCCGCCAATCTCCTAAACCCTTTCCTGACTCTAAATTCAAACCAAGAAGCTTTGCCATTTACTGAGCATGTCCACAGGCGTCAGAGTCCTGGGCTCCAGGTGAGTCTTCAGAGCCACTTTCATTGGCTCGTAGGTGATGTCCTTCTTGTCCAGGAAGGCGCAGAGCTCATATACCTCAGAGAGGGTCTCGGTCAGGGGCAGCCGGCAAGTCCCCAGCCAATTCCTGCCCAGAGAAAAGCTGGTCATCAAGAGGCTTGGCACTGCACCCACACAGTCTCTAGCCTGGACCCTTTGCGTGCCTAGGCTGTCTCGGGACAACATTAACTTCATTAACATCATTTTCTTCATTTAACTGGAAGTCTGGTGACATTGGATGGCAAGTTCAGAGCCAAGGTTGACCTACTTCAGCAAAGTCTACATCAAGTGATTGCATGGCTCCAGGTCTGTCTCAGCTTCCAGAAGCCAGGCCAAGGCCCAGCCAGTCCCTCCCTGCCCCACAGGTATTTGCCTGACATTTCAGTTGGAGGTGAGGGGCGGAGGACAGCCTGCCAAGGTCTTGAACTACTGAAATCCTTTGTTCCCTGGGGAAGCACCTGGGGGTCTAAACATCAGCCCCTTCCTCTGAAGCCCCTTGTATTTGCCTTGTGTGACGTCAATTGGGGGGACGTCTCTGTGAGAGGCAGGTGTTACAGGGCATATTGTAACACAGCCCCATGGCTCAGGGCTGGGAGAATGCCCTTGCATTGTCCTTCCCAGCATTCTTTGGTGCTCTGGGCTGCCTCAGTTCCCTCACCAGTTCTGTGCTGAGCCCACCACAGAGAGGGGCCTTATCATAGCAGGACCTCAATGAAGAGTGGATCAAAAGACCCTCAGAAGAAAAAGGACAAGTGGTCCCCCTCCGGGAAAAAAAGTACATTTACCTTCATCTTGACACTTTCTGAACAGAAGCGGATGAAAGACTATTTGGAGCTGCCCGCACTTTGCACCAGGGGTCAGGGCTATACCAAAATGATAGCCTTGGGGCAAGACAGTGGTCACAGTGACCAACTTTCTCCAGGGGTTCCGAAAACCCTTTGCTACCTCTAATGCTGGCACTAATGTTTCCTGACCTTAAGTGGGCTTCTGCACTGTTTTGCCTCTATAAATGGGGACTGGGTTCTCTGTTTCTGCACTAAGGGAACATTCAGACACTTATCCCTTCAGGCAAGGCCCAGGTATCACCTCCTCCAGGAAGCCTGCCCAGGCCCTGGCCTCTCTGTGCATTCAATGGCCCTCCTGCCACCCCAGTCCTAAGTGTGGCCGTGGGAACATCTGCATCACCCCCTAGCTGGGGAGGGAGGACCAGACACTCTGAGGTCATGGCCTGGCCCCCTCAGACCTTTCACAGGCTGAGGCTAGCACACACAGGGAAGGGTGCAGAGAAAAGAAATATGAATATGAAACATGAAGGGGCCTTGTGACTCCACAGCACCAGCCCCCTGCTCTGAGGTCCTAACCCCATGGTCATGGTGGTGGGGGAGTGACAAGAATGACGAGTCTTCTCTCTAGGGACACTACTTTTCTTGGGCTTGTGAGCAAACACCAAGTTGCTCCCCACTCCCCAAGGAATGCACAGCCAGCCTGGCCTGGTGGGACTATTCTTTAAGGCGCCCTTACTTGACGTGCTGGAAGAGGACCCCGTTTCCTGTGATGTACAGTCGGCTTCCGTCCAGCGTGCTCTCGATGCGTAGCTGGCCCAGCGCGGAGTCTGGGTACTTGACGAGCAGACCGAGGGCCAGCATGTACAGGGGCTTCACCGAGTCCAGGCCGGCTGCGCGGCCCCCCTTCCCAGGGCTCGGCGGGGGGCACGAGGGCCGGGAACAGCCACCTGCACCAAGGACAAACGGGTGACTCCTCGACACGTCACAGTCATGGCTGTAGTGGGTCTTGCTTTGCGCTGTTGCCTCAAAGTAGCACTAAAAGGGCTTTAAAACAACAACAACAAAAACAACCAACAACAACAAAAAAAACAAAACAAAACCCAAAACAACAAACCCACTGCTGTTACATCTATTCTAGTCCATGGTGACGCTCCCTTGGTCTCGGAGGCTGGAGATCTCTACAGGATTATCTCTGGCTTCTCCAGCGGAGTGCAGGGAGAATTCAAACCGCCAACCTGTCGGTTCGCAGCCCGTACATAAGGCTAAGCTCCTTATCCACCACCACCGAGTCAATTCCAACCCTCCACTGGATTTCTGACTGAGTCCTGGCGGCCTAGTGGGAAAGGAGCTGTGCTGCCAACTCAGAGGTACATGGTTCAAACCCACCAGCTGCTCCACGGGAGAAAGATGAGCTATCTCCTCGTGTGTGATTTACGGCTTCTGAAAACCCACTGCAGTGCGAGCTATGAGTCGGTTCTGACCTGATGACACGTAACAATGACATTGGATTTCTGAGGCTGTAACTCTTTACAGGAAGAGACGGGTCATCTCTGTCTGGTGAAGCGGATGGATTAGAGATGCTGAGCTTTCAGTTAGCAGCGCAGCACCTAACACACTGTGTCAGCAGAACTCTGTCCGTAAGGCTCTTTGGGGCTTGTACAGCTAAAGCCTGAACCGTATAAAAGTCAGTACACTTTTTGTTTTTTGTTTAGAGGTCAGAACTATTTGGGAAAGGGGAGTGACTGGCGTGATTTACCATATTATCAAATCTAAGTTTCCAAAATTTCAAGATAGCAGCCAACAGGCCCTATGCTCTGGGAATCACGCTGAGTTCCAGGTTCTGTTCCAAACATCCAAGTAAAGGTCACTAGCCACAGCCCAGAACCCTCCGTGTGCTAACTCCTTCCCACACGCCTGCGCCCTTTCACAGGCCCTCCTGGGCCGACGTTCCCTCAGAGACACTGCTGTGTGACTTTTGGGGCTGGCACTGGGGTTGCTGAATCACAGGGCAGGAGCTTGTCCTGCAGCGGGCAAGCGCCATGGAACACAGCGACCTGATCCATTGGGCCCTGCCCCACAAAGACGATGGGCCAGGCGCTGGGGCAGTGCTCACGGATGACTTCCAACCCTCAGAGCAGGCTGACAAGGCAGGGAGTGCTATCCTGCTTTCACAGAAGAGGAAACAACATTCAAAGCAGAGATGGGACAGGAAGTCAGCTCTGTGGATCCCCAAGGCTACCAGAGCTGTTCCACTTAGGTGCTGGCTGTCCAGAAGGTGAAACCATGCTTTACGGGATGATGCATGGCTGCTGAGTGCGCCTACGTGTCCTTCGCCTGTTCACCTTGTTGTGTATGTACTCCTTCCATGTTCTCAGAGGAAGAGACCATTGGAGGAGGGGTCAGAGTCCCACCGTGCCCTTAAGTGGATTCTAAGACCCTACGACAGACCTGCTGCAGGATGCTACACCGCCATGAGAGAGGGGGTCCTATTTTCCCAGAGAAGAGCCTGGGAGAGCTGAGCCTTGGACAAGGCCCCATGCTGGCTTCTCCCGGGATAAGTGCCTACTGCTGTGGAAGCTGAGCTTCACTGGCTGAGGCCACCCAATAGCTGCTCACTGCACCAAGCGCAGCTCCACGGACACACAGGGGTGGGAGGTGAACAGCGAGAGGAAAGTCAGAGGGAAGCTAGAAGGAGGTAGGGCGGGGGCTGGGAGAGCTGGGGGTCAGAGTGTCAGGAACAAGCAGAAACAGAGGGTTGCAGGGTGTGCGGACAAGGGAATTTGGGGGTGAAGTGGCAAAACTTAAGCACTAGTGGGGAATTTACTGAGCACTCCACACCCTCCAGCTGTGCTTGGAAGAGCAGGGCTGGGAAGAAGGGGTGGGTGCTGCGGTCCCCATTGGCTCTCCTCCGAAAGCAGGGCCCACTGACCTCCCCTGCCCTGAGAAGTCTGTATTTGGGCCCAGCCTCCATCTTCAGGACTTTCTGGTCTGGTTTCCCCACCCAGGGCTGGGGCTGGGCTCCCCATAGCCTCAGTGGGCTGCCAGGTACCCACCCTAAGGAGACGCTTCGCAGATACAGGGCATGAGGGGTTCCAGGTTGAAGTTCATCCTCCTGGATTCTAATTCAGCCAAAACACTAGATTTTCTTACTGCCATTCAAAGTCCAGCACGGTGGTGGGAAGGGAGATGTTTGTTCTTGGTTTTTCCATCTCAATCCCAGCCTAACTCTGAAGGTCAAGGGAAAAGCAAAGTCTCCCCAGGGGACATACCCATGTTCATCCGGTATAACCTTATGGCTTCAGTGAGCTCAGGGATTTCCAAAATTTCCACTTCTGCTTCTAACACATCTATGTTGGAGAAGTTATCTGGCAGTAATATCTTCTGGGAGCGGAGAAAATTTACTTGAAAGGCAACGGGAAACAAAATGAGTGAAAGAGGTTACTTCTAATTTAACACTAGGTCCAGCTGTAATTTATCTCAGGCTCTCCTTGTTCTGAAACAATTTGTAACTATGCCTGGTCAGATTAGCTCTAGACTCTACGGTTTACAAGATGAAAGACCCCAAATCACGTTGTCTGGGCCCATGGGTGTGAGCTCCCATGGGTCGTCTGAGGCAGGCCCTGAGCACACTGCCCAGAAGAGCTACCCTGTGAGCCTTGAGCCCCCAAAAGTGGGTCATTCCAAGAGAAGGAGTTGTCCTGCTGCTTAGAGAGGAGGGGACTGGCAGAGGCTGGCTGGCAGGTGGCACCTGAAGTCGGTCCCCGTCTAGATTGCAGAGTGGAGATTCAGAAGCACATTGTGGACAGTTTTCTAGGTGGCTATGAGCCGGAATGGCTGGGATTACAGGCGTCTGGACCCGGAGTATAGGTTGGGTGTTGACTGTATCCAGACAGAAGCAGCATCTTAGAATCAGCAGCCATTCAGTTCACTCATCCACTAGGGCTTCATGGGAGCAGTGAGTCAGGGGAGAAGACAGCTTTCTCTCCAGGGCCCCAGACCTCATCCTTCCTCAGGTGATTAGCTCTGGGGGACAATTCTATGACTGGTGGGAAATTGCTATCGTTCAGGGCCCACCTTCCCTTTTGAATTTAGTGGGATTGTGTGCAGGTGAGGGCCATCCTTTGATATTGTCCTGTTTTCTCATTTTATGATGACGGGAACTTAGATTTAAAAGGGTGGAAGAGAAGCTGACTTAGACCCTGCCCTTTCCACCAACCCCTGTTGTTCTTGCCACCACTCAGGCAGTTTCTAGTGCCTCTTTGTTCTTAGGCCACTACAGTCTAAACAGCAAGTGAGATAGCTCTGAGGCCAGCTATGCCATTCTGGCATCGGCTTGGCTTCTGGAAGGCTCTCAAAGCCTCTGGCACGCCTCAACCACCTCTGCCCAGGAGGTTCCTGAGGCCATGAGCACCAGCTGAGCCTCTGTGAGATCTGAGGCGGGAATAGGAAATGAGAAGGGGTGGGTGGGTGGACCCTTTCTCCCCACTGTGCTCCCCGCTCCCCAAGCCCCTGGCCCCCAAGGACTGAGCTTCACCAATGAAGCGGAACTCGCTGCACTCGCACTCAATCAGGGCCACGGTCTCCGCCAGCCATAGCAGGTTGTCCTCGGTCACCAGGCTCGGGTATTTGGCCACCAGGCTCAGAGGCAGGAAGCAGTAGTGCACTTCCTCTTCCGTGTCCAACAGTGGGGTGTCCATGAGCCCCAGAGGTGCCTTATCGTGCAGGCCTGGAGAAAAAACATCCAGAGGGACATGGCCACCTGCCAGCAGCCAGGGCCCTGAGTCCAGCAGGGGCCCCAGATGAAGCAGAAGTCACCCAGGAAAGGGTCCCTACCAAACACCTCCCCTTCCTCTCTGTCTCCTTAGGTGTGCGGCCTTAGAGGTTAGCAGGACCCTGGTGACAAGGGGGACAGGGTGTGTGTAAATCTATTTTTTTGCTGTAGACAGTGAAGGACAGTGGGACATACCATGACATTTTGGCATATGTACCAAAAGTCATTAAATTCACACTGGCTGCAGACGTAATTCCTTCTAATTTCTCTAACCAACCACAGTGACCCACAGGTGAAATGGATGCTTTTGAGTCCACTGGAAATTCCGAACCACTGATAATCATGAAGGCTGCTCTGGTGGCCCAGAGAGGCCCGTCTATGCTGCGAGGCCCCCAGACAGTGGTCCTGTGGGGACATTCCTTGTGTGGTGGTGAGAGATGTCTGGCAAGGATGGCACGATTCTCTAACTTTCAGGAGGGGATGGGGCACAGCCCAGCCTGGCCCAGGCAAAGGCAGGGTGCAGACGTGTGGTTCCAGTGGGTGAGGAGCCATGGGAGGGCTCAGGGCAGGGTACGAGAACAGAGGGGAGCAGAGAGAAGTGGAGGGGTCATCCAGGAGTAATCTCGGCATCTGGGTGCTCTTCGGTGGGAATGTTTTAGGGTGAAGGGAGAGGAAGCCGGTAGGAGCTTCAGGAAGAGCTGGCTACCCCTGGCTCTACCTGTGAAGGCTGGACTTTTTATAGGAAATTCTGAAGGTTTGCTGATACACTTCCACGTTCTCCAGTAGTTTAAAGACGCTCTCTCAGCAACAGGAATGTCTGCAGGCCGGACTCGAAGATGGTGCTTTCCTTCCTTCAGATTATCCAGAGTCTGTGAGAAAAAGGTCATGTCACCTTGGGAGTTCTATACCAAGTGACTCTCTGCTAGCTCCAGGAAGAAACACCAGGAAAACCAGCTTATGATTTATCTCAGTAAAGTGTCCTGCAAGCAACTGAGTTAGTAACAACAACAACAAAAAGAATCAATCAATCAATCAATCAATCAATCAATCAGGTCTGTAAAATGACAGGCTGATTTTTCTCAAGAACCAATGACCATCTATCTTCTGATCCTTTTCATTATGGTGAAATAAACATAGCACACACTGGGCTGTTTTAATTGCTGGTGAACCAACAGCAACTCTTTTTTTT